TATCTCTGCACTGGCAAAAATATTCAAGGTCATGGAGGATGGTAAATTTAAGAGTTCCTTTCAGTGGCCATCTTGATTGGTTATCAAGAGCGTATTGTAGCCAGGCCTTAGCACACAGAGAAATCAGGCATTCAGGATATATGGTTTCAGATAGCCCCAATTTCAATAGATTTTGTAAAAGACATCCCAAGGATGTTTGGGGATCTGGCTTAGACCTACAGGTGCCCATTTCACAAGCCTGTATTGGGACCAGAAGTCTAAAACAATGTGTCCACTGCTATAGGCCTTGGGTCAAAAAAGGGGTGTATGGGATGTGCCCTTGAGCAGAACATCTTCTGAAAAGGGTCCCAAGGAACAAAGATGGGTCCGGTCAAGGGCCTGGCATGGCCGTGTCTTTGGCAGGACATCCCGAAAATTGGGGAAGGCCCTGGGCCTCTAGGGTAATGACTAGGAAAGGACAACTTACCTATCTAAAAGCTGTTCTAATCTGGCATAGAGCAGGTGTGGCGGAGGGGGTGTTTTCCCACCATGTGGCTGAGGGCCAATGAGGGAAGATCAACCCCTCCTGGCCAATGCACCAGATGAAAAGTTTCTGAATACCTGGATATTAAGCCTCTCCACCAACGCAGTAATCCAAATCAGACCAAATCAAACCGAATTAAGAATTAAAAGTCCAGGTTTAATGAGTAAAAAGCTCCCGGATGATCTTTTGACCCCTAGTGAAGAGATGGGGAGAAGAGACCAAAAAACCACACATCCTTTCTCTGAGGGACAGTTTAAGGTCTTGAGCAGGTTTTCTGAGATGAGGCAGGGTTTGGAGAAAGACATGGGGGTGGCTGAGGTGGCGCTTCCACCTGAACAGGTTGCACCATTTTATATTTCCTCTTGTACTTTCGGGTTGGTGATCACAGTGCTTCTCTATGTGACTGAGCTATCTGGTTAGATTTTATTTTATTTTTTTACTTTCTATTTATTCTTTAACAATTTCATTCATATATACAACGTATCTTGACCCTATCCAGTCCTGCCCCCACTCCTCTGTAGACTCAAACCTAATCCTGACTGCCAACACAACCCTTTCTCACTTTTGTTCATAACTCACTGTCCACTCCTTCAAGGATATGGGATTGTCCACTGGGACATGAGGAACCTATCAGCGGCCAACTTAGGGAGAATTTCACCCCTCCGCCATAGTCACTAATCACCAAGAGCTCTTCAGCGAGGGGTGGGTCCTCATGACCCCCTCTTCACCCACATTGTACTGCTGACAGGCTGGATCAACTACGTCATGCTTCGAGGACAATGTTTCACAGCACTCTTCCCCATCATTCAGGTCTTACTTTTTGCTGCTGTTGTTCCCTTCTTTGACAGTGTTCCCTGTACAAAGCTGTTGGAGGCATTGATACAGATGCTTCATTTGGGGTTGGGAACTCAACAGTTACTTATTCTCAACACATTTACACATTATGAGTCAACAGGAGACACTACTCCACTGTGAAAAAGAAACTCCTCTGACCAAGGTTGAGAGAAGCAGCTGTGTAAGGGGTATAAACATAAACATTTAGAAGGCAGTTTGGCAACATGTCTTTTTAGCAAAACAAGAGTAATAAGTTCCCTGTTAGGATCTATGAGCCTATCCATAGGCTATTGACAAGATATGACAAGGTATATTTACGTCTTTTGTGAAGCTACTAAAACTAATAATAACACTACCTTCAATAAAAAAAAAACAAGTAAAAACTCAAATGAGGGGCTTCTTGGTTTTGGGTTTTTTGTTTGTTTGTCGAAGACAGCATCTCATTATGTAACCCAACAGGCCTTGAATACTTAATCCTCCTGCTTCAGCATCCTGAGTGCTGGGATTACAGTTGTACAACATCATACTAAGTCATCAAGATACTATAAAGAAATATTTTCACAATTCTGATATGACAATTTACTAATTTGTTTCCATCAGAATTGCTGAATACAGAAAAAAAATCAAAAATTGATAACACTAAGAATAACTGTACTCTTCAAATATCCATGTACACATGCATCTGTGAGTGTCTATAGGCACAAGCCACAAAGGAAAAAATACAATTTTTTATATATTACTTCTAGACATTCTTATTGTTTAGATTTTAGTTACTCCCATGCTTCATAAAAATGAATTTCAATGTACTCTTGTTTGTAATATCTATTGTTTATCTATTTATTTGGGAAGTTACACTGAAAGGGTCAGAATGTAACCTATCTTAGACACGGAGCAACTCCATTGTAGATAATGACCTAAGCCTGAGTCCATGAAGTCCCCCAGCCAAGTTTAGCCAATCAGCTAAACAGTTTCAAACGTGGCTTTATAAGGCTGGGAGACCCAAAGTTGCAAGATATGGCTGTTATTGACCATATATGACTAAAAAGCCCACAATGGGTGAAACTGTTACTAGCTCTGTCCAATCAACATGCGCCCCATGTAACTGCTCCTTGACTGCCCAATTAGAACAGAGATTAGCTCACCATACTTAGAATTTCCCAAGTTCTCCTTAAAAGGGCCCGTGTGCCTTTGTCCTGGGTTAACATCTCCACTTGTGTGGATGATCAGCCCCTGCACTCTGGCTATTTCTGCAGAATAAAGGCTCTTTGTGTTTGCATACTATTTGAGTCTTGGGTCTTCCTTGGGAGATTCTTGGACCCTAACAATACTATATATTTCATCCTGATCTTAAACTCACAAACCTCCAGTCTTAGCCTCTTGACTGATGGAATCACAGTCATGTGCCCACACCTATTCTATAATCTTTATTTTTTTCATAATATTTTTATTGATTCTTTGGGAACTTCACATCATGAACCCGAGCCCAATTCCCAGTCAATTCCCAGTCCTCCCAGATCCGAGCCCCGCATCCCTATGGACCCCTTCCCCAAAAAGGAACAAAAAGAAAAAAAAAGTCTAATTTGTGTTGCCCATTTAAAAATTCTTATTAGTTCAGTTGGTAGGTGTTGGCCTCGCTTACACTGAGCCCTAAATTCAATCCCCAGCAGCATAGGGAGCTGAATAAGGGAGTAAGCGGTAACATTTGCAATCCCAGCAACTGGGGAGGTAGAGGCAGATGGTCAGGAGCTCAAGGTCACTCTATGCTATACACTGAGACTGAGCCCAGTGTGAACAAATGAGATCCTGTGACGAAAAGGGAAAAACAAACAAACAAACAAAAGAACCCAACTTTACAAAACTTCAAAAGCTTGAGGCTCTGTGCCAATTCAAATCGTCACATATTTAAAGATGTTCAGCAATTCTGAATGATCTGCAAGATAATAAGTTTCCATCCCTGGACAAAAGGCTGAGGTTCCTACTTAAAATACCGAAGCAGACCTGGCCTCCAGGTTCTCCCAGCATCCCTCAGTCCCTACCAGTTACATGGGATGGCTGGCATACCTCGACCTTTCTCCTGAACTCTTCAGCCTGGGGACTGGGCTGCTCTTCTCTAGAGGCTCTTCCCTATATAATCCAGACATTACGGTTACCTGCCCCTTTTGGACCTTTGGCCTCCAGGATGCAACACCTAGTTCCTGTTTCCCTTCCCCTCCCCCTCTCCCTACATGGCCCAACTCAATCTGGTCATGTCCACTCTGAACTCTCCCAGATATTCATTTTTTATCTTATTTTTTTATTTTTTAAATTTATATATTATAAGCAATTGTTTTCTGAATGTAAATTTTTATCAGTGAAAAACAACTGACATTAAATATTAAGACTACTTAAAAGATTCATCTAACAATCCCACTAATGATGTTGTGACACTATGATACGAACCATTGGAACTGGCCAAAATAAAAACTTTTTAGAGCTCCTCATTCATTTCTTATTATTTATAATTAATTTCTATGGTCTAATATATAAGATATCTGTGGCTAAAATTAAAATTGGTACCACTGTTTAGAAATCAATTGGCAATATATAGTCTTTAAAAACTTAGAAGTCTTTAAAAGGCTTATGCCCTTTATACAGTATTAGCTACTTTCTAGGAAAAAAAAGTAATATACAATAAATTGATTATTGACTTGGGCACAATTAAGTTGGTGAGATTATAGGAGAAAATGTAAATGACAGAATTCAAGAGACTATTCCATCATTCATAACAATGACTATAAATAACAATGACATAAAATGTAAATCATCTTAGGTTAAATGAATATATCATTTTATTTATGTTACAATAATACGTAAATTTGATATTTCTAAGTATTAAAAGGATATGGAAAATGAGAAGTCTTTTATTATTGGGATGGGAAGGTTGTGAGCAGGTCTCCATTAATAATAAACTTGGGATCATTGGAAAAGTACACATCTTTTTGGTGTATCTGTCATCAAAAGTGTTTGCTATTTTAAAAGCCCCCTATAGAAAATATGTGTTCAGGATAATATTGTTTGCATGTTGTCTATTAATGTCATGATGAGCTTTGTATACTGAACTTGAAATTTTACTTTATGAGACCCACTAACTGATTGAATTGTAAGTTAAGTGGTGGCTAAAGTGAAATTTCAATTTAGAATTATGACTGATTCTAGGAATGCACTTGAACCATAATTTTGCTCATTCTAAAGTGCTGTGTGTTTTTAAAACGGCTTAACCGAAAGTCTTCGGTTACTGACACCGTCCCGGAAGAACACCGGTCCTGAGGCTGCGCAGATCTGGACGAAGGGACCCGTTAAAGAGGCGGTGCTCACTCCTCCCACAGTCTCTGCCCAGCGAGCGCGTCTGCGCGGAGGACTGGGCACGCCACTGCCTCCGCTCCATGAACAGCGCAACACACGCCACCGCCGCCTGGGATGATGCGGGGCACAAAGGGAGCGCGGCTCGCCGGGCCTTCCGCTTCCGCCCAGGGTGTCACATCTATAACTGTCCGGGTCCACCCACTGCGCTCACCTGCCGGCGTCCGGCGGGGAACCTACCGCCCAGCGCCTGGCTCCGGCCCCTCTTCCCGTCTCTTCTGCGCCTGTGCAACCCGAACGTTCGCGAAAATTCCTGAAGCGGCACCGGCGGCTTCCGGAAGCCAGCCGCGGCCTGTACAGTAGCGCCGGCGATTGGCGTGGTGATTCCCACTTAGTCCCGGCGGTGTGCGTTTCACCTAGGCAACGGAATGGCGCTTCTGTGTTACAACCGCGGCTGTGGCCAGCGTTTCGACCCCGAGGCTAACGCGGACGGTAAGGAGGACCCTGGCCCGCAGCCGTCTCCCGCCGCTTGCCGGCCCCCGTCTCCCGATCCCCGGCCTTGCTCGCCTGGCCCTCACGCTGCTCCCGGGAGCCTCCACGTGTCTGCCCCCTCCCTGGGAGCGCAGGGCCGGGCGCTTCGGTGTCCCCGGTGCCCCTCATTCCTCAGAGGGCATCCCCTGCACCTCCTCAGTTCCGGGGCTAACCTGACCCAGTTCACACTTTGTCACTGCCTTGGTTCCTGAGCATGAGAGGTCCGAAGAGGTGGTGGGCAGTGGGCCGTTCTTGCAGTGGACTTCTTGCTGCATGTTGAGTGCTAGTGAAAAGCGGAGTGTGACTAGTTCAGCCCCCTCTCCTATAAATCACTTGCTGTCTAAAGAGCTGTTGCGGAAACGACTGTTAACACATCCGTTCCACAGTAGCAACGTTTTCGGTATACTTTTGCTGGGGCCTCCAGTTTTAAACCACGCCAACCAGCATAAAATGAGCCCCATTGGTGCTCCAAAAACCAGTGTGGTCTAATTAAGATCGTACAGGGAAAGCAAGCACAGGCTGGGTGAGCTCAGAGGTGTGAGTGAGTCTCATTAGTGAGTGGGGATAATTATGCAGATTACTAGGCTATTGTGGAAAGTGACAGCATTTGTCTCAGGTTCGCCTTAGCATGTATAGTATGCTTTTCACATGCAAGGTAAGGTATTGGACTGTCACTTCGTTATATAACTTAACTACACTGAAGTATCTCATTGCAGACAGAAGCTCCACGTGGTAGTAACACAATTCTGCATTGTGAAAGAGTTTAAAACCAGTACCTTATTTAAAGATCTGGGTTTTTTTGTTTTTTTGTTGTTGGTGGTGGGTTTTTTTGTTTGTTTTGTTTTGTTTTTTGTTTTTCGAGACGGCTTCTCTGTGTAGCTTTGCTCCTTTCCTGGATCTCTCTCTGTAGACCAGGCTGGCCTCGAACTCAAAAAGATCCGCCTAGCTCTGCCTCCCAAGTGCTGGGATTAAAGGCGTGAACCACCATCGCCCGGATCTGTTTCACGTTTGAAGTGATTGAAATATTTATCTTGGTACCCAAGTAAACTGGTGACTTCTTTCAAAGTAAAATTGGTACAGGGTTTAATTAGAAAGATGAAGCCAGTCTACAAGCACTTGTTAAACTGCATTGGTAATGTGCACATTCTACTTAAATACTAAGTAGATTGATGCCTTATAGCATGGGGTAATAGTTGTAGTGTACTAGATTCTGGTTCAGAGTTCAGGAGAGATACCAGCTTGTTCCTGGAAATTATCTGTGTGTGGAATGATGTAGTACTTAGAAAAGATAAAAACCAGACTAGGAAAGCCACACAAGTAAATAACAGCCATCAATTTGAGGCTATTAACAGCATCACATACAGCAAGGAACTCGAGTCAACTGGCAAAAAAAGTTATTCACTTTAGCAAAGTGGGAATTGTTTTAGAAATTAGGGATAAATGTCAAGTAAATTGGTTGAATGAATGACAGTTGATAACACTAGACTTAAAGTTTTTGGAATGGGAATAATTTGACCTTATACATTGAAATTACACATTAAAGGGTTAATGTCGAAGGTACCAATATGGTCTATGATTTCAGGGAGTACGGTGATGGATGTATTTGTATTTGTAAAAAGCTGTAAGTCTGGATGCTGTCTTCCCTTTCTTAATGGTGTAGTGTGATTTCCACATTTGTTGATTTATTTCATCTCTTTTTAAGTTTATTTTTGTTTGTTTTTTGCCTTGTGTACAAAAATTTGACTCTTTTCAAGATAGAGGACATTTTAGTTTATGATTCAAGTACATGTTAGAAATGTGAATTGTACCTTGCATGTGTTAAGTATTGTAAAGTAAACACGCGTTTACAAACAGGACAGCAGCTACGAGTGACAAGTGAAAATTTCAGCTAAACCTAGTGTTAAAAAGCTCTTAAAATTTAGCCACTAATCTGTTGTAGCTTCTCAGCATTAAGTACAAATTTCAGCAAAACTGGTAAACCTGATAAGTGCTAGAGAAGGAACTCTGTCTAGTTGTCATTTCCTTTTGAAAGCAGTGATTTTCACATTTCATTCATGCTGGTTACATGGGGAAGATCCAGCTGTCCCGGACTATTTATGCCTGGCTGTGTTTATACATTGTGTACTTTATGGCAGTGATTATACATTAAATGATCTGGTATTCCCCTCTCAGCTTCATGTCTGTGTACATACACAGTTCCATGCCCAACTTTTTCTAACTCTGCTGTATATAACCGGTAGCCTCTTCCTAATCTGTGGGTTTTCTTCCTGTTCCATTTCATTAGCTAGTGTTTTGTATGCATAACCAACACTTACTAAGGAAGTAGTATTAGTTGTTAGTAGATTAGAGAGATTTCAAGGCAATACCAGAAATCAGACTGTAGGGAATTGAAAATTAAACTTGAAAGATTGAGTGAAGGAAGAAAATTACGGAGGAATGTAACTGGCTTTCTCTAACCTCATGGTACTGTATCCTCAGATAATAAGTGTGTCCGTTACCTGATTGCTTTAAACAAAATGTTCCACATTGCTAGTGGTAATAAATGTATTTTGTATGAGTTAAATAAATTAAATTTTTTATTCTGTAATATGGAGAGAGACCGGATATACAAAATGATCAATAGCAACATACTATAACAGAGCAATAGAAACAGACTCTAGAACTCAACTCTGGTTTGTATCTAGGAATTACTGGTTAAGACTGCTAATGTAGTTATTACAGCAGTTATTAAAATGTTGAGTCAATTATTTTTTTCAAAAGAGTTTTTTAGAGGATCTCTTGGGCAATTTTATGGATTGATTTATAAGTATACTGAAATTTGATATTTTTCTAAAAAGATAATTGCAATATGGCCAATCAGAAGATGGGAAGGAATGCTGTGAAATTCTGTGCTCACATCATGACATGACTGTTCCATACATGAACTCTCAGCTGGTGTGGTTGCCTGAACAATATAGCATCATCTAGTTAAAATATTCCAGCAGAGTGGGAAGGGAAGTCTGTGGCTCCCCCAGGCTAAACTGAGAAGCTGCTGGCAGTTGATGGCTTCTGGGGGAAGGAGTGACTTTTCTTCAGGGGAGTGGCTAGCGAGGTGCATGGGCATAGAGGCAGCACTAGTTGGACTCAGTGGGCATGAAGTTCTGGGGAAAGGAGATGGGTTGGGAAGTGTAGGTGGGGGTACCAAGTGAGAGAGGTGGGCATGACTAAGATACTTTGTATACATGTATGAAATTTTTAGAGAATAAAAAAGAAATACTGCCAGAATCATTAGAATTTAAAGTTTAGTAATAAACAAATTTTACTCCAAAAGATGGAAGAATATACAACAGTGGTTCTCAACCTGTGGGCCACAACCCCCTTAGGGGTCAAAGTGGTCCTTTCACAGGAGTTGCCTAAGACCATTGAAAAACATATTTACATTATGATTCATATTTGCATTATGATTCATTTTATGGTTGGTGGGGTCACCACAACTGAAGAACTGTATTAAAGGGTCACAGCATTAGGAAGATTGAAAACCACTGATATAGAGTATTCCTGAATGTTATTCTTGAACAGTTCTGTATTACTTTTGTCTGTGTGTCATACTCACAGAGATTTAACTGTTAGTGTTTGTAATACAAGGAATTAATGAAGTGTTAAGAGTAACTTACCTGCATTTGGAAAAAGGATCAAACCCTAACAACCTGAAGGAGTAATACATAAACTTCTAATTTATAAACAGCTGTATTGTTTCCTTTTTCTGTTTTTGACAGATGCTTGCACATACCACCCCGGTGTACCTGTATTTCATGATGCCCTAAAGGTAGGAACAAGATACTTTTCAGTTTCTTTATACCTGTATAATAAACTTCAAGATACAATAAAAATTGTTTTCTTCCCTCAGCTTGCCAGTTTTTCCTAATGACCATTTTGGGGTGATTTAAGCATATTCTCTAAAGACAGAAGATAGTAGACAGTGATATTTTCTAGTTAGAAAGTTATTTTATTTATATTCCAACCATTTTCCTAATGATTTATTCCCTTCCTAAGTTTGAAGTGAAATAAAAGCAGTCATATTGGTCTCAGTGTTTAGTCTGTCACTGCTGGCTAATAAGAAAGACTTCCTCTGGGTGTTGGTTGTTCCAGATGTTTAATGCTTCTAGAAGTGTTTTACTGGAAACATGGTACCACATTTTCTCTTTTAATTCCTTGGTGAGCTGAAGTATCAGAAATAGTACAGTGGTGGTTTGTTTGTTTGTTTTTGCTTTGTTTTGACCAAGTTTTCAATGTTACCTTTTAAAAATTCATGATTAATAAGAGGTATAGTTCTTAGTAACTTATATATTTTTAAAGAAAGATAAATTTTAAGTATGTAAACATAAGGTTACTTTACTATCTTTCCTTGAATATTAACATTAACAGAACTTTTCTCTGAATATTCTCCTTATAACATTAGAATGTTTTATTATTAATATAAATTTGACCACTCATTTCGTTAGAAGAAACTAGTGGCTTTATATCAGTGCTTGTATTACCTGAAATTTACTGGGCCATGGGATCCAGCAGACTTGGAAAGCCGAGGTTTATAAAACATAGTTATACAGACAGACAACAAGAGTCTGCAGAATGACTGACAGTGACATCACTCATAATCCAAGCATGACACCTAAGTTTGGATCCCCAGCACCTACATAAAATCAGAGTGAGGGCCTGCTTTAACCCAGGTCAGAGAAAAGTAAGTCCTTGGGCCTTTCAGTCTAGCTAGTCTGAATTATCAAGCTCCAGGTTCTGTAAGAGAACTTGTCTCAAAAAGTTAGGTGGAGAACAGAAGACACTAGATATTGACCTCTGGTCTCGACTCCCACACACATTCACATACAATGAACAAAGCTAATAAAAGCCAACACAACTACAGAAATGAGAGTAATAAAAACACTTGAGTTTAGGAATGATTTGATGTTATCTGTACATCACATACATGCAAATATGTCAGAGAATCACTGGACTAGAGGTGACAACGTGAGGACACAAACAAATGTACTTAAGGAGTGAAAATAGGAAACATCCCTATGATTACAAGGGGAAAATGAGAAATAAAAATGTACAGTAAGAGAGTAATAAACAGCAATCAAGAAACAGTCCTTTTCCAAGAAAGAGAAATACACCTTCATAATCAGTTCCAACACCCATAAAGGCTGTTAAAGAGGCTAAAGAGATCAAAGCAGGAGCTGGACAAAGGGCCCTCTGGAACGTTGTTTCCCTCACACAGAACTGAGCAGATAACACAGACTTAGCTGCTTGCACCTTTGTTTACATGTTTCAGTTAATTACTAAGTATCTCTACCCCCCCCAGACACACACACACACACACACACACACACACACACACAATTAAGTCAGTAAAACTCCCTTACAGAATACATTTGTTGAATAATATCAGCACTCTTTAAAACACTAGAAGATTTTGGTAATTGGTGGTTGCTGTGCATCTTAATCCAAAGTTATCAAGAAAAAGAAAAAAGAAATTACAGGATATTTAATTTTCCTTCTTAAGAACAGGAGAGCAGGAGAGAAAGTGCATATAGTGTTAAAAAATTCACTACCAAAACTTCTGTGCCTTAAGAAGCTGGCATAAACCCACATAAATTTAATATGAATTTGTGGACACAAAGATATTGTACTTCTATTTTCTTACTTTCTACTACATTAAAATTAAAATCAATAACTGAAAACCACCTTCAGTAAGCTGTTTATGGTAAACTACATAAACTATCTGTTTTTTGAGTGAAATAATTAAAATTAGACCCCTTCCTCAGTGGCATAGCACCAGACAAAGCAAAGGTGGAAACCAGGAGAAAAGCCAAACAAGCTTTTAATGAATCCAGAGTACAGTGAAGGACTCAATAGTGCATCTTACGGTGGCGGTGAGGCGGGCAGTGCGAGGAGAGAGCGTTAGGACCAGGGCCTCTGCTCTTTGTTCCTTTTGGCTTTTATTAGGGTTAAGAAAGAATCAGGATGATGGAGGCTTCTAAATACCAAAGCAGCCTCTTTGCTGGTTAACCAAGGAAGAATTATTGAGTCTTACTTTATTGTCATTGGTTTAACTTTCTAGTCAGTTAAGGGCTACTCTTGTAGCCCATGTGTGTTTGAGATGGTAGACCACTAAAATCATTTATTACTATGAGCATATTTAGCTCTGGGTCAGCTAAAAGCTGCCCTGCTGATAATTCATTACAAGTGTTCTGCCCTGGCTTTTATTTATTTATTTATTTACTTATTTATTTATTTATTTATTTATTTATTTATTTATTTATTTATGACTTGGTAGGCAGAAAAGGGCATTGTAACTGGGGACATCTGTCTCCTCTGGTTTTGTAACTCCCTGCTTTAAAGAGTCACTTGGTAGTTAGTTCAAACTTCACTTACTCATTTGCTTCTGTCTTCTCTGCTTCAGGCTGAAAGGCTAGTTTAATTGTTTAGAAACTATAGTGCTATAATTGTTACTTAATAATCACCTTATCCCTCAGATCCTTCAAATACATGAATTAGAGAGAGGTTGTTGGGAATTGAACTTGCGGTATTATGCGCACTAGGCAAGAGTTCAGTGAGTTACACCCATAGTCCTGTAGATGGTGTTTAAAACCTTTTTTTCTACAACTCAAATAATATTCTTAAAAGCACATTTGATTTTTTTGTTTTAAGTAGTTAATTGATTATTGAAAAAATTAAGGGATTAGGACACACCTTACGAAAACTGAACTCACATGTATATATGTGTATAATGTCTGGATTCAAGGACATTAGTGCAACACGGTTTTAAGGGTTGGTTTGTTGTTTCCCTTGTTTTACAGGGTTGGTCTTGCTGTAAGAGAAGAACAACTGATTTCTCTGACTTCTTAAGCATTGTAGTAAGTACTAGTTTACTTCGTTATTCTTTTTCCAAAAGTACATCCTCCTAGATGTTCCAGGAGGAGCAGTCAGGTCACTGGTATCCATTAATTCAGCTATCAGGGTACGCCATACTTTACAAAGCGGATTCATCTCTTCATAGCCTCTAAAATCCTTTGTTTGCCTTGGAGAGTAAGATTTTATTATGTTAACTTCACTTGTCATTTTACATTCTTGATTTCAGTAGTCCTGAAAAGAAGGAAGGAAGTCAGAGGCAGGCAATGGTAAAGAACATTTTCAATTATAGGCAGTAAATTTTATCAGGATACCAATGAGATGGTTCATTGTTTCATATGGCACGAAGAAAGAATTTCTATTTATAGATGAGAAAAATAAATTTTTTTTTTTTTTTTTGGTTTTTCAAGACAGGGTTTCTCTATGTAGCTTTGTGCCTTTCCTGGAACTCAGTTGGTAGTCCAGGCTGGCCTCGAACTCACAGAGATCCACCTGCCTCTGCCTCCCGAGTGCTGGGATTAAAGGCATGAGCCACCACTGCCCGGCGAGAAAAATAAATTTTTAAAGATTATTTGAGTTAAGATCATATTTCAGTTTAGTAGGAAATTAGAAGCCTAGATTGAGACCTTTTTGTTTGTTTTAAGGCAGGGTCTCAGGAAGCCCAGGTAGGTATAGCCAAGGATGACCTTGAACTCCTGAACTTCCAGCCTCCAAACCCAAATGCTGAGATTACAGGTGACACCATGCCAGGCTTAGTGGTATCGGAGGTCAAACCCAGGGCTTTGTAATGCTAGCCAAGCTCTCTCAACTGAGACTGCAGGCTGGGACCTTTTTGAATAAAGAGCTTTGGCATGTTTGCATAATTTGAAAAGGCTTTTGAAAACACTCAAAACGCAAACATACATACATAAAGTAGGTGAAAGTGTAACTACTCGTTTGTATCTTTTACTAATAGGGTTGCACAAAAGGTAGGCATAACAGTGAGAAGCCACCTGAACCAGTCAAGCCTGAAGTCAAGACTACAGAGAAGAAGGAACTATCTGAATTAAAACCCAAATTTCAGGAACACATCATTCAAGCCCCTAAACCAGTAGAAGCAATAAAAAGGCCAAGGTATACAGCTATTTATATTTTTAACACTATGGTAATGGCATTTGCTGGTGGCAATTTCTTTTAGTGTTATATATAAAGGTATTTATAGTGGCTACTGTATGTGGTTTTTCCTTTGGTAATAACCCTTTGATTTTTGAGGGCATGCACACAGCGTTGGGGAGTTGTACATCTTCAATTTCTGGTGTATCTTTCTCAAGTGGCATGGTGGAATTCAGTAAAAGAATTGTCCTAACAATTAGTTTGAATTGAAGAGCCACAGAGGCCTAATCACTTACCTTTACTTTCGGGTTGGAGATGAATTAGTTACTCTCATTAGTACTTGTGGAGTTTTCGTTTATTTGATTTAGGATAGCCTGCCTGTCAAAATACTTTAAAAATGGCTTTTGCTCAGTTTGAAGTAAATTAGATTGTTTGTATCACCTTCTGTTCAAACAAGACTATTTTGAGACACATTAATTGGATTGCTCATGTAACACAACATCCTCAAACTGCACTTAAATAGTGGTTGTTTCAGAACTTGAACTACAGGATGTTAGCACAGGATCTGGGCTCCAGATTTGTCTCTCAGATGAGTTCTTTTTAAATACAAACCTGAGAAATCATTGAAACCAATTGAAGCTTTTATTCACACTATAAATTTACAGTGTTCCCAGCTCCTTCTTTATTATACTTAAATAATTTATAAACCGTTAACATAATATAGCACAAGATTAGAATTCTAACTTTGGATGCTTGTTTCCTCATTAATTTTTTGAGGTATAGGCTGTAGTTAAAGATCAGAATGTTTTTATTCCACCTGCGTTATTAATCCAGTCTTAAGAGACTGTCAAACACAAGCCTAGGCAGTTTAAAAAAATACTGGAAAAAGACAAGAATTCTGATACAGTACAGTTCATCCTTGAGCCTGTTACAACTTAGAAGCCTCCTAGAATATAGTAATAGTATGAGTTAATGCCGTTTCTTTAAATGATGGACTGCAGACTTATAAGTTCTACTTAAAAGACTATGAGAAAAATGTATCATTTTATTTCATTTTATCTGTGGGTATGTTTTGCCTGCATGTGTATCTGACCACTTATATGCTTGGTACCCATGGAGAATATCTGATTCTCCTGGAACCAGAATTACAGACAGTTTTTGATCTACTATGTGAGTGCCAGGAATCAAACCCCTTAATCAGTGAGCTCTCCATCACTTAAATGTTTTATTTAAATCCATCTGATACATGAGTTACTTCTTCTAGTGTACTTCATTAATGTTTGCCAATTTGGCGTTGTGGATGCAGAGTGAATTGCCTATGATATATTTTATTGCTGTATTTATTAGTAGTCTCAATATTTGCTTATTGAATAGGCTTAAATTATATATAAAAAACTTAAGCCATTATGAATTTTTAGAACATGGTAAGTCTTTATATGTCATCTCTCCACATAAAGTTAATTGACTCTGCTAATACACAGAAGTATGCTTTCACTTAGTGCTTGAGGATTTGTGCTCAGAATTTTGCTTGGGGATGAACTGAAAAGGATTATACAGTCTTTTCCACAGAGTTTACATTCCTAGTCTTTACTTCCTATAGCTCCACTGTATTGTAGTATCTTTTTATGCTAGCAGTGGCTTAAATATTTGAAACTTAATTTCTTAATAGAAGAATCATTTTGATAAAAGTTAAAATGTTGGTAGATTGTGACATTTGCTTATAAAATACTTTTATTAGGAATAACTTGATGCACAAATATTTAACATCTTCTATAGAAGATATATATTTATATATATATATTTAACATCTTATACATTGGTCTATTGATGATAATATAACTTCAAAATTCTCCAGCCCAGATGAGCCAATGACAAACTTGGAATTAAAAATATCTGCCTCCCTAAAACAAGCACTTGATAAACTTAAACTGTCATCAGGGAATGAAGAAGAAAAGAAAGGTAGGACACTGTTGTTTGTTGTTTTTTTTTTTTTTTTAAATATTCTTCTGTATAAGTAAGAAGCCATTCTAAAGAGATAGATGTAGTACACTGAGCATGTGAAAATGTAGCACATTATAGTGAAGAACTTACTTTATTCTCACATGCTAATAACACCATGAAAGAACATTCAGTTCTTTGATTATGTCTGTGTGCAAACTTATCACCTCTTAATTATTTTATCAAGTAATAAATTTCTTCAACAACTGAAATGTTTTTTTGTGCATCATATAAAATATATTTTATTATCCATTTGACCTCTGCCTAATACCAAGGGACAAAAATAGCTTCCGTGATTTCTGCTGTATAAGATTTTATAAAAATGGATAAGCACTGCATTGTAGAATGAAAACACATATACCATTTGGGGGCACACAGGCAAAACCTACGTACAGGGATTTTTGTTTGTTTTGTTTTGACACAAGACTTTGTCCAGTAGCTTGTCTTAGATGTCGCTTTGTGATCTAAGATGTCTTAGAACTCATAATCATCTTGCCTCAGCCTTCCAACTGCTGGGGTATACACCACCACATTGACTGGGCTCTGGGTTTCTATTTTCCTCTCTCTCTTTCTCTTTTTTTTTTCCCTTACATTGGAACTGGGGGTTTTTTTGTTTTTGTTTTTGTTTTTTTAAGACCAATACAACAGTGGTGTTCTATTTTAATATTGTAGTTTTAGATTTTATTCCTCTTGTTTCAAAAGAACATAGTTAATGAAATTTCGTGTTACCTTGTTTTTTTCCATTGCAGAAGAAGACAGTGATGAAATTAAGATTGGGACTTCTTGTAAAAATGGAGGGTGTTCAAAGGTATATATTATAAAACTTTGGATTTATGGAGTAAAATTTTAATATTGAAGCAGAGTACTGTGACTCACTCTAAAGTTAGCAAATAGTTGGGTGTTAGTTACATTTTGGGCACTTTGCTGAAGATTAGGGCTGTAAATACAGTAAGAGACTTTGTAAGAGGAACATCTGATAGAATTATGGGAATAAATCTAATTTGATTGACATTTACTAAGCATTTCATCCATGCTAAACATTGTTTCAGGGGCTGGAGACAACAGTATCAAACAAAAACCTCTGTTCCTAAGGAACATACTCTGATGTGAGCAGGAGAACAGACTAGGCCATTGAATAATGAATTCAGGCAGACCTGAAGTAAATTTAATAGATGGAGCACCTGCAGTGGTCCCAGTCAGGGGCTACTTAAATGAGATTTGTTGAAGGTCTTTCTAATGAGGCACTAGGTCAGAATTATGGGGGAGGTGGGCTGTAAACCTGGGAATGGAACTATCCTTAGAGGGAGCAGTAGAGGCAGAGAGGCTCCAGAACTAGACTGTTCGGTTAGTGGCAAGGTCACAGGGTTTGGGCAGTAATCTGAAAGAAGTGGGCCAAGAAGTAGACAAGATGGTGAAAGGTCTAAACCAGGATGAGAGTCTGAGCTCCTTCACAAACTACGATGGTGAGTTGTTACCTTTTGGGAAGGTGTTCTGTTTGCTGAGGCAAGTCTCACTCTACCCCATCCTGGCCTCAAGCTTCATTCCTGACCCTTAGCTGAATGCATGATTACGGTTGTGTGCCACCTTGCCCAATTTAGGGAGAGGTAAAGCAGTCTCTGTGACAAGTGGAAATGGAAGAAGAGAAAGCAGCTTGGACACTGTTGTTGAAGACCAGGCAGTGTCATTCTGGAGAGTAGGTTGCTGAGACATGACTGAGTGTGGGGTATGGCTTAACATAAGCCCTTTTGCTGTCTGCTCTGTGTACCCTCTCATGCTTTTTCCTCTGTAACACTTGTAACCTTCCTTGTCTCCCTTCAGTTACGGTGAGGATTATGATAGTACGGTTTTGTTTGCTTTTTTGTTGTATATTGAATGCTTTGAACAATGCCTGGCACATAACTGATATGTGTACAATTAATGATAAAATTTGAATAATTGTGCCTTCAAGAATCTGGGTAATTGGTGGGCTTAGGGTCACAGTCTATGCCCCAAGAAGCCAAGTGCATCCACCCATCTTTGATAAGCCAATTTAAACAGATAAGTTAATCTGAGAAAAACAGAAAAGGCTTTTATTCATGTGATCACATTGGGAAGAGGGACAAAGATCCAGCAGCACCCACTGCAAGTCCGTTTTGTGTAAGGGAGATTCTTAAATACGGGGCTAGAGGTATGCATAGTTAAGCAGTCCCAGGCAAGGTCTGGTCCCACCTACCATAATCATTGTCTGGCCTTTCCATTGACTGGCACAGGATTTAGGCTTTCTCTTCTCCCAACATGATATTCCTGGGAGGAATTTGTGTTTTAGAATCCATTATTCCAGTAGTCTATTAGTTAAGAGCACTGGCTGCTCTTTCATAGGCTTGATTCTAACCATCCATATGGCATTTCACAACCATCTGCAACTCTAGATCAAGGGGATCCATTGCCCTCTTTTGGCCTCCCTGGGCACCAGGCACACATTGGGTACACAGACATTATCAGTCAAAACACCCGTACTCGTAAAAATAACAATAAAAACGGTTTCTTCATCCCTGCCAGACAGACCATTTATAGTACAGTTGAGAATGAAGATGGGGCCTCAGCAGGTTTGTTTTCCTTCCAAGAAGTTTGAGACTCCTTTGCTTACTAAAAGTGGAGTGGAAATAGAAGTATAACTTCATATGTATAAGGTAGAAGTAGTAGGTAAAAGAGGGGTAATTTTTTTTTCTGTTTTAAGTTTTATTACTTATTTTTAAAATTTTCATTCTTTTCACATTCCCAAGCCTTTCCAGATCATCTCTACCCACCCACCTTCATGTTCTTTCTCTCTCTCTCTCTCAATAAGTAAATAAATCAGCAAACCATAATAAAAAATGCACCCATACAAAAGCTGGAATCTGTTTTGTGTTGGTCAGCTCCTCCTGAGCATGAAGCCTGTCCTGGAACATGTTTGAATTTTTTCCCCTTTCTCAACAGGTACCAGTTACAAATTGCTTCTTGGTTAGGTGTGTGCACTTCACCTTCTCTGTGCTAGAATTTTCTCTGGTTTCCATTTTTTTTTCAAGTCTTATGCATGCTGTCACAGTCTCTCCATATGTACATAGGTTCTGTTATATCTGGAGCATGCTGTTTCTTTGAAGGCATCCACTATCTCTGGCTCAGAATCCTTCTGCCTCTTCCTCATTGCTTCCTAAGCCTTGAATGGGGAGGGCTTTGATACAGACATCCCATTTACGGCTGAGTGCTCCAAGGTTCCTCACTGTCTGCCCACTGTCAAATTGTCTCTGTTAATTACCATCAACTACAAGAAGCTTCTCTGATAAACTTGAGTGATGCAGTGATCTATGGGATTGCAATCTCTCCCCACCCTTCATGTTCATTTAGCAGAGAAGTAGTAGACTTCCTCTCAAAGCCCATGGCCTATCTAGCCTCAGATCTTGGCCTCTTAACAATTTCAGGTGTAGATAGATTCCATCTTCTGGATTGGGCCTTGGACCCAGTCCAGATGGTTTGTTATGCCCCTAACATTTCTGCTCCTGTTGCACAGTCTTGCAGTCAGTTTGCTGTTAGAGGTCATAGGCTACATAGTTCAGTACCGTTCATAAGAGAATGAGAAAGGCAATACAGGTGGCAGAGTACTAGTGGAAATTCAACTTAATAAAAGTACCAGAAATGGGGATGGGGAAATATACCCACTAAAAGTGATCACAGTAGTACAAAGAAAATAATACGAATGTCATGATACTCTTTCCTTATATAGGTTGAAATTAAGAGATAACCGTATTTAAGTGCCTTTTGTGCTGAGAAATTAAACTTTTAGATTATAGAGGATTTAAGAATTATTAAACTATTTCATTGAAATAGTGAGATTTAAACTTGAGGGCTTTCAAAATGAAGATGGCAGTATTTCCCTACAAAGGTTTGTTTTTTATCTATCAACACATACTTTGCTCTCTTTGTCCTCTTTCTTAATGTTCACTTCTGTTTGTTAGATTTGTTTTAAGGAATATAGCCACAATCTTGCCCTTTTTGATGCTTTGTGAGTGTCAATGTTAAAAGTGTGCTACAGTTGATAATTGATTTTTCCTTCCTGCTGTCTTTTTTTTTTTTTTTTTTTAATAACACCACTTTAAACATTTCAGTGTGTAACTTTTGTGACTAGAAATGGAATGTATGTATGTGTTCGGTTGTAGCGGGTATGAAGACATAGGTAGTTTTCAAAGGTTCTTTCCTCTCTGGCTAAATGTCCCTAATTTCTCACCTGTCCTTTTCACTTTTTTCTAACAGTCTTGTAGGAACTATTGATGCCTTTTAGCTGCAGGTCCTTTGTCAGAGATACTTAGTTTCGTTTTCACTGACCTGATGATATCATTGATAAACAAAGAGACTTAATGTTCATGAAATGAAGCTTTTCTGTTTTTTCCTTTATTGCCATTGCTCTGCTTTATTTCAGAAATACTTCTGAGCTATAGGCAGTTTCTCGTGCAGAGGTACTTTTAAATATGTGAAACACCGAGTATGGTAGAAACTGTGAAGTGTTCTTTTAATCAAAGGACATTCGAGGAGAATTTGCTAGTTCTTGGGTGAGGTTAAAATGTTAAGTGTTTCCTTTAAGTTTGACAAGATTTTGTGATAACTTTAAAGGTAGAGAGGACAGATGTACTGATTCAGATTTGGAGGACTCAGTACATTTGATGCCATTGAATAAGATAAGAAATGAGACATTTAGGTGCAGTAATGATAAGTTCAGATTCTAACATACTGGAATTTATGTACTTAAGGTAATAAACACCCAGTACTTTTTACCTGCAGAAAAGAAACAGAAAATTTCTTCTTCTGTACTTCAGTTAATAGGAATACAAAGTTAGAGAATATACTACCAGCTGCATCCATGTTTTATTAACATAACTTTTTGTGAATTCATCTGTAGAGCCTTCATGTACAAGCAGCAGTGGGGCCCGGATCTTCCAGACAAACCATGGATGTATATATAGGTCTGCAGCTCATTTTACCATTTGTAGGGATAAGATATCACCATTTTACTGAAACTTCCAGAATAGCTTATTAGATTTTCCCATATTAATTGGTAATGCTCACACAGAGTATAATATACACATAATTCATACTCTTTTGGGGGAGAGGATAAGTCCCTTGGTTCCAACATGTTTCTGTAAATTTAAATACTTGAATATTGTTCACTGTAACTTCATACCTAAAAGGCTAAAAGCATCTTATGTAGTGAGTTGCCTACCTTTTTGTTTGCTTTCTTTACAGGGATCTAGAGTTTAACCATGTCCAAAAGAGGGTCATTTTCCATTCCTTAATGAATTTGCCAGTGTTCTTGTAGCTGCTGTTATTTAAGTATTTTCTGAAGGCCTTATGGGTAACCAGTACTACAGATAGGTATAAGATGCAAGTATGAGATGAACATCTAATTTTTTCTCTCTATCTTTGTTTTTTAGACATACCAGGGTCTGCAGAGTTTAGATGAAGTCTGTGTATATCATTCTGGAGTACCTATTTTCCATGAGGGGTAACTTATGCATTCCTAATTAAAATATTTATAGTAGTGATTCAGAATATTAAACCTTTATATCTTTAAACGCTGCCATGCAGTTTTTGGAAAATTTTACCTACATTACCATTTAATCCTTATACTAACCTAAGTAAAGGGCAGGGGCGGGTGCCTTCACTAAACACAGGAGAAATAGGGTTACAGTTTTTAAGTAATTATTGTGATTCTTCAGTGTGATCTTATTTGGACTTTATTTTTTTTATTATTATTTTTTTTTAATCTGATGCAGGGTCTTACTGGTTGTGAGGACTGCCTCTACCTCGAGATACTCAGGCCTTAGCCTCCTGCAGAGAGAGCACTTTACAGGCATGTCCTACCATGTGGCCTGAATTACTTTTCTTAAAGGACTGTCAATTCATTTTTAGGACATTAGAATTTTCGGCCATGGGGCACTAAAGCACCATAACCCAGGAAAGCCCATGCTTTTCCATAACTCACAATTTTTAGTTTGTCTCTATATTGTGGTACAATTAATATGTAGAAACTTGATGATATTAGACTCTTCAGCTGTTTCCACATGCTCCAGATGTCTGGAGATCTGTAATTTTTAGTTACCTGCACAGGGTTTTTCTCGTTGCTAGTAATGGTTTTTCCTTCTTTGAGATTGGCCGTCATGTGTGGAAACACTAGTTTCTACTTTGTTCCATGTTCTTCAGTGGGTTGTGAAAGTGTGGCTATCAGAATATTTGGTCATACCACTTTTTGGTAGCTTCATAAGGGAATTAAGGTATACATCCTCAGTGAGAAATTATACTTGGAATTTGTGATTGTTTTGTATATTTACTCAAAAGCCAAATTAATACAATAAATATCACCCTGGTTTTAAAATAATTAGCTTCCCTAGTATATGTTCATTTTAACTGTTCACTAATACTTGCAAGTTATTTAAAGTTGGAGGGTTTTTTTTGTTTTTGTTTTTTTGTTTGTTTGTTTGTTTGTTTTTTGGTGGTTTTTCGAGACAGGGTTTCTCTGTAGCTTTGGAGTCTGTCCTGGACTAGCTCTGTAGACCAGGCTGGCCTCGAACTCACAGAGATCCACCTGCCTCTGCTTCCCGAGTGCTGGGATTAAAGGCGTGCGCCACCACCGCCCGGCGAGTTGGAGTTTTTATTTCTTAATTGCACCTGTTATAATGATAATACTGACTTGAATTCATTGTCTAATTTAAAGGATGAAATATTGGAGCTGTTGTAGAAGAAAAACCTCAGATTTTAATACATTCTTAGCCCAAGAGGGCTGTACAAGAGGGAAACATGTGTGGACTAAAAAAGATGCAGTAAGTAACCTTTCAAAATCACATGCTGATCTCTATTCATCTAAGTCATTTTTAAAATAGCTGAGATTGGTATGTGTTTATATTACAAAAATAGCTTTCTTACTATTTAAATAAAGCATTGACACATATGTACAAAGTAGTTAATCTCAGTCTCCCAATGCTGCCTAGTGACAAAATAACCCTTGTGTGTATTGATGCAGGTATGTAAGTTTTCAGAAATACTTTAAACCTGCAAAAATTGAAAGATCTTTGTCTTGCTAAGTTGGCTCCATAGGTAAGAGCACTTGTTCTTGCAAAGGACCGAGATCGGATTCCCATCATCCAGAAGACTCAGCATTTCCTTAGGCACCTGCATGCATGTGGTACACAGACATACATGCAGGGAAAAAACACACCCAAAATAAATCTAAAAATATATTTTAAAAAAATCAGTTTCACAACCTTTTCCTACTTCAAAAATTGTTTCATATCATAAAAGCACTTCCTATTAATTTTATGTTACTAAACCAGTATTCAGGCCTCTAGTTCTTTTTTGGCCACAAAGTCATTCAACCATAAATACACTCCCTCCATCTAGTGTCCAAAGTGTTGATTCTTCAACAGAATTTCTTTGAATGCCTCTGTCAGCTCTGGAGAAATTTATCAAGAGAAGAAAAAAAGAGTTACAGAGCATCGGTTCCTATTTTCTGGGTTTTTTTTTTTTTTTTCCCATAACATCTTAGGGATATGAGTGTAATCCCCTTAAGCTCTTTATATTAAAAGAAGAAAACCGGTTTGTTGCTAAATAATGGTTTGTATGCTAGATCTTATTATTTTAATTGCGTGATTAATATAAACAAATCTTTTGTGCTATGCTGACAATGATAACCTTTTAGGAGCCTTTCTGGTTCATAAAACTTTTACCTTTCAGGCTAGAGATGTATTCACTCTTTGATATCTCACTGTTGTTGGTTTTGAATCATAGATTACTGACCATAAAACTTACAGAAATGTTTTACTAGCAGAAAGTGAGGTGTGCTTGTACATTTTCTCTGAGGTCAAAACCTTAAATAGTTTGAAAAAATAAATTCTGCTTTACTTTTTGTTTAAAAAGTTTTGAGAGTGTGTTCCTTGGTGAAATGTAACTATTTTCTTTCTTTTAAATATAAGTGTTTTCAGAGTTTCCTGAACTTTCTGACTGAATTGTTCTTACTTAGAAAAATCTCAATTTGTTCATTTATTTTTTGGAAATCGATTGATACCATAGTAAAGCACTGGAGAATAATGGTCATATCCATAATAGCAGTCAAAAGATGATGTGTATAAATTGTGACATTTTCTGCATGCTAATATGAAAGGACAAGATAACTTAATAATCAGAGACTAGTTACTAGTAGACAACATGTGTGTGTGTGTGTGTGTGTGTGTGTGTGTGTGTGTGTGTGTGTGTGTGTGTTTGCGTTTGTGTGCGTACATGGGTGTAACAGTTCACTTTAGGTCTCTTCCTTGTCACTACCGTATTTTATGAAATACGGGTTCTCCCTGAGCCTAGAGCTCATCAATGCAGCTGTGGGATCTTGTGCTCCACCTTCTAGCACTAGGATTACAGAATCATGCTACCATGTATGAATGTTTTTATGTCGATGCTGATGTTCCAAACTCAGGCCCTCATGCTTGGAAAGCAGGCATACTGCCAACTGAGCCCTGTCCCCAGCCCTGACAACACCCAAAACTCTCATTTATACAAAATAAACTCAGGTTCTCATGCTTTCAAGTTCTTGTGTTGTCTTGTTTATTTTACCAAACAAATTCCTTTTTCATTTCTGTCTTCAAAGAATGATTCTATGACAGTACATAATGGACTATAGGATATGAATGGAATAAAGTTTAGTAAGGCTTTAGAAATTATCTCCCAAGTGGACAGTAACAGTGTAGCCCTAAAGGATAAAACCAAATTGGAGAAAGAGGGTGTTCTCACATCATAAACTGTTAAGATATTTTGTGTCGTAGTTTACTGTTTAAACCTCTTGGTGGAGTCTTTAGAAGTTGTTGCCCTGAGGCATCAAGTGTTAGTTGTGCCTGGTAAATTTTCTCTAGATGAGTGAGTTCTTTCGTAGAAGTTGATGATGATGAAAAGGCTGTGGCGGTACTTAAGATTACAAATTCATTATTACATTACAGGGAAAAAAGGTTGTTCCATGTAGACATGACTGGCATCAGACTGGGGGTGAAGTTACCATCTCCGTGTATGCTAAAAATTCACTGCCAGAACTCAGCCAAGTAGAAGCAAATAGTACACTGGTGAGTATATTAATTGACTGAACAAAAATTATCTTAAACCCATTCTTTGTTAATATTTTCTGAGTTCTTAGTTCTCATCAGAAAATTACTAATGACTTTCATAGAAACAGTATTTTAAGTGAAAATCACAGTGTAGTAGAGTTTGTTCTGAAGTTTTCTAAAAATATAGTATCTTAGAAGAATCATAAAATATATATTTGTTTCTCAGTGCTTTCCGGTTAATTTTTCTACTCTCTTAATCACTTTCTTAAATGTGGGGGCTCTACTGACATTTTCTCATGGCTTAAGTAATGTCAGTCTTCCTTGTCTTTACAGTTGGTACTTGGTTTCACAGATCTTCAGTAGGAATTTGATCAGTTATCACTCTGACTGGATGTGGTTCAGTGTTTCACTGCATGCTTAGTATCTATTAAGGTCTTGTTTTTAGTATCTGGCACCAAAATAATGATAACAATTTATCTATTTCAGTTAAATGTTCACATTGTATTTGAAGGAGAGAAAGAATTTCATCAAAATGTGAAACTATGGGGTGTAAGTATTATGAATCCAACTTTTTTTTTCCTGATGATTCAAAACATTTTGAAAATGAGTATTCATGGAAAGTTTGTGAATATAACCTTAATGTGTCTGTCAAGATACTTAAACTGCATGAAAATGGCCTCAGATTTTGACATTAGAATAAGCAAGATGCGGGTTTTTTGTGACCAATAAAAGTACCCTGTTAACTTTTACTTTTCATGTGTTGTAGGTGATTGATGTCAAACGGAGTTATGTAACCATGACTGCAACAAAGATTGAGATCATTATGAGAAAGGCAGAGCCCATGCAGTGGGCGAGTCTTGAACTGCCTACAACCAAAAAGCAGGAGAAAAAGAAGGAAGATAGTGCAGATTGATTGGAAGAGAAACAGAAAGCTCTTGTCTGTTTTAGAGTTCTTAACGTGTGTGGTGAAATAGTAGCTTGCTGCTGTAATCCTTTTGTTGTTTTTTAATCGCCCTTTTAGAGTTATCATGAGGTTCTTCAAAGCCAAAGTCTGTTAATTTTTTGTGCCTCTATCTTCCTTTTGAGTTTCATAATACGATTTTTTGTGCCTCTTTCTTCCTTTTGAGTTCCATAATATGATTATTCAGTTTCCTCACTAGTATAAACATAGTTGTTACCCCACACATGAAGGGAGAGAAAGAACTCATAAGCTGTATTATTTCTTAGTATAAAAAAAACCTAGTATTTCTTAGTATAAATTATTATAAGCAGAGAAATAAAAGGATTTTTTTTTATCCTGATATCACTGTTACCCTTAAATGGGAAAGCAAGGTGTAATATAAGAAATTTAATTGGCCTTTCCATGAACTTTTGTTACTGTAATTCTTGAAAACCTTTAAAGAAAATAGTTCTGTTTGCTTTCCCCAATGAGATGGTTACTTCCTGTAGTATTAGCCCTGAAGCAATGTAGTCACCATCTGTGTGTACTGCTCATACAATTCATTTGCAATTAATTTAATTTCAGAAAGCTACATCAGTACCTATAGTACTTGTCAAACAGTATAATTTAAGACTATAGGAAATATAACTAAGATTATAGAAGTACCAATTTTGTTTAAAATTCATCATTTCATAAGAGTAAGCAATAATGTTTAAAAAATTTCTTTTTTAATTATTTAAAGGTCTTTGTATGGTGTTTTAATTAAATTGTATCTAATTTATAGTCTAAGCCCTCTTAGGGATTATATCTGTCTCCCAGATGAAAAACTGTATCTGTAAAATTGTGACTGTGTAGCTTTGTTGAAATAAGGTATGTGTGAGGCTTGAATCTGGAATGCCCTTGCAGGCTTGTTTTGAACTGTTGGTCCTCCAACCTATGGCTTATTTTGAAGGCTGTGGAATATTTAGGATGTTGGGCCTGGTTGGGCTCTCTGAGGTGAGCCTTTAATGATTATGCAGCCTGCTGGCTTGCCTGCGGTCAGGGCACGTGAACCACTCTGTCCAGTGCTCTCAGTGCTGCCTCCTCAGCCATCATAGACTGTATCCTCTGAAACTGTGAGCCAAAATAAACCTTTCCTCCCTTGAGTTATTTCTGTCAAGTGCTTTGGTCAAGGCAACAAGAAAAAATGACACTACAGAAAAATTAGGAGAGTTGTGTCTTATATGTTAATGGAGTTGCCTAACTCTTTGGAGTTACTTTAAGTGTTTCATGAAGAGGTTGACAAGTTTACTAATACAATATTGGTTACATATTGTACTTCATTTACATTAATTATATATGACACAGAATTGCTTGTTTATGCCAATTACAGCCATTAATGAATGGGTTACTTTTTGAGGCACAGCTCAAGGGGAAACTTGTTATATAAAAGTTAGAACTCTAGCAGAACTTAGTAAATTGGTGCCTTAAACTTGTATAAGTCAAAATGAAAGTTAAAGGTGTTTACTTCCCAAACTCTTTGGTATTAATGGAAATTCTTACAAAGAAAGTTTGAGTATAGCCAAGATATTATTTTTAGCAAGTAAAGAAATTAGGACAGGGGCTGGAGAGACAGCTCCCTTAGGAGCAGCTATTGAGTTTGATTCCCTGAACCCATATGGCAACTCATATACTTAAAGGAACTCCAGTTATAGGTCCCTCTTCTGGACTCCATGGGCACCAGGCAAGTATGCAGCGCACCTTAAATACAGCAGGCAACCTGTATGAGTCATTCTGCTATTAGCAAATAACTATTAGAGATAGTATAGTTCTGTCAACAAATGTAAAGACACAAATTTAGTCTTTAAGCTTTGATGATACAAGAACATGCTAAAAAAAAGTTTTGGCAATAAAAAACTGGGATCCAAATAGTGTCTCTAAGTTTCTAGTTAAACATGAATTCATTTAGCAAAGAGATCTATCTTGTTTTCTGCCAGAGGAAAGAGGTTGAAATATTTTGATTCAAAATATTAATTATACCTGTATCACTTCCTTGTTGAGACTTTTGTTATTCCTTGAATGGTAGTTTTGTCTGTTGGGATGGTACTGTTGAAGCAAGTGAAGTTTTCAGACTTGGTTGTGCAACACTGGTTTTATTTTTCATACAGTTGTGAAGTGGTTACATTTGTGACTATTTAAATACTGTTTTCTTTCAGAACCTCTGGATGTCACTCAGATACAAATTAAGTGAAATTTACCTTAAAGTCTGGCAACAGAGTTTTTTTTTTTTTTTTAAAGAAGAATGTTTTACTCTGTCAGTTTATTAAGAAAAGTTAATGAAATGCCTGTTAGCACTAAGAAGTTATTCCTGTTAGATATATGCCTTTCTTTTATTATGGCATCAAAGCAGTCAAATCTAAATATATTTTATACATGTTGTTACTCACTTTAGCATGGGAAACTTAAATGCTATTTTTCTTGCCTAGCTTTTGCTTGCACAAAGGAATTAATATCCTAAGTTGACCTGTCTTTTCTAACCTCTTATTTTAAAATAACTTTAGGTTGGCAGAATTACAAAACTAGTAAAGGAGTTCTTTATAATTAGTATATCATCTTCCCATGTTAAAATGGTCATGATAGACAGTTTACAAAACTGAGACATTAACCTTGATATAATTTAAAGTAGAATGTTTAATTTTAACCTTTTTAGTGGAACCCTTAAAGTGTAATTCTTGAAACCTGTCTTCTAATTTAAGCCAGTAATGTAAACAATTAAAACATGAACTGAAATCAGATGTTTATAGGTCGACTGTATACATTTAGAGAACTGTATGTATAGTCAGTGCACTGATTGAGCTTTGTCATTTGTATCTTAATGCTGGGGGTTTTTGTCTTTACTATACATAGAACTTGTTTGATTTTCTTCTTAATCAGTTCATCACAATGAAGAGAACCATTAAAACATTTTTGCAGATATTTTGAGTCCTGTGAATTACTGCTTCTAACCCTCTTGTTAAAATGATTGCTTTGGGAGCTGGAGAAATAATGGTGCAGTGGTTAAGAACACTTGCTACTCCTCTGCAGGAGCTGAGTTCACTTACCAGCACCCACTTTGGGCAGCTTACAACTACCTATAACTTCCAACTCCAGAGGATCTAATGCCCTTTTCTGGCATCTGTGGTGAGCACCCACAAACACAGAGAATAAATAATGAATAAATAGGAGTACTCTGAACATTGGTTGTTACATACATCTACAGTAATCTTTAAAAACTCATTAAGGAGCCTAGTGTCTACTTAAAGGCAATTGAGTATGTATTTTTTAAACTTAATTTTTCCTTTTTCCATTTGAAAACGATTGTTTTATGCTGTCATTCTGTTGCAGATTGTCTTATTTGACTTTAATCTATAGTGGTTTAATCCAGTATTGCTTCATAGCCTTATTCGGAAGTAGGAGCTGTTAAGTCCAACTTGGTTTTTTTAAAGCTTTTATTGTTGTATAAATCTTTATTGTTATAGATTTCTTTGGTCTGGTCAGTAGAAGGTCATGTTTTTCCCTGATTGCTTGTCATCTGTTCTTGCAACTACAATTCATCTCACTTGCATGGGCCTTTTAATTAATGATGGATGCCTGTGCATGTAGCATTATCTCTAAATACCTAGCTTGACAGGCTTCTCTATATATATTTAGTGCTTGACTTTTGAGTTTTCATGGAGTTCTTAGATGTAAGGAATTTCTTCAAGAATAGGTTTCCAAAGACTTTATTTTCATTAATGATCTGTAGATATTTTTATGTCACTTAAAGATTTATTTAAAAATAGCTTGATTTGTTACTCTTTCCACTAAGCAAATATTCAAATGGTTAAATTGTATAATTATCTTTTTAAAAAGATTTTTGTAATTACAGCCTAATGATTAAGCATGAAAAAGGAAAATCTCTCAAAACTTGAAACACTTTATTTACAACAAAGACGTTAGATGAGTCTATTCCTGTTCTATGTGTATTATTTGTTAGTCTTTTTGCTGGCTGCGTGTTATTTTGGCTGTTTCTGATTTGGCTAACTAATGGATGCCTGTTTTCTACTGCACTATTTGACATATTTGGGTAACTGCTAATGACAAACATACACCAGTAATGGACTAGCATTGTTTTAAGAACATCAATGCATATGAACCTAATTGCTCGTGGCTACCGTGTGAGGTATGTGGTTTTGTATTACGGGCGAGGAAAAAGATTCAAGGCACTGCTTAAACTCTTCCAGTAAGCTGTGGAGTAAAAATGGCAGACTCAGACATTGAGAATTTGTTCCCTATGTCTGTGTCCAGACATACTCTGTACTACTTATTAGCAGAATGAATAGCTTTTCTAAAATATTGGCACAGTACGTGGGAAACTGGTGACTGGTAGTCAATACTGTGTTTTGTTAGAAAATAATATGTCATTTTTGCCTGGATGGTTTTGATTGATAGCCTATTAAAACTCATCATTTGTGATTTGACAACTTTTAGAGTGTGGTTTCTCCGAAGATCTTGAAGGAAATCTCAAAATCCTCAATGCAGCAAGTCATAATAGTTTCCATTGCCATTCAGGTAGTGTTACATGCCTTATAGATAGGTATGCCAGAAGCTGCAGTCAAACACCAGCAAACTTACCTTTGTTTTCCCTGTTAATGTAAGATGTTAAAAATAGTCACAAATTTGCAGTATCTAGAACATATTCCTGGTATAGGAATAAGGAGTTAGAACCAAACCGCTAAGGATCATTAGATTTTTGTTCTGTGGACCAGTGGTAGTCAGAATACTATTTCTAGACTAGCTTGATCACCCATCAATGAAAATTAGTTAGAAATGCAAGTTCTTGATCCCCAATTCTAAACACTAAGTTGGAAAATTGAAATGGGACCTAAGACTATACTAAAAGTATTACAGGTATAACAATTTAATTTTTTAAAATTTGTCTGGGTTACATTATGATGGTTCATGTATATAATATGTATTAATCACATCAAGGTAGTAAGCATTTCCATCTCTCAGGCACTACTTAGTCACCTTTATGCAGTCGGACTGTAAGTTCTGTTATGGCCATTTTGAAATAGACCATGTGTTGTGAGGTGCCTGCCAGCTCAAAGTTAAGTTCCTTTTCTATCCACTTTTAGTAACATGAACAACACAGTTTACATCTTAGAAAGATCAATTTGATACAAGTCATTTGGAGGTAGGAAAGAGACAGGAACAAGGCATAAAATAACATCAGGAAAGAGAATTAAGAAACTACAATCCTGAATTGGGGATTAGAGAGTAAAATTTTGAATAGCTCCTAGGTTTGAGTAAAGAGGAAGAGTCCAAAGGAGACAGATAACAGATTTTGGAATTGGTTCTCAAGGAGATTGCTGAGTCACAAACTAAATAAGGTTGCCCAGGCTTTAAGGAGGTGCTGAGTAAATCAGCAGGATGTAGGATTATGCAATTTGAGGATACAGTTTTGATAGTATTCTGACCAACTTTGAGGATACCTACTCATTAAGAGAAAAGCGATAAACACATTACAGACGGCACAAGCACAGAATAAATGAATCCAGTAAAAGATTGATTTAGGTTAGCATATCAGATGTTTGAAGGACACCACCAAGCTATCTGTAATGTGCCTCCCAGAGGAGGAGGACTCTTATCAGGAGAATGAAAAATGAAGGTTGAACAAAACCACACAAGCCAGTGAGGGCATTTCAGGCCTTTATTCAGTGTCAGTGATGATAAACATACAATACATCCTTAAGGTAGAGAAAAATGAAAGTTTGTGTCAAATTCCACAAACTTAAATACTTGGTACTTTGGGTTAATCCTCATAAGATTGGTATAATTACATGATGTTTTTGTAAAACTTCAGATAGTTTTCTGGTAGTTAAAGCCTGATTCAAAGCGATCTGCTTCTTATTAGAAGCCATATCGGCCACTTTGGATACCTTAAGATTTCTTGACCTTTTTGCTTCCCAGCGAGAAGAGACAAAAATGAGTAGAAAAAAAAAAAGGCAGGAAGACTTTCTAAAGCAGTGAACTTCTTTTTTGAGAACCTTCCCATTATTAGACTATTCTATCATCCATATTCAAAGGGAAAATCTGTGTAATTTGCCTAAAGTCACAGAAGGAATAAAGTGAAATTCAATTTTAACAGGAGGGCCTTCGCCCCCAAAGTTCTTTTACGAACTTAACCATGACCCTAAAGATAACATTCAAAATTGAAATTATGATTGTTTGTTTCTGATTTTCTTATAATAGCTGAATTGTCATTAAGTGTGAGCATGCTTTGAGTTGTCACAGTAGTTGAGAGAGCAGCAGTTTTAATTGCCATGGCCTGGACTCACTTGGGAAGGAGAGTCTTAATGAGGTATAGTCTAGATTGTGTTAATCCTGTGGGCATATCTTCAGAGATCTTGATTACATTAGTTGAGGTGGGAAGACCCTGACTGGGATCCTGGGCTGTAGAGTGAGTTGAGTATCAGTATGCATGCATTCCTTGCTCTTTGCATTTGGTACAGTGTGACCAGCTCTCTTGAGCTCCTGTCATTGTACTTCCCCATAGTGATAGACTTTGACCTGGAACCATGAGCCAGAATGAGCCTCTCACCTCGGAGTTGTTTTGTCCAGGTGTTTGATCTTCAAGTGAAGACACTAAGACAGTGCGAGTCAGCTGCTTTCTCAATGAGCGCCTTAGGGCAGTTGACATGAATCTGGACAGATGTAAAAAGGTCCTAGTTCATTAGTTAGTCCTCTGCAGTTCTAAAGGCTTTTGTGTGTGAATAGCCTTGGCCTGTGATCATCTAGACTGGAATGTTTTCCTACATCTGTTAGGTGTGGATGACTACAAGTCCATGTTTCTAGACTGTCAAATCAGGGCACTTAAATAATAGTCTATCAGGCAACATGCTTGTATTTCTAGTCATGTAAAATAGGTTCTTATTTGTGGAAAGTTAGCAAAAAATGTCCCATCACAAGGGAAGAACATTTTCTTAGAGCAGGGCAAAGCCTGATTCAGTAGTTTTATTCTACTTAATAAATTATCTGTCCCAACAGGTTTCCCAAGGGTTTTTCTTTTTACCTGTCTGACAGATAAAAAATGACTGACAGGCCCATTTGGATTACCTCTTAAAGGAAAGGACAGTAATAAGTCTGTTCTTTACTGAAAAGCCAGAGGCAGATATAAGACTCAGGTCCTTTCTTTGAGAATTTTGTGCCTGCATATAATGTATTTTGATCAAGTATACACACACGTGCACACAGGCACACACACACAGCTGATCCCCCCCTTCCCCATCTCTCTACCACTATTCCCTCTCATTTTCATGTTTGGGGTTTGTTTGTGTATGTATGTGTGTGTCTGTGTTTTCCTTTTAATCCACTGAGTTCACTTAGTATTGTCACTGTACTGCATGTGTGGGTATATGGCCATCTACTGGAGCATGGGTAGCCTCTCAGTGGTTGCATTCTTTTTTTTTTTTTTCTTTCTGAGACGGGGTTTCTCTGTGTAACAGCCCTGGCTGTCCTGGAACTCTCTCTATAGACCAGGATGGCCTCAAATTCACTGAGATCCACCTGCCTCTACCCCCCAAAGTGCTGGGATTAAAAGCATGTGCCACCACTGCCCTGGCTCAGTGGTTGCATTCCTAAAGGAAACTGTCCTCACCCCCCACCTCCCTTCAGCAGTCATCAATTGCCATAGCTTTTCACCTAGGTGTGGGACTTGTCAGGTATTATTTCTTTTTCAGGGGAGAATGTAAGAATTGACTAAAAAGAATTAAAGAATAAAAAAAAGTAGCCATGCTTAGGATCTTGGAGAGTTGTCTCAGAAGTTAAGAGCTCACTGCACTTCCAGAAAATCAGAATTTGATCATTTGATCCCCAATACTATATAGCAACTCACAACTGTCTATCTCCAGTTTCAGGGGATCCAGTGCCCTCTTCTGACCTCAGTGGGCAGTAGGCATGAATGTAGTACACACCTTCATGCGGGCAAAACACCCATACACATAAATAAAATTTAAACTTAGAAAAATAGCCATGGATGACCAAGAGAAATTATCCTTATCCTTCCCTTAAAGCTTCACAACAAAGTGTCCTGCTTCCACTTTCTTCCTTTTCATATGATGTTTTCAACCTCAAGGAGAGACCATGTGATACCTCCCCTTTACCATTACTGTTTCTCATTTGTCCAAAACTGATTATGATGGAGTGGTCCTTCTTGGGTTGACCTTCAAGCCAAGACCTTAATTTTAAACTAGCTTACTAACAGTGTCACATGTTCTTCAGAGGCATGGGCTGACCACAGTGCATGCAGCACAATGCCTTATTCTGTCATTAATGATCAGCAGCCGACTTAAAAATAAGAAACGAAATAATCAATTAGGTATAATAGTTGGAAATTTTACTATTGATCCCAAACTCACATTGCTAATCATAGGTGCTGTTTGGCAGCCATGTTTTTCAAGAAAGCTATTAGCAACAGAAATTTCAAAACTTTTGTCCTTTATCACCTTTAGAGGTGATTTAGAAATAGTGTACTATGGCTTTGAGTTTAGAAATATATAGTATTTCATTCACTTTGATAGCGGGGAAGAATAAGCTTCAGAAGTGGGGCTGGGAAGCACTTCTCACTGCCTCCTGCTTCAGCTGGACCAGTTCCAGAGACCTCCACTCAGGTCAGGTCTGAGCACAAGGATTTGAGCAGAAGCCATTGTGAAGCAGAACTGGGATTTATTAAGGTGAGATCTTGACACAGATTTAAGCATAAGTGTTAATAGGTGTTAGGATCCCAAACCAGATGCTGCTTAGGTCATGCCCCTCTACAGGTGTCTTTCCACCTTCAGAGCTGACTGTATTCCCACTCTATAGGGAACTGACTGAGGAAGTCTATAATCCTCATGCCTAAGGAGTTTATCAAGCTGCCCAAATAACCAGACTAGGAAATTGACAAGTACTCTATGACTCTAATTCTCACTTCCCCAAAGAAAGTTTATCATGCAACTGTTGACATCCGCTCCCCTTGAAAGGCTGCATTAAGTGTAAAAATTAACACCCTTCCCCCTTCTTTTCCCACTAGAAAATCAGAGCCTGTGGGTTTCTTAATCAGCTACAAGGCATAGAAGAGTCCTGCTTTGTCTTGTAGGCCTGAACTCTTGTCAGAATCCCCAACCTAATATCTGTTCTATGGCACTAATAACTTTTCTAATGAATCTCTTACCCAAAAGGACATTCTGCTTCAGTGTCCGTCTGAACTGCAAATTCTAGACATGCTAGAGGAAAGGATGGGACACACCTAAAGGTTTCCACAGGAGCAGCAAGTAGTCCTTAATTGTCTTAGCAAATAGCCACATTAGATTTTGGTAGCTTCTGAAGTTACATTGTACAAAGAGTTATCAAGAAATGTGTGCTTTTGTTTTCCTTTCAATTTCTGCAGCTAATACTGGGTGGGTCCTAAGGGAACACTGGACAAGATTATAGGCTGATATAACAAAGCCGTAGGTCACCAGGATTTTAGAAATCACAATAAGGTTTAAATATGTTTTTACCATAAAGAGTTTATTATAGTCTTGTGAGATCTTGGAATAGTGTAGGCTTGTAAGTGGGAAAGAAATGAACCCAAACTCAAGTCATTTATTCTCAATCTAAATTTAAGCATGGCTCATACTATTTTGAAATTCTTAATTAAAAGATCTCTTAATATAAAAAGAATATTATCCGTGTAGGCAATCTTCACAGCAAATTTTAAGTGTGTTGTTGAAAATAATTCTTCAAGACTTCGAGCAGACTCTTACATGAGGGGCTCCCTTCCTTCTGCATGTCTCATATACAAATATCGGGGGTTGCAAAGGTTTGTGTTTCTCCGACACCCCACTCATTATATTAGTCTGTCTTCTTGTCCAGGATGGAAGAGTAGTGGGATCATTTCTCCTTGTGGTCAAACTGAGCTGTTGCTTATATTTTAGCTAGTGTGCTTATATAAGGTTAATTTTTTAAATATTTTTATTCCTTGATAATCTCATACATGTACATAATATATTTTGAACGTTCTCACCACCAGTTCTCTTATCACTCTCCCATGCCCTCCAGAACCTATTTTCCCAATACCTTCTACTCCTTTCATGTCTTTTTTTTTTCAATACACTGAGTTTAATTAGATTTTCTTACATGTGAGTGGTTGTGGGTCTGTTTACTGGACCATGGGCAACTTACCAGTGGTTACAGCCTGAAAACCTAGCTTACATTCTCCCAGCCATTAACTGCCAATAGTTCTTTCTTTACAGATGGGACCTCATGAGTTCTTCCCTTGTCTGTTCTGGGCTCTTTTTTGGTTTGTTTGGGTTTTTTTTGGTTTTTTGAGGCAGGGTTTCTCTGTGTAGTTTTGGTGCCTGTCCTGGATCTCGCTCTGTAGACCAGGCTGGCCTTGAACTCACAGAGATCTACCTGGCTCCTCCTCCCAAGTGCTGAGATTAAAGGCCTGCACCACCACCACCCGGCTCTGTTCTGGACTCTTGTGCTTGACCTTGTGTAGATAACCCACAACTGCTGCACATTTATGTGTGCAACAATAATGTCCAGAAGACCATTCCATAGCATTCCTTCCCGTCCTCCAGCTTGTATTTTCTGTCCATACCCTCTCCCTTGATGCTCCCCGAGGCTGTGTTATTTTTTTTTTTATTTTTAATTACTTGGTGAAGTAGCTAAACAACAAAGCTTACTTGATGTGTGAGTGCATATGTGCTTGTATATACACATATATTCATGCATGTGTGTATAATACTGAGGAAAAAACTTGGTTCTTGAAGAAATGAAGCAACTGTCCTACCATTGAGCCAAGTATGCATCCTTTCTTATTGGATGAAACTTCAATGATATTTACCTGTAATCCCAAGGCTCTGCCTAAAACCCTGTAATGCTGTTGAACTTTTCTTAAAGGAATTAAGGTGGAGAGCTGGGGTGGTTATTTCCTCATTTGTTAGACTTACATGTTTGTTCAGTAGAACTGAAGTTATTAAAGTACCATCTGTACTTCATATATTCCTTGATCATTTACAAGGGATGATGTACTATTTCTGTTTCTTTACCTGACTTCTTTTTTTGATGGGATTTCCCCCTCATAATCAAATTTATTTGAAAATAATTTTCAATAAAATGTAGACATTTAAATGACAGCTTGATGGTAACTAACACTAAGCCAGAGGTATGGAAAATTCCATTTATCCCAGAAGTTTTTCCATTAAAAGGATAAATAGTACTGTAGATTAGTTTGATCTTATGGACTCACTGATGTCCAACTTTTTACTCAGCAGCAGTTCTTTCATTTTCAGTAGTACCCCACTGCGTATGTACGACAATGAATTCAATTATCTGTCCATGAACGTTTGGATTGCTTCCAATTTCACTTTCACTGAATATGCACACGAGTTAAAATGAAAAAAAAAAAAAAAAAAAACCAGGACAGACAGATAAGTAAGGTGGCCGTATAAAACATGACCTGAAAATGATGGTTTTAGAATACCCTGGCTTCGTGAATCATCAGAGAAAAAGACATTTTGTCTCAGCGACACCTTTCGTGGTGAATCCATTTGAGCAAGACCTCCCTCTAACAGCTTCACTCTCAAACCCTCTGCAGTGCTGTTAGTGATGAAGCTACTTGACAGGAGCTTTACAACCCATCTGTCAGTGTCCCTGCTGCTGCTTGAATCGTGAAAGCGGCAATAGAAATATGTTTCTTCACTTCTGCCCAGGCCAAGTGGGGGTCTGCTCTATTTTCGATATCAAACATGGCATCATAAATCCCAGGGAATGATTCTCCAGCATATTTGTTGTGACTACTTGGAGCAAAGATGATGTGCCTAAACAAACAAACAAACAAACAAACAAAAAACAAATGAAAAATTACAGATGTCATAGCGACATTTATCTAAGAAGCTGTTGGGCAAAGCATAAGTATGCAATATGTCATACAGCCATTCTACAAAATCTTTACAGTAATACAGTAGCATTATTCTAGAACACTGCAGCAGACTAAAACTGCAATATGAACTACTTTAGTATTCAAATATCTAAATATTCAATTAATAGTTCAAAATGTATTTTTAAAATAGAGCATAGTGTTTGGGAGGACATTTTGATATATTCTCATCAAATTTTAAAATCTGTTGTCTTTTTTTGGCCCTAAGTCCCAGGCCTGATTATAGAAATATTAATATTTATAAATGTTCAAAGAGAACACAAGGACATCTTAAGGAAGTGTATTTCATAATGGAGAGAAGCTCATCTAATAAATCTCAATAGTAACTCATTAAAACTATAAATGAAAGCTAACCAATGAAGTACTATGTAGGGGACTAAAGTGCTAGAACTTTCTATGCTGACATCAACAGATGAATTCTTGAAAAAAAGTTGTAAATTAAGGTATGGTTCCATTTATATAAATATAAATGTTTCTGTACTAAAAGGCCCCTGAATATGTATATATAAATATACATTGAAATACAAATATAGTACATGAATATAGTAAGCAGACTTACGAATAAATATGTGTGTATACAGTTGCATGTAAACATGCATATAAAGTACACATTTATGTACACATACATACACGTTACATAAGTGTGTTAACACTTCACACAAGGTTGAGTTTTCCTGAAAAGATTAGCAGAACTAGATGTGCAATTGAGGAGGGAACTGATGAAAGAGAACTGTCTCTAGATCACATGCTTCAGAGTCTGAACATTTTAAAAGTACAGATGTTTTCACTATGAAAAGTAGTTCTAAAGCATTAATAGGCTAATAACTTTCAAGGAAGGACTAAAATTGCAGATATTTCTTGCTTGATATATATACACACATACACATATATTCATAACTGACGTCTCCAATTTGTATCTATGAATAAACAAACATTTATAAATACAGCTCACATTCCAGAGTGCCTCCCTGTTTGAGATGAATCTTCAGATGCTTTAAATCTACAGGCCTCAGTGCTAAGAGCTAAAACCTCCATTTGTAGCTGAGAAATCCAAGGTTCAGAGAAATGATTTCCCAGGTCACAGTAGAAGATCTGTGCTCCAAAAGCTCTGTTTATATCATTTGAATGTTAGTCCTAACCACTAACATTTAGAGAGGTGATAGCTAGCTTTGTAAAGTAGCATTTGTTATGTTAATTCAGACAGGCAAATCCTAGTGACATGCTAACATCAAAGAGCACCGAAACACTCAATCCTACATCTGCATGAACATGAATGAAGAGTTTTCTGACTTGAAGTGCTAGGACCATCTTAATTTCCATCAAGGAACCACTTAAAATAGTTTTGAGATTTATTTACATTGTTATGTACATACATGCTTTGCCTGGGCGTATGTATGTATACTCTGCATGCCTGGTGCCTGCAGAGTTCAGAAGAGACTGGCAGATACCCTGGAGTTACAGATGGTTGTGAGCCACCATATTGGTGCTGAGAATCAAACTTGAGCCCTCTACAAGAGCAACAAGTGCTTAATCCTTAAGCCAACTCTCCAGTGACAAGGAACTCTTTTTATTTTAAGGACCTTGAGAAAAATAGACTTTGGGGGTTGATAGCTCTAAAAAAAATATGACATAGATAGAAAACAAAAAGAAATAACCTGACATAAAACAATATTTCTTCCAAGGGACATGGCAGCTGTCTTAACAACTTAAACCATTACATGGAATGAAACTAAATTTAATAAATGTAATAAGCTAGCTTGCTTTACTTTGGAAGAAAGATCAGGTCAGATGAAAACATTACAGGATAAAAGATTTTTTTTATGAAAGAAATTCTCTAATAATTACACCTTTCAATAAAATAGACTAGAATGGGATTCTTTACGGAGCAGTAAGCTCTCCATCACTAAGGTTGAAACAAACTGAGTATTTATTTAACCTGAAAGCACACAGAAGGGATTCCTTAGAATTTGCATGTGCTCTAAGATTCCTTTCAAACTCTGTGGCTAGAATATTTTGTTAAGGTTCTTTCTCAGTTTGGCATACAGTGAAGAACTAATTGATGTGAAATGTATTTCTCTGATACTACATATTACGCCATTACTGGATACATAATCATACCTATATTACATTTACTATTTATATTACATTTAGTATATTTAGTATTTAGTCATCTCCCACTCCTGTGATGGCATTAGTTTCAATCATCTTTGATATGCTCCTTTGACTACAGGGAGGTGTTTGGTGCTCTCCGGAGCAACTGTCTTCCCCCTTACCTGTAGAACTGCCTCCCAGGTAAACCAAGAGGATCTATGAATGCTCTTTCCAGAAGCATCAGTTGGTCATTCATAATTCGCACTGCAATAGGACTTGGAGAATAAGAAACACATCATTCAAATCTCTACTAGTAGGCCACAATTAAACTAATATTAAAGATAATACGTGGGAATATAAATAAAATAATCAATAGATCATTAACAGAAACAATGTTAACACAGTAATGTGTTACGCAGCAAACACCATATAACAGCAGGGTCATCTTACTAGTATTTGTAATAGACACAGAATGTTACTGAGAAGTGGTGTGTTTTGGATTTCAAGGCCACAGAGTGGTCAAAAAGAAGTGAAAGACAGATATTCTTTATTTCTCTGTAGGATAACCAGACCTCCCAGAAAGATGGAGAAAATTGCCAAGTTATTCCTTATGACTCACACAGCCCCATTCTGGAAGAAAGAAACAGAATAAAGATAAGCAACAACAGAGAGTAATGGTTTCTAAAGTCTGTGAGAAAGGCAGGGGCAGCTTCGCACAGTAAACAAGGACGGTCCTTTCCCCATTCACAATCCTTATCCTGCTTTTGGCATAGCTGAACTACATACATCTTTGGGCTCTCCCATAATCCAAGGGACAAGAGCACCTCCTCAAAATGACTGATATGGCTTGTTGATTAAGTCTGAAAAAAAAACCTATACTTTGGTACAATTCATATTTGTTGTATAATGTTTTAATATAATTTAAAAATTATTTTCTACCTAAAGTGGCAATAACATAAAAAATTCCAGAAAAAAAATCTATACAAAAAAGTGGGTGATGGGTGAATAGGGGTATTAAGAAGGACTATACAGAAATATACTCAAAAGCACCCAAGTTTATAGAGTTATGAATTACCAACTGTAACTCTCATCACACAAATTCAACTTTAATGTTAGTGTAAAATCATCTACAGTGTCATTTAAAAAACAGAGCTCTGAGAGCCCTAGTTATTGTAGAAGAAGAAGCCATGAATCTGAGAATGAAGTGAGGGAAGGGGACAACAGAGGAATTAAGGGAGTAGTTGGAAATATGGATTAGAGAAAAGACAACTGTAAGCGTGCCTTTCTGCTTTCTAAGAAGCTGGCAATGGTTGCTGATGCTGCTGTCGTGCAGACCATGGCTTCAGCGGCGGCGACACATGTGTGGGGGAAGACAGCCCGCCCTTCCGAGAGTAGGCAGCTGAAACTTACTCAGTAAGATCAACTTGTGTGAGTCTTCTATGAAAGTCGGAAGCAGCCTTTGAAAAGTTTGTCACAGCAGAAAATAAGGAATCTTTTTCAAAAATAGAAAAGTAAAAGAATTTAGTCAGTGGTTCACATTTCAGAGGGTCACTTTACTGTCCTCTCCCTCATAGGACCAAACATTAGAAAAACCATGATTCTAGGCATCCTTCTTTGTGGACTCATGAAAAGTATTGGTGAAAAAAGGTGGGAATTTTAAATGTAGTCAAATTGTGTTTTTAAGTGTGTGTGTGTGTGTGTGTGTGTGTGTGTGTGTGTGTGTGTGTGTGTACATGTGTCCTAGTGCCATGGAGGTCAGAAGAGGGGGTAAGATCTCTTGGAGCTAGAATTACAGGTATTTATGATCCACACATTTTAGGTATTTATGATCCACATGACATGAGTGTTGAGATCTGAACTCCTGTTCTTATGATAGATCAGAAAGTGCTTTTAACCATGGAGCCATCTCCCCAGCACTCCCCTAAGTTGGTTCTTAAGAGAATTTTCTTTTACAAGTACAGGGAATAAATAATTCCTTAGTCAATTATTTACCCAAACCCCAGCATTCATTCATTGAATATATTTATTAGAACAATTATGACATATTAGTCTATATATGTATATATACATATATACACACACACATATATATATACATATATATATTAGCATCGGTCTTGAGCAGGGCCTTGTCTTTTTCTCCAGTTTCATCTCCTCATTCCTCTCATCATGCAGAGATACTCTTTCTTCTTTCTTTTGTTTGTTGTTTTATTTTTTCAGGCAGTCTTGCTATGTTGGTCTAACACCTGTGATCATCCTGTCTCAACCCTCTAAATGCGAGGTTGTGGGTATAGACCAGCACACCTGGCTCTTCTTTTTCATTTTATGTCCACATTGAAACACCCACATGTGGGCTAGCAAGATGGGTCAGTGGGCAAAGGCACTTGCTGCCATGCTTGGTTCGATGCCTGAGACCCACAGAGTAGAAGGAAGAACCAACTCCCACGAAGTATACTCTGACCTCCACATTTACATGGTAGCACACAACATCAACCCCTACAAACAAGGACTCTAGAAATGTGATTTTTTATTTAAAATGAATAAAATACCTGCTATTCTTCATAACTTCATAAAGATTACTAACCCTTATGTAATAAACTAGCATTCAAATGTCACTAATGACCAACTCCATCCTTATTCTCTATGCTCTTAGTTACTCTTTTTGTCCCTCTAATAACTTGTCATCTATGTTCGCCTTCCCTTTTCTCATATTAAATTTCAAGCTCTTTGAGAACATTAGTGATTATTACTTTAATATTAGTAATGTACTTGGTACACAGTAAACATTCAGTACAAATTTGATTATTTTGATATAGACTAAGAATATATATCTGGAAGTCAGGAAAGAAAATATTTACAATTAGTGCCAGTAGGCAACATTCACTGAGCGTTAAGTGCCAATCACTACTAATCTACATAATCCCTAATAATCTCCCTAATATTGAAGTGTGTTTTATTGGTTCGTGGTTTAAGAAATTAGCAATACAGGAGTTAAGAAGTGTTCTAAAGATCACAGGTACTACTAAGTGGAAGAGAGAATATCTGAATCAGGCCAATTGCTTCCAGATCCAGTGTTTAATGTTACAGCATTGTGCTGTGTTTCATCCTCCTTTATAAAAGACACGTGGTATGAAGAGCCAGTCATAAAATGAAAGACTGACTATAACGATGTAAAATAGCCTTTATGTACACAAATACTGATGAATATATTCAGCAAAAATAATATATGTAATAGAATTTGGGACTATAATTTTTAATATTTGGGGAATATTAATAAGAGTAGTAATGTAAGAAACTATATACCCAATTTAATGTTTGTAGCACTACTTCATAAGTAATGGATTCATCATAGACATTCAGATTAAATCAAACCCCTAAGTCAGTATTTGTTTAAAGTTTTTGTCAGAAAGAATAAGTAAATAAGCAGAATTTCTTCTAGAATGCACTGACTATGATGGGAGCTAAGAAAGTTTATATTAAAGTCTACAAAATATCTTACCAAATGACACTCCATAGTTTCTCAGTTGCTGTTTGTGTTTCTTTGATAAATTGAAGATATTTGCTGCATAGGTTTTCAAGGCTTTTGCATAGTCTTGAATGTTGAAAGGAATGATAACAGAGTCTGCAAGCTCATATACCAATGCTCCTCGAAACTGAGCCACAGAAAGCTGTTTTTTAAATGTAGGGTCATAAAAGTTCTCTACTAATTCAAACGTCTCATAGATGGTATGGTATACAGGATAGCTACTGTATTTATCTGTTTTCTAAAATGGAGGAGTTGAAAAATAAGCATTACATGTTCAATTTATAATATTTTAATCATAGAAATGATTAAAGAAAATACACAACAGCCCTGATTTCATCAATTAAGCAAATAAATTTAAAATATAATTAAAACACTACAGCCAAAATGTTCACTGATTTAAATTTTTACATTCCTGTCTTCATTTTATGATTCATGTGACCTTCATTCAACCTTTGGTTCTGATAACTAAAGAAATACATATTCAAATCAGCACTATTCAACACTACGAACTGATTAAGTGTATGAAAAGTTCTGGGCAGCTTAGTGTCTATAGACCTGAAAGGTAATGCATTCTTTCCCTAACCAAGCAGTGTTCAACCAAAGGCTATCAACCCTTGATAATATTCTGGGAATATGTGTAATGAACATGTTATCACATGTTACTACCATGTAGAAATAATTTGAGATCTTTGGTCTGCATATCCTAATTTTATTTTTTACCATCTACTATCTTCTTAATAGGACTGTCATTCTTACTACTCTGGATCACTAAAAAACAATCCAGTATCAGTCCCCCTCTTCTAATTGTGTGCTTCTAATGTACTGTAGTCTTAAATATTAGACAACTTTCTTCAAACTGATGACAGATATAATCGTGAATAGGGTGATAAAGAGCTAAGTCACATTTTTCATATGCAGTTGACCCATGAACCACACAGGAGTCAGCGAGAAACAATTTAATTTCCATATAGTTGAAAGTACGTATATCAACTAAATTACTAATAATATGTACAACACATATTTTGCATGCTCTATGTATTCTGTATGATGAAAACATGATACATATAAAAGATTACTTTTTATTACAGTATACAACTTACTGAAGAGGTAAAGAGCTCAAGCACAGGTGATTTAGTGTCACATGGCATTTTCAGTAAATATTCAAAACAGTCACACCACAACACCATACGAGAGAGCTATAGAATTATTTTAGTAGTATATTGTGTTCTATAGTTAATTTTACACAGCTATAATTTAATGTAATATCTTTACATTTACTTATATTTCATTGTATTGAAAACAGCACCATGCATAATTCTGTACACAACCTTGAAAAATTTTCATTATTTTTATATGTTTCATAGCAGTAAATGATGAAACTAGACTCATCTGCATATATTTTATGTAGGACATACCTAGCTCTTAAAGTTTTTTGATAGTTCTAGAGTATGTACTTTGTAATCTTTTTCAAATTGTAGAAAAATCTTAAAAATATTTACATCTAGGACTGGAGAAATGGCTCAGAGGTTAAGAGCACTGACTGCTCTTCCAGAGGTCCTGAGTTCAATTCCCAGCAACCACATGGTGGCTCACAACCATCTGTAAGAAGGTCTGGTACCCTCTTCTGGTCATACATGCTGTATACATAATAAATAAGTAAATTTTAAAAAAAATTTACATCTAAATGAACCCATACCATTTAAACCCATGTTATTTGATGGTTAGCTGTAGAAAAAAATGAGTATTGATATATAATGCTCATCCATCTAATTGTCAATATTCTGGAGCTATTTTGGCTTTATCATTGGCTGAATTCAGAATAGTTAAATTGACAACCAATATGCGTTATGTACAGCAAGATGTTGATTAAAAGATGCAAAGAAGGCAAGTCTACTAATATTTGGTGTATGACATAACTTAAGACATGCTCAAAGCAACACAACACATGTTCACTATGTCTAAGTACTTGCAAGTCATCAGAATAGCTCAATGACAATGATACAAACTAGCCAGTACAGAATAGAAAATAGGGAGAAATCAAAAACTGAAAGAAACTTGCTTTGTGCTCTACCCACAGACCTTGCTTCATGACAGACAGGAATAAGAAAATATAGACAACAAAAACATTTCCTTTAAGAAAAACATATAGAGTCTATACAACTAGACTACAAAATAAAATTTTATTTATTCACTTATTTTTCATTTAGTTGGAGTGAGAGTCTAGTCCAGGCTGATCTCAAACTCTCTATGTGGCCAAGAATGACCTTGAATTTCTGTTCTCCCTACTTTCACTCCAAGTACTGGGGTTGCAGGGATGCTGTACCACATTCCATTTTAGGGAAAGAAACTCAGGGCTTCGTGCATCCTAGGCAAGCACTCTACCAACTCAGCTACATCCCCAGAAAAAAATAAGATTTTCCAACAAATTCTGTTTTGAGAAAAGGATGCAAATGGTTAACATGTATAACCAACTATGCATCCGGCATGTATACGTGAACTATCATTTTAATGAAAAACTTAGTAAATAATTCACAGAACAGCCCACATCCCTTCATAGTGTTTCTACAAAGGAGCAGGAACAAGTAGTCTGTCTGTATCCCTGACCTCTTCTTGGGTCCCAAGGCTACTTACTGCCTGATGCAATTCAATTACAGTTCATATTGGGGAAATGTTGCTATGGTTTTGATCTGGAATAACCACCATCCAAAGACTTATACAAAAACTCATAAGTTCAAGCTTATATTCCCAGTGTAGCACTCTGAAAGGTAGTAGAACAATTTTAAGAAGTGTTATAGAAAAATGGATGGAGCTTGAGCTCATCATATTAAACAAAATAAGTCATACAGAGAATAATAAATATGGTATGTTTTCTCTATTTACAGAAGCTACATATCTAAATTTAAAACAAAAGACATGAGAGTAGGTAGAGGACTCTTTGAAAAAGGACAAAAACTACAGGAGGAAGTATGAGAGGGTGGAGAAGGTACAAGAGGAAGATAAGCATCATTAAGTTTCATTATTTCATAACTAAAAAGAAATGCCCCCAGAAAGACATATTGGGAAATGCTCTTGAAGAGGAAGTGGAAATTCAGCCCCTTCTAATCTCTCTTTGCTTCATGGCTGCCCAAAGGTAAGCATCTTTCTGCCCACTATGATGTCCTGACTCATCACAACCCTACAAGAACTGGAACAAACACTTTAAAACCATGTATAAAAACAATCTTCTTTGGGAGATGATCATTCCAGGTATCTTGTTACAGTAATGAAGAGTGAAATAATATACTACATATTAAAAATTACTAAATAGCTTACCCTGTTCTTAGTGTAGCGAGCTCTGCCTGAGGCAATTCCAAGTCTCTGAAAATAAGCCTCAAAATCGCTTCCAGATCCCAGCTTATTGATTCTAGATATAAAATATTAATAAATAAATATATACATGATAAAATAAATAATACAAGTCAAACAATGGGAAAATGAATCATTCTCCAAGAGTAGCTAAGAATTTGCACACCAAATTATTATAAGAATTAGAAGAAGCTAAACAATCTTCAAGCTGTTTTCCTATTATTTGCTAGAATATTAATGTGACAAGCTACAATAAATATGACCAGAGTTCTATAGAACACTGAAGCCTAATGTTTTTAAATAAATAGAAATATTTGAACCACTTATGAGCCATTTTCATAGGCCACCTCAAACTGTTTATAGGAAGAGCCTGTTTTTTTGTCTTTTGGGGTTTTTTGTTTGTTTGTTTCTTTTGTTGAATAATCATATTAAACTTTCATAAAGGAAAAAACACACTTTTAAGTTTCACAAGACTAATTTGGAGCCAGGCAGTGGTGGCACACACCTTTAATCCTAGCACTCGGGAGGCAAAGCCAGGTGGATCTCTGTGAGTTCGAGGCCAGCCTGGGCTACAGAGTGAGATCCAGGAAAGGCACAAAGCTACACTGCTGTGGGATGTTCTGTATGGCAAATGTGTTGCTCTGATTGGTTAGTAAATAAAACACTGATTGGCCAGTAGTCAGGCAGGAGGAAGTATAGGTGGGACAAGGAGGAGAATAATTCTGGGAAGTGGAAGACTGAGTCAGAGACACTGCCAGCCGCCACGATGACAAACAGCATGTGAAGATGCCAGTAAGCCACAAGCCACGTGGCAAGGTATAGATTTATAGAAATGGATTAATTTAAGCTGTAAGAACAGTTAGCAAGAAGCCTGCCATGGCCATACAGTTTGTAACCAATATAAGTCTCTGTGTTTACTTTGTCGGGTCTGAGCGGCTGTGGGACTGGCAGGTGAGAGAGATTTGTCCTGACTGTGGGCCAGGCAGGAAAACTCTAGCTACACTACACAGAGAAACCTTGTCTCGAAAAACCAAAAAAAAAAAAAAAGACTAATTTGAGCACCAACAAGATGGCTTAGAGGATAATGCCTCTTGCAAAGAAGCCTGATAAACTGAGTTTGATTTTGTGAACCACATGAAAAAATGAGGGAACAAAGGAAGAGTTGTCCTTTGACCTCTACACAATTGGGTGGCATATGAATGAGGACACACACACACACACACACACACGTTAAAATAAATAACACCCTTCTCTAGGGTATAGCCCAACACAAACTAATAAAAGAAGTCCACATGCCCAGATCTCATCACAAAAATACAAATAATATCATGCAATATCAAGGTAGTAAACCCACACACATAAAGTAATCCACCAGTTCTAGAGAAATGTCTGCCAATGAGAATTACCTAAATGAACCCCAGGATGCAATTTAAAAGAAAAATTATAAACATCATCAAAATTCCAAAAGGTTTAAAGAAGACAAAAAGAAATAGCTCAGTGAACTTAAAGAGAATGAATGCCTGAGCAATGTCCCAGAAAACAAATGTAAGGCTGATAAAAATGATGGAGACAATCCAGCATTTGAAAACAGAGTTCAATAAAGAGAAACTTTGAGAAAGACTAAAGCTGAAATGAAGATGGCATTGAAAAAACCAATACCCCCAACTAGAAAACTCAAAGGAAAGCCTTACAAGAAGAATTAAGTAGAAAATAGATCAGAACTCAAAGATAAAATAGAGGAATTTTATGAAAAAAAATTTAAATACTATTAAAAAAAAGCCAAACCTCAAATTACAGAAATAGATGACAGACAAGAATCCCAGGTCAATTACATAGACCAGATCCTCATCCAAATCATAGAAGAAAACTTCCTCAAACTAAGAAAAGACATATTCATATAGATACCAGAAGAACACAAAGTGTCAAATATACAGGATCAGAAAAGAAAATTCTCATGACAAATTATAGTTAAAACACTATACATAACAAAGAAAGATTATTGAAAACTCTAAGAGAAAAACCACAAGTCACATATAAAGAAAAACCCATCAGAATAACAGCTGATTTCTCAGTGGAAACTTTTAAAGCTGGAAGAGCCAGGGGCAATGTATTTTACGTCCTAAAAGACCACTATGGCCAATCTAGACTGATATAACCAGTAAAGCTAGCCATGATAGCTGACAGAAAATGTAAGAGTTCCCCTGGTATAAACACACACACACACACACACACACACACACACACACACACACACACACACAAGCAAGCCTAAAGAGGAATAAACAGTCAAGATAAATGCAAAGCTACAATTACTAAAATACAATCTCACCAAGAACACACAAAAGATCAACTACATAACTGCAGTGAATGTGCACCTTTCAACAATAACTTTACATATCAACAGCCCCAATTTTTAAATCAAAATACATGAACTGACTGAATGGATTAAGAAACAAAATGCATCTGTTATCTACATGAAACTCACTTTAAAGATAGGTACTACCTTAGAGTAAAAGGATGAGCAAAAATATTCCAATCCAACAGGATCAGGAAGCAAGTAAGTGTCAGTACCCTAATATCTGATAAAAATAGATCTCAAACCAAAACCAATCAAAGACATAAGGGAATGTCATTGTAATCAAGAGAACAGTTAACCCAGACTTTACTCTCTTAAGTATACATGCATCAAACTCTGGAGCATTCAATTTCATTAAAAAAAAATACTACTAGAATTAAAGACACAAATCAATATCAACCCATAAATAGTTGGTGAAGGTGATTTCAAAATCCCATTTGCTCCAATAGTCAGGTCATCTGAACAAAAATAAGAGAAATATCAGAATTAGAATTAAATGATCATGTATCAAATAGACCTAGCATATATCTAAGAATAGTCCAGCAAAACAACAAGGAATATACATTTAACTAGCAAAAGATAGCAAAGCTTTTCTAAAATAGACCACATTCTGGGGAACAAAACAAAGTCTTACAAATTCAGAAAAACTGAAGTAACTCCATGTATCATCTCTGACTATAATTCAAAGAAACTTAAAATTGACAGCAAACAAAACTCTATTAAATACACAAACTTATGGAGATTAAACAACACAGTACTGAATTATGAATGGGTAAAAGAAGAAACCAAAAGATAAATAAAAATTTTCCTGGAACTAAATGAAGATGAAAACATAACAATACAACAAAACCTCTGGGACACATTAAAAGGAGTCCTGTGAGAGAAAATTATAGTTCTAACTGGCTACATTCAAAAATCAGAAAGAGCACAAACAAATTACTTAATGATTCCACTCAAAAATTTGGAAGAACAAGAACAAACCAATCCAAACTTAGTCAACAGCAAGAAATAATAAAAATCAGAACAGAAATTAATGAGAGAGAGAGACAGAGAGAGACAGAGAGAGACAGAGAGAGAGAAAGGAAGGAAGGAAGGAAGGAAGGAAGGAAGGAAAAGAAAGAAAGAAAGAAAAAGGAAGGAAGGAAGATAGAGAGAGGGACAAAGGGAGAGAGAGAGAGGAAAAGAGATAAAAAAAATCAGTGAATTTAAGAGCTGATTCTTTGAGAAGATAAGCAAGATCAACAGACCCTTGGCCCTACTAACCAAAAGAAAGAAAGAAACAGTAAAACATTAAAAGAGATACCCCAAAATTCAGAGTATTATATGGGAGTATTTTAATAACCTGTACTCCATTAAGTTGGAAAATCTAAAAGAAATTAATACATGTCTACCTTCAGCTAAACTGCCAAAATTATACCAGTAAGAGATTGACAGCCTAAAGAGACCATAGCAAACTTTGAAATAGTAATAAAAAGACTTCCAGCTATAAAAGGTCTATGGCCAGATGAATTCACAACAGAATTCTACAAGAATTTCAAAGATCTACAGCCAATCATCCTTAAACTATTCCATAAAATAGAAACAGGAGTGCTCCCAAACACCTTCTATGAAGACAGTTTCACTCTAATACCAAAACCAGGTAGAGACACAACAAATAGGAGAAAACTATGAACATAGAGTTAAAAGGCACTATAGAATACTTATAAAACAAACACAGACATGCACCAAAAAGATTATTCATATAACCAAACTCGCTCTATCTCTGAGATGCAGGTATGGCTCAACACACAAGTCAACAAATGTTATAAGCCAAATAAACTGACTTAAAAAACAAAAATCATATGATCACCTCACTAGATGCAAAAAATTCATCATGCCCTCTTTGCCAAAATCCAACATGTCTTCATGATAAAAGTCATAGAGTGAGTAGGACTGGAGAAAACAAACTTCAAATAGGAGATATATATGAGAAATGCACAACCACCATCACTCTAAATGGAGAAAACTTCCAAGCAATCCCATTGAAAATAGGAAGGAGACAGGGTTGTCCACTATCACCACTCCTTTTCAATATTTTGTTAGAGCACTAGCTGGAGTAATAATGCAAACAAAGGAAATGAAAGGAACACAAGTAGGAAAAACATCAAACAATTCCTTTTAGCAGCTGACATAATATTGTACATGGAGATCCCAATAATTCTAACAGAAAGCTTCTAGAAATTATAGTTTCAGCAATGTGACACGAGCATAGGTAACTACAGTCATTGAATATTTGACAAAGATGCCAAAAAGCATAACCTGGAAAAACCATTTCAACAAATGGTGTTGGGAAAATTGGATGCTCATTTGTAGATAGACTGAAATTAGATCAGTGTCTATCACCTTGCACAAAAACTAACTCTGAATGGTTCAAGGACCTAAATGTGAAACTTAAAACACCAAAACTACTGGAAGAAAACATAGGTGTGGGAAAGATGTAAGTACAGGAAAGAACTTCCTGAATAGGACTCCATTTGTCCTAGAATTAAGGCCAACAATTGACAAGTGGACCAAACTAAAACACTTGTGAACAGCTAAGCAACAATCAAGCAAAAAAAAAAAAAACCCACAGAACGGGAGAAAAGTCTTTTCTAGATATGCAGCTAATACAGGATTAATAACCAGAATACATAAAGGACTCAAAAAGCAGAGTCAAAAAATAAAAAATAAAAAAGACTCACTCAAAAAATGGAGTTGGGATATGAACAGGGAGTTCTGAAAATCAATCAATCAATCAATCAATCATAGCTAAGTAAAACCTCAAAAGGGAACATTCATTGTCTTTATTTTAAAATTTCATCTTAACCCAGTCAGAATGGCAGAGATCAACAATATAACCCTAAGGATGCAATACTAACATAAATACCTTGATGGTAACAACAGCTATTTAAGTGGACATAGGTCCCACTCAACAATAGGGAAATCATTCCTGATACTGGAGACCTCACCAGCTACCCAGAACTACTAGTGAAGTCATGGATATTAGAGAACTTACAACTGCCACTTTATTAAACCAGCATAATCACTAACTTTTATAAATAAAATATTTGTCATTATACCTCCCCCAAATAGTGTCATTCTCATTACACATCAAGGAAAGTCCTCTTTGTGACAGAAAGAAACCAGTACATAAAACCATAACTGATCAAAATGCCTAGTTGTGGAGCCAAGTCCCAACTGATACATCTACAACACAACTTCTGAATCTTAAGGCTCAGGGATCATTGTGGAAAAGGAGGCAGAAAGGTTGTTAAAATTCAGAGGAATAGGAAGGTTGCTCTGAGATTGTGTCTTCTAGAAATGTCAGAGAAGCTACACCCATAAAGTCTCACCAACATGGCTGCCTAAACAAGAGCTGAACACAGATAACACCAGTAGATATGCTATCATGGGAAGGAGGAAAGCTCATGGGGCTTCAATCCTAGACAAAGAACTACAGACAACTAAGGAATGATGAGAACAGAGGAAATAGTCTTCTCCCAGGAAACAGCACACCTATTGGATATCCAATACCAAATGGTCAGCCCTGCAAACATATATAAGTAACACTATAAGGACTGAGGAAGTTGAATTTATACCTTTAGGAATATGCACACTGCACATTTCTATGTACACATGTAGACACGCATATATGTAACAACAATTGAAGAAAAAGAGGCCATAGAAAAAGAGGCACAGAATACATGGGAGGGATTGGAAGGAGGAAACAGAAGAGGTAAATGATAGGATTATAGTCTCAAAAAGTAGGAAAAAATTATAATAAAAATAAATAAAATAATACTTTCAAGAAGACTTTAGGAAATAGAATGATGCTATAGACTACTACCATCTTCTGGTAGTTTTGTAAATCATATTGAATAAAAATGGATAAATATATAATAAACTCAAGAAGACACTACAGCACGAATGAGAAAATGTAAAAAGATAAAAGTCTAAACTGATTACAGAAGAACACACAATTTGAAGATTATTGGTAAGGTCTTTTATTAAATATAAAATAAAATGAGGGGGTTAGGAAGATGACTCAGTGGGTAAAGTGTTTTCTGTGCAAGCATAAGGACTTAGAATTCAGATTTCCCCAATCCACATAAAAGCCAGTCTTAGCCACTCATATCTCGAACCCTATGGCTAAGGGTAGGGGGCAGAGACAGTCAGATCCTGAAAATCCACAAACAGCCAGTTTTGCTGGGTGCTCCAGGTTCAATGAATAATCTATCACGAAAAAGTAAAAACAAATAAGCTAGAGGGGCTGGAGAGAAGCCTCAGTGACTAAGAGCATATAGTGCTCTTCCGGAGGATGTAAGTTTAGTTCCCAGCACCCACATCAGATGACTCAAAACTGACTGTAAATTCCTGTTTCATTTTGTGTAACTCATCTGGCCTCTGAGGATATATGCATATACCCACACACAGATGTACATATATACACAGAAGTAAACATAAACACACATATATACCACATATACACACATGCACACACTTACATCCATACACATCCATACACATAATACATTTATTTTTACATCATTATCACATGAAGTTATGCTATTATTTAAAGCATCTACTACATATTTAAAATTACATTTCTGTAATGCCAAATAATGATTAATAAAAAGCAAAAATCATCATAAAATTTATTTTACTTATATTTAAATGCATATGTCTTCAAGTATATACAAGGATGTTCAGGTGCCCACAGAATCCAGAAGATGGTATTGGATCTCCTGGAGCTGGTTACAGATGGTTGTGAGCCACCTGACATGGGTGCTGGGAACTGAACTTGGGTCCTCTGGTCGAGCAGCAAGCATTCTTAAGTCCCCATAAAATCGGTTTAATTGAAAATTTCCAAAGGTATATCTAGCTTACACTGAATGTTAACTATGTGTCTAAGCTGATTAGTAAGCAAAACAGCAGCTGGCTGGACAGTTTTATTGAATTCATTTAAATTATTGGTAAGCTCTCTGAGAACAGCGTGTTTGGGGGAGCAAGGGAAAGGGGGAAATGGGGAAATCTATATTTATCCCAGAGTATTAAAAGATGCATACATTAATTTACCTAGGATAATCTTTATATTCAGGTGAAGGGTCTTTTTTCAACCAGCTTTCATAAAGTGATTTACTTTCAAAACCATCATCAGGGCTGGAGATCTAGAAAAACAAACAGTGGGCATCAGGAACTGAAGCAAATGTATAACCAATTTAACTCCATCTGCACATAAGTATCAACTTCCATTGCTATCTGTATGTGCATGCATATGTCATGTTCACTTACATGAAAATAGTATATTTTGAAGCTTATAAGAAGAACAAACAACTACCCCAGATTTGTCTTAATTTATGATGACTGTTCTTGGTAACATTGTCAATTACCTAAAAAAAGGAATTTCCTTTTTTATTGATAACATTTTAAGTAAAAGTTTTAAAATGTTTCAGGTAAAGATACTGGAGAAAATGTTGATACATTTTCTTTAATAAATTGCCTTTATCTAAACAGATAGATCCTACTTTTGCTGGAAAAAAGTCAGTAGTAGTGCGTATAATTATTTCTATTTTTTTAAATTATGTTTAAGCAAAGCTGGATTTTTTTAATGTGCGGAATCAGGAACCTTTATACCCTGGTACAGTTACTGTGGAAATCGGTGTGGAGTTTTCTGAAAATCAAAAATAGATCTTCATATGACTCAGCTATACCACTCCTGCACATATACCCCCAAAACTACACTAGAGACACTTCCACATTTGTGTTCATTGCTGTCCTCTTTACAATAGCTAGGAAATGGAACCAAACTAGATGTCCATCAACTGAAAAGTAGGTAATGAAAATATGTCACATTTATACAATATAATTCTATTTAGCACCAAATAAAAATTAAATTTGTAGGAAAATGGGTAGAATTGAGGATAAAATTCACTAAGTGAGGTAACTCAGACCCAGAAATCCAATATCACGTGTTCTTTATTATACATGTATCATCCCTTTTAATTGAATTTTGTACTTAACTTGGAATCTATAGAGAGCAGGAAATTATAAAAGGAGTATGGAGGCTAGGGAAAAGTCCTAAAGAAGGTTGCACAGTAGAACTCATGTGTAGATGAATTTCTAAATGGTCTTATTAAATAAAAAACATGGAGCCAGATATAGGGGTGAAAGCCTGAGAGAGATCAGGGACATAGGGAAAGCCACAACTAACCTTACCTCACCAATTTGGCAGCTTCCAAATGCAAGCAACTTCCTGTCTACCCATACCTATAAGCCTTTGCTGTTCTGCCATCTGATTTGCTCTCTGTCCAGCTACATCACTTCCTCTTCCTGCCCAGCTCTGTCACTTCCTTTTTGTCTGTATAGATCTCCAAACCTCCATGGTTAACTAGTGTTGGAATTTAAGGCATGTGTCACCACACCTGGCTCTGTTTCCAGTGTGGCCTTGAACTCACACAGATCCAGACAGATTCCTGCCTGCCAAGTGATAGGATTTGCATTTGCTACTGTTGCTTGACTTCTTTATTTACTTATAATGGTTGTTCCTATTCCTCTGATCTCTAGGCAAGCTTTATTTGTTAAAGCACAAATAAAATATCATCACATTTCAGCACAAATAAAATATCACCACACTCATGTGATATGAAAATGGAAAGGGGTGTGGTGGGCCACAAGAATATATTATACAGATTCAGCTATGTATTAAAGCTATACTTTGACTGGCCAAGGGCCATAACATAAGACAGGATCCAAAATGCAATCTCCTGGGTATGACAAGTCATTGTAATTCTGAGCTTACAGCAATTGTATTTGCAGTTGCCTTCACTGAGCCTGCATTTGACTGGGCCTATCAACAGTCAATTGTTGAAGGGAGAAAAATTTGTGGCTATTGATGTATGCAGAGAGAGGAGGATTCATTGTCTCTATTTCTGTACCTACCAGTAAGTCCAACATGCTCCAGTGGCTAGTTCCACAACCATGGTCATAAGGACAGCCCTGTTTAAACTCAGTGGGTTAAAAATCCAAAGAGACATGAATATGAGGAAAGGGAGGAAGGCTGGCAAGGTAGGAATCCGCCTCATTTTCTAGAGTCACTAACTCATGCCTCATCCTTGTGGCCCTGAACCATGACTAATCTTAACTGCTTCCATGAGATGTCCTATCAGCACAGCAGTACAGTGCCCCATTTCTTGTTGAGTCGGGCGGGCAACTGCTTTTCTTTACCCTCCTGCCAGCACCTTGATTATTTGACTTATTAGGCATGGTGGTTTGAAGGCCTGCCATAAGCTCATATATTTGAATGCTTGGTCCCCAGTTGGTGGAACTGTTTAAGGATTAAGATGCATGGGCTTGTGGGAGGAGGTGTGTCACTGGGGATGGACTTCAAGGTTTCAAAAGGCTATGCCATTCCTAGTTAGCTCTCTCTGTGCCTTGTGCTTACAGGTAAGGATGTAAGTTCTCAGCTACTGCTCCAATGCGGTGCCTGCCTGCCTGCTGCCATGCTACCCACCATCATAGTCACAGACTCACCCTCTGAAACTGTAAGTCTCCAGTAAACTCTTCCTCCTATAAGTTTGTTTGGTCATGCTGTCTCTTCATGGAAATAGAAAAGTAACTAATACATGAAGGATGGGAGAAATTGTAGTAATCTGTTTACAGGAAGGTGAAGGAGTCACTTTAGTTCCCCGGGTCTTTGTATGACCATAGATAATAAGTATGTGTCTTTGCACAAGATGCACAAATAAGAACTTCTACTTACTGGTTCCAAAGTTCTTATCACCCTGACATCAAAGACAGGAGCCATTTTTCAAATACAGTACAGATCATAAAAACATATTCTGAAGTATTGCACCATAAAGATTCTCTTTACACTTGATTTTAGGAAAGAAACTACTGTGAGGCGTTCCAATAAAAGAACAAGGAAATAAGTTTACTCAAGAGGGTAAGGACACCAACAAGAGGGAAAATATAGCAAGCACTTTTGCTTGAAAAACAAACAAAACCTGTTTTTAGAAACACTAGCAGTAAACAGGCAGATAGAGCAAGATTAAAGAGATTAGAAAATACGCCGGGCGGCGGTGGCGCACGCCTTTAATCCCAGCACTCGGGAGGCAGAGCCAGGCGGATCTCTGTGAGTTCGAGGCCAGCCTGGGCTACCAAGTGAGTCCCAGGAAAGGCGCAAAGCTACTCAGAGAAACCCTGTCTCGAAAAACCAAAAAAAAAAAAAAAAGAAAAAAAAGAAAATAGAACCTGCATTAGAATGATACTCACCTCTTACTTTTCATTAAGGCTGCCCTTACAGCAGCAAACACTTCTACAAGTAAATGCTTTTGTTTTAAAGATTTGTTTTATTTTTATTGATGTGATTTTTGTTGTTGTTGTTGTTGTTGTTGTGTGTGTGTGTGTGTATTCTCATGCACCATATGTGTTCAGGTACCCAAGGAAATATAAAAGGGTGGCAGATCCCTTGAGCTGGAATTACATGCAGTTGTAAGACACCTGATGTGGGTGATGGAAACCAAAATCAGGTCCTCTGGAAGATCTGGAAGGTCAGCTGGTGCTCTTAACCACAGATCTGTCACTCCAGCACCTCTATAAGTAAATTCTATACCAGAGGACTACTTAAATGAAGTGTACAGCTATTGGGAGTACATTATCTGATTTTACTTTGAGATTCAATGTGCTCTAGTTCTTCAGAATATTTAACACATATAGTTAGTTTAATGTTTATAATGTTTCTGTGTAATCACCAGTTGCAGATCTCCTCCCCCTTTGCCTTTGGACTAATTACTGTTCATTCTACTCACTATGCTGGCATACAGTGATTTGTCTGGTGAGGAAGACCAGTGATTTCTGCATTGCCTGATTTCTGAATTCCTTGGCTTCTTTTTAATACTTTCCTTCTTAGCATCCTCACAATTATGTCACATAGTAAGCTGTATATTATAAACTTTGTTTTAGTTGCTACTTATTTTTGAGTCACCAATGTTCTGATAGCAATTTAAAAATAAATGTAGCTAATTAAGCCAGAAATGTGTTATCCATTCCTCATAAAATGGTAAGCCAGGTGTCCTCATTTACCTCTCTTGCCACTTTATACACCAACTGGTAAAGAAGAGGAGTACAGTCAACTCGTAGAGTGTAATTGCCTGAAGAACAAAGCAAACACAAAAGTCACATTTCATGCTACCAAATGAAATCCATTTATGTTTAATTGCAACTTTCTATTTAAAATATAATGTAACAGTCTTTAATTCAAAATGAGAGAGAGAGAGAGAGAGAGAGAGAGAGAGAGAGAGAGAGAGAGAGAGAGAGAGAGAGAGAGAGGCTGCAATGCATTGTTTAAACCAATGAAGCAATGGTGGACCCTGGTGGCTGATGTGGCAGCTCCCACAGCCATCGGCCAATTTTCCTTGTAGCACCATCTCTCAGGGACAGTGTCAAAGAAAGCATTAAGACTACAGAATCATTCAATCTTTCATTTGTTTAGATCAATGTATTAGAAAATAGTATGCATGTTGCAACAGCTTCAGGGACAATAAACAAAAATGTGCCAAAAATACTGAGAGGTAAATACAATGTGTCACTCCAAAAAGCAGTTCCAATAAGTAAGGGAAATATTATTTTTATTTTTCAAGGAAATGTTTTATTAAGAAAATATTTTTGTATGAGATATTCTGCAGAATATTTCTTCTTAAATACTCCAATCAAATTTCACTAATTCCTCCACAAAATTGTGGTGAATAGTAGGGTTTTAAGTCTCAATCCAAGGCAAGCAAATATAAACCAAAGGTAGAGCCATAGCTCAGTTGTGAGTCATAATGATTGATATGAATTATTTTTCCTGTGGTAAAACTAAAAACTAAGTTATTACTGAATAGTTTTATCTAAACATAAGATTTGAGATACTAGTAAGTTAGAATTTTTAGGCCTAAGAAAATAACAAACCAAAAAAAAAATAATTGTCAGGCATTCTGGCGCACTCCTGTAATCCCAGTGCTTAGCAGGTAGAAGTGGGAATTTAAGGAGATCAAGGTCATGAACACCAACACATTTGAGGCCCTTCATGAGACTCTTAACCTAAAAGGATAGCATACTTACTAGAAATGAAATTACTAAAAATAGAATTTACTTTTTGAACACTGTATTTCAAAACAAAATAAGATGCACCTTCTATAGATGAATCTGAGTTGATGTAAGCAACGCTTCTCTCCTGGAGGATCTTTGCATTCTCCTGCAATTGAAGCCAAGCTGTTAACACTCACAGCATTTACTGCTTTGGAAATATAAACAAAGTAGCCACACTAATCTCTTGTAAAATGGGCTGCTGATGTTTATAAGTCAAATACAGTATCTGCCCATGACCACAAATTTTAAAAAATTCTGATAATTTCTTAATTGATAATAGCAATAAAAACTAAAGTAAGAAAAAGAGAACATTATGAAGCTGTATACCAAAAGCAAAAAGGCCATGAAAATATTTTCAGGTGTGATTCCTTCATTCTTTGTATCAGAATATGCTGAAGTGAGGGTCCAAAATTTGGTAGTCCTAACTAAAATCTATTAAATCTAGGCTGTTCAAAGTGAGGCCTGAAACTGTTTTCTAATAGGCGTCCCTAGAGATTAATCCTTACATCCACTGAAGTTTGAGGTCCACTAAGTGGATTCCTAAGTACAGTAAAAGAGTGAGAAACATAGAAGTCATTTATCTATATTTATAAAAATCTATGGAGAAGTGAAAGAATAAAATAAAGAATAACAAGCCTACTCTATGTGCTAGGGTTCTAGGCTGGAAAGCAAGCACCAGCATCCATCTAGTTCAGCTTCCTGACTGTGGATGTAATGTGATCAGCTGCTTCACAGAAATGTCATCTCTACTTTCTTTCTTGTACCTTTAAACTGTGAGTGGAATAAACCCTTTCTACCTTGAGTTGCTTTTCTCAGGCATTTTGTTCCAACAACAAGAAAAGAAACTAATGTGGTTGCCTTGATTATAGTCAACATCTCTAGTACAGCATTTGCAGGGACTCATATAAACTTGGCTGGTCTCAAACTATAGATCTTCCTGCCTCTGCCACCTGAGTGCACTAATTAAGGTGTGCATCACCATACATAACTCCTTATATGTTCTCATAGAAGTTAAATGTACTATTGAATATGATAACCTGACTTATAGAAAATTGTTGTGGAATATTATTTTAACTAGGAAAACATGTGTTACATTTGTTTATGCTGCATTTGTTTAGCAATGTAAGGATGTGTGTTTAATTATGTAAAGATGTCTTGCATTTGTTTCACCTTGCCTGCCTAAGGTACCTGACTGGTCTATTAAAGAGCTGGGCAGCCAATAGCTAGGCAGAGAAAAGGATAGGCGAGACTGGTGGGCAGAGAGAATAAATAGGAGTAGAAATCTAGGCTTGAGAGAGAAGAGGATAAGGAGAAGGAGGAGAGAAGAAGGGACTTGTCTGGGGCCAGCTAGGAGGCTGTCAGCCAGCAGGCACAAGAAGCAGTGAAAGTAAGATATACAGAAGCAAGAGAAGTGAAAGCCCAAGGCAAAAGGTAGATAACGACAAACAGGTTAATTTAAATTAAAAGAGATAGCCACAAATGAGCCTAATCTAGGCCGAGCATTCAAACTAGTAAATCCCCATGTCATAATCTGGGAACTGGTTAGTGGCCCAAAAGAAAAAGCCTGGTACAGAAAACTAGGAAGAATGTTGAAATTATTCCTAAACCCACATGTGTATCAATGCAAATTTACTATTGTAAATCTTAGATTTTTTTTTTATTTTGAATTTCTGAAATGGAAGGAACAAATATATCTAAGTACACATACATTATAAGAAATCACACATTCTAAAAAGAAATTACCTTGATCAATAATATTCAACCAATCTAAATTAATGTTCTATTTTCAAATTTCATATTTAGTACCAGTATCAAAATGAAACTTTACAATGTAAATGTAACCAACAAAGATAAGTGATATCAGTTAAGTAACTATTTGATTTTGCTTCATATTATTATTTTATAGTAATGTAAGAGGAAATGATTTGGGAGGAAAGCATTTTCTAAAATATACACAGACATGCAAATTTTGCTTTAGAACACACCAGTAAAATTTATACTTACATGTGACAGAAAGGTGGCAGAGAGAAAGCATATCTAACTTTATGAAAATGTGTGCTCGCTTTACACATGTGAGAACTTAGACATTACCAACAGAGGAGAACTGGAAAGAAGAAAGAACGTACATAGGAGAGGCTCTGAAAGACTAAGAGCCTGTAAGAAAGAAAAAAAGACAGCACTGTGAAATAGTAAGTTAAGCTACTTTATGTACATTTACAGAATTGTCATTTTATATTTAACAATCAAAGCATATAACTGTAATGAAAGGTTAAAAAAAAATGAACAGCTTGCAGATTCCGATTATTTTCTGAGTTTACTGATTTTGTTTTCACAATACAAATACAGAAAAATATTGAAATACTTGGGTAATAAGTAGTTTTAGCCTAAGAAGTGACTCTGCTTTGCCAAATAGATGTGAGAGTAAAAACAAATTCTATGTCTTAAATTCACTTGAGTCATTTTCGGTTAGGTAAGATAATCTATACAATATTATAATAAGTACCTTCTCTGCTACTTACTTCAGCCCATTCAGTTGAACCCAGCAGCCCAAACTCCTCTGCATCCCAGCTGGCAAAGATGATAGTTCTCCTAGGTCTCCAGCCTGCAATCATGTTAGTGAGCATGGTTAAATACACCCACCTACAGGTACAGGAATATTAAGCAAGTCACTTTCAGTCAGCAGCTACCAGAGAATGCGTTACCTCGATTCATCAGTTTCCCAAAACTTTGGGCAATCTCTTGCAAAACTGCTGTCCCAGTGGTAGGGTCAATCCCTCCAAACACCCAGGAGTCACGATGACCTCCCAGAATGACATACCTATCTGGACAAGAATGTGTTCAAAGAGGTTCAACTTGTATACATTACAGGCATTTGTCATTTATGTATTTAAATTAAGTTTTCTCCTGCCTGAGTTTCCTCCACAGAAGACAACCAAAAGTAAAATCTTTTAGAGTGGAAATATCCTTCCCCTGAATTTCAGTTTCAAATCAGCCAGAAAAATATGTTACTGACGAATTTCATCTTTTCTTAATCTTTGTTAAAAGAAAATGTCTTTAAAATTTTAGTGACTCACCAGGTTCCATGGACCCTCTGATAGTTCCAATTACATTGTAAATTCTTGTGATTTTGTTAATGTTATTAACATGCATTCTAACTTTCCTAGAAGTTTGAAAAGAGTAAGTTAGTTCAATTAAGCATTGTATTTAGTTTCATTTAACATTTTATTGTGAAAAATCTCAAAACTACAGAAAACTATACAATAGGACAGTGAATTCTCATATCTTTGCCATCTCAATAATTGGATTATTTAAAACACTTGCAAAGCATCATTATAATTTACTCCTATTTATTGAGGCATGTACCTTAAAATCAACTTTAAATACCAATATTTTATATTTTTCTTCATAGCTATATTACTTAGTCTTACTATTAACTCAAAATATTCTATTAAATGCCTTAAAGTATTAGTTTTAAAATTTTATGCTCTCACTACACAGGGGCAACTGTTTGTTATGTAGTAATAGCTGAAAAGATAAATTTATTGTTTGAGCATCTGTTTCTGTAAATCCCTGAACAGCACACTGATGTTTAAATCAATAACAGATCACACGTGTGATAGTATCCCTAAAATTATACAAGAATTAAAAGGATCTATTAACCCTGCACCTGCTATATCATAGTATAATGTATTACTTATGTGTTTGTAGTGATACTAATGTAAACAGACATTAAGTGTAGAGCAATGCAGTATGTACAATTCATAGTGTACTTTCATTGTTCATTTAAAATGTACTCCTCCTTACTGAAAAAGAGTTTCCTCTAAGACAGACTGCCATGTTAGGCTAACAGTTGCCTCCTTCTTCCTGTTTACAGAATCTCTGGATGCCATCAAGAAGCCACATTCAATGACTGATCAAACCAGTTAGGTATGTATAAGTACACTCTGATGTTCCAACAATGACACTTTTCTCAAAATACATCTTCCTGTTAAGTGACACATGATTACAGTAATACTTGCTATTCATCAACTTTCGTTAATGACTGTGAAAGTGGTCTAAAAACATATTACTTGAAATTGATCTGAGCAATGGATTGAACTAGAAAATACCATCCTGAGTGAGGTAACCCAGATTCAGAAAGACAAACATGGTATGTACTCACTCATAAGTGGATACTAGATGTAAAGAAAAGGATAACCAGACTATAACCCACAGCTCCAGAGAAGCTAGGAAACAAAGAATACCCTAAGAGGGATGCATAAATCATCCTGGGAATGGGAAATATAAGAGATCTCCTAAGTAAACTGGGGGTGAGGGGGGCAATGGAGGGTAGGGGATGGAAGATGGGAGCATGGGGGAATGGGGTGGTTGAGCTGGAACAGGGCAGAATGGGAGAGCAATGAGGGAGATGTATTGATAAAGGGAGACATCATGGGGATAGGGAGAAACCTGGTGCAAGGGAAGTTCACCAGGAGTCCACAAGGCCGGCCCCAGCTTAGACTACTATAAGTGGTGGAGGGGGTACCTGAGGTGGCCTATCCTGGTGATCAGATTGGTGAATGCCCTAGCTGTCATTAGAGAGCCTTCATCCAGTAACTGATGGAAACAGATGCAAAGAGCCATGGCCAAGCACCAGGCATAACTCCAGGGAAGAGCAAGAGGCATCAAGACCATGATGGGGAAACTTAAAGATACAACCAAACCAATCTAGTGGAAACTCAGGAACTTTGGACTGACAGCTATGGAGACATGGGACTGGACTGGACCCTCTGCATGGACGAGACAGTTGTGTAGCTTGTTCTGTTTGAGGGCCTCTGACAGTGGGATCAGGATCCATCCCTGATGCATGAGCTGGCTTTTTGGAGCCCATTGCTTATGGTGGGACACCTTGCACAGCCTTGATGCAGGGGGAGGGGCTTGGACCTGCCTCCGCTGAATGGGGTGATTTGCTGACTCCCCATGGGAGGCCATACCTTTTCGGAGGAGGGAATGGGGAGTGGGCTGGGGTAGAAGGCTGGGGGAGGGAGTGGGAGGAAGGATGAGAGGGGGATCTGTGGTTGGTATGTGAAAATAAAAAATTTCTTAATAAAAAAATTGACCTGAGCACTGACTGAAGAATATGATCAATTCTATTGTTAAATAAGAATTTGGAAAGTTGTGCTAAGTGCAGAACTACATACTGAAACTTCCCTGGGCCATCCATTTTGATTCTGATTTGGGCTGGACTTTAATATTCATTAATGATTTTAGCCAATTTAAAAGCAAATGTAAATTCAGTAAAACCCAGCCAGACTTCCTCCATCTCAAAGGCAATACACACTCTATGAATCCCCGAATGACATACATAAATATTGAGTTGCTTTTTCACAGGAACAGAAAACAAGCCTTTGTTTATTCTAGACATAGAAAGGTCTCTAACTTGTTATCATGATTATTTGATGGAAGGAAGGATTCGGCTACCAAAGCTTGTACAGTGTGAAATGCAGGCAGATTTTGCTATCCTCCTAAATTTTTTCTAAATACATAATTAATCCTAATAATAATTAATACATAATTCAGCTAAAAGTTTCAAGAGCAAAAAAATCAACAAGCGAGGGTTTTTTTTTTTTAAAACGCATTAAGTAAAAATATTATTTTTGCTATTGCGAAGTAAAAACACGAAGGAGCTGGGGAAATGGCTTAATGGCAGAGCCATTGGTTTGCAAAAGCGAAAGCCTATGATCAGTTTTAGCAGGAAAACACCCTACTGCTGCAATGCAGAAACATTTTCAGCATCTTCGCGTAATTAAGAGCTTAAAGTCTATAATTAAAAAGAAACCCAAAGTCATTGGTATTATATCACTGTATCACTAAATTAAGAAAGCTAAGTCAGGCTTAGTGTGATGACTTTTGCCTCTAACAGCAGTACTCTGGAGCCTGAGGCAAGAGAATTTCCATGAGTATGAGGCCAGGTCAGCTACACAGTGAGAGCTGTTTTTTTTTTTTTAAAAAAAAAGGTAAATATTGATGCAATAGATGAATGAAATTTAGAGAAAAGTCAGTAATTCTAAACATTAAACATAGGGTAGGTGCCCAGAGTCTCAATCGTTTCTCCTACATTCAAGCCTTCACCCTTTGTACTTTCCAAGCTTTTACTTTCTTTGACTTCCTGAATTGTTTGTAGCAATTATCTGCTTTTCCTCACATCACTCCAAACACACTGTCTTCCAAATGAAGCACAGTCTAAGATCTAGGCTTAATAGAGGGGTGATTTTTGCTTATTTGATCCAGGATGAATTCCCAGGACTCGGAGTGGTACTTTGTGTACAGTTAGTTAATGTTCATCAAGTATTTGTCAAATGAACTATCTCCCTCCTATAGGGAAAAGCTGGAAAACACTCTAGCGCATTTATCACTGTCACCTTAGCTTTTGTTTCATTTCATTGTATGACTAGACTGCTTGATACATCTCTGTAGAGACAGTCTGAATGAACACACAGAAGCATGACAGAAATACAAACAATTCACAGTAGAGTCATATCCAGTACACATTCATTTAAGATCCTTCCCCACTGTAAAAGCAAGCTTTCCTGCAATTATGTTCATCTCAAGACCTCTGAGTAAACTCAGAGAAATTATGAGTGTATTTTCTCCATGTCTGTCTGCTTCTGCTTGTAAATTTTTTTTAAAAAAAGGCCTTTATGTTGTGCAACTATGTTATCTTTCCCTCTCTCTGGAGAATATAAGAAAAACAGATAATATACCTTCTAATTGATGGAACACTGTTGTGATTGAATTATGATAACTAAGCCCTTACATACCTCAAATTCTAAAATTCCCATAAAAATAAGAAAACTGAGCTTCTTTCACTTCAAATTTTCTGAAACAAGCCAATTCTAGCAATAAAAACATATCCTGAGTATCAAAGTTCATATAGATAGGCAAATGAGCAAACAAGACTGGCTGAGCAATGTGTGTTTAATAAAATAAACATCTAACTATATCCTTTCTGATTTGTCAGCACTAACATTTCCCTTCCCTGGTCTTTCCAGTACAAACATCCTACCATGGCCCATGTTTCCACAACTACACTGTCTGCCTGCTTTTTCTCATGCCAGCAGGCACACAGGGTCACTCCTCGGCAACAGTCTTGTGTTAAAACAACACTAATTATAGCAAGTGGTGGTGGTGCACCCCTTTAATCCCAGCACTCAGGAGGCAGAGGCAACTGGATCTCTGAATTCGAGGCCAGCCTGGTTTACAGAGTGAGATCCAGGACAGCTGGGACTACACACAGAAACCTTGTCTTGAAAAAAAAAAAAAAAAAAAAAAAAGGAACAGATAAAAACAATACTAATTATAATGATATATCTATTGAGAATTGTTGTGCAACATGGTTTCCTCATTTTGACTCATTTATGCCATGTAGTATAGGTAAAAATAACTGATGGATCCTCAATCTCTGCCCTTTTAGCTTCTATCAGCTGCCCCACCAAAAATGTCACTAGGAAAACTGGTTTAAAATTTGAGTTGAAAATGGAAGTTAAACCTTCAGTAATGTGGCAAAATACAAGAGCAACTAAAAAAAAAAAATATTAGTAGCTCACCTATAAACAAATGATAAATGGGCTGAGAAAGAAATCACAGAAACAATAGCCACAAGTAATATAAAATACCTTAATATAACTCTAACCAAACAAGCGAAAGACCTATATGACAAGAACTTTAAGTCCTTAAAGAAAGAAATTGAAGAAGACATCAGAAAGTGGAAAGATTTCTCATGCACTTGGATAGGTAAGATCGACATAGTAAAAACGGCAGTCTTACCAAAGGCAATCTACAAATTCAATGCAATCCCCATCAAAATCCTAACACAATTCTTCACAGACCTCAAAATTACAATACTCAACTTCATATGGAAAAACAAAAAACCCAGGATAGCTAAAAGAATCCTGTATAATAAAGGAACTTCTGGAGGCATTACCATCCCTGACTTCAAGCTCTGCTATAGAGCTATAGTAATAAAAAAAAACTCAGTATTGGCATAAAAACAGACATGTGGATCAGTGGAATCGAATTGAAGACCCTGACAATAAATCCACACACCTGTGAATACCTGATTTTTGACAAAGAAGCAAAAATTGTACAATGGAAAAAAGAAAGCATCTTCAACAAATGGTGCTGGCATAACTGGATATCAACAGGTAGAAAATTGCAAATAGAGCCATATCTATCACCATGAACAAAATTCAAGTCCAAGTGGATCAAAGACCTCAACATACATCCAATTACACTGATAGAAGAAAAAGTAGGAAGTGTGGTGATATTTTATTTGTGATCTAACAAATAAAGCTTGCTTGAAGATCAGAGTGTGGAGCTAAGCCATTATTTAGCCATAGAGGCCAGGTAGTGGTGGCACACATCTTTAATCCCAGCACTTGGGATCTCATGCCTTTGATCCCAGCAGTAGGGAGGTGGAGACAGGAAGTGATATATGGCTGGGTGAAGAGAGGAATATAAGGTAGGAGGAGACAGGAGCTCAGTCTTTTTCAGGCTGAGGATTTGGTAGAGGTAAGAAGTCTTTCTAGTCACTGGTTGCTCTGCTTCTCTGATCTTTCAGCTTTCACCCTGATATCCAACCCCAAGTTTTTAATTAATAAGACCAATTAGAATTCACGCTACAGGGAAGTAGCCTTGAACACATTGGCACAGGAGACCACTTCCTGAATATAACACCAGTAGCACAGACACCACTAGATCGACAATTAATAAATGGTACCTCCTGAAACTGAAAAGCTTCTGTAAGGCAAAGGACATGGTCAATAAGACAAAACAGCAACCCACAGAATGGGAAAAGATCTTCACCAACCCCACATCTAACAGAGGGCTTATCTCTAAAATATATAAAGAACTCAAGAAACTAGACATCGAAATACCAAATAATCCAGTCTTAAAATGGGGTACAGATATAAACAGAATTCTCAACAGAAGAATCTCAAATGGCTGAAAGACACTTAAGGAATTGCTCAATAACCTTAGTCATCAGGGAAATGCAAATCAAAATGACTCTGAGATACCATCTAACACCTGTCAGAATGGCGAAGGTCAAAAATACTGATGACAACTTCTGTTGGAGAGGATGTGATGTAAGGGGACCACTCTTCCACTGCTGGTGGGAGTGCAAACTTGTACAGCCACTCTGGAAATCAGTATGGTGGTTTATCAGAAAGTTGGGAATCAGTCTACCTCAAGACCCAATGATACCCCTCTTGGGCATATACCCAAAGCATGCCTAATCATACCACAAGGACCTTGCTCAACTATGTTCATAGCAGCATTATTTGCAATAGCCAGAACCTGGAAACAACTTAGATGCCCGTCAACCGAAGGTTGGATAAAGAAAATGTGGTACATTTACACAATGGTGTATTACTCAAGGGTAAAAAAACAATGACATCATGACATTTGCAGGCAAATGGATGGAACTAGAAAAAATCATCCTGAGTGAGGTAACCCAGACCCAGAAAGACAAACATTGTATGTACTCACTCATAAGTGAATATTAGATGTAAAGCAAATGATAACCAGGCTACAATCCACAGTATCAAAGAAGCTAGGTAAGAAGGAGGACCCTGGGAAGGGGAAATAGATGAGATATTCTGGGTAAATGTGGGGTGGGGATGGGGTAAAGGGGAGGGGATGGAGGATGGGAGCATGAGGGATTGGGATGGCTGAGTTGGGGGAGGGACAAAGAGGAAGAGCAATAAAAGCTCTCTTGACAGAGGGGGCCATTATGGGGTTAGGGAGAAACTTGGTGGTAGGAAAACTCTCAGGAATCCACAAGGATGACCCCAGCTAAGACCTCTAGCAATAGTGGAGAGGGTGCCTGAATTGACCTTCTCCTGTAATCAGATTGGTGTCATCATAGAACTCATCCAGTAACTGATACAGAGATCAGCATTGAGCTGAGCTCCAGGAGTCCAGTTGAAGAGAGGAAGGAGGGATTATATAAGCAAGGGGTGGGGTGGGTCAAGATCATAACAGGAAACCCACAGAGACAGCTGACCCATGCTTATGGGAGGTCATGGGCTTTAGACTGACAGCTAGGGAGCCTGCATGTGACAGACCTAAGCTATCTGCATGTGGGTAACAGTTGTGTAGCTTGGTCTGTTTGTGGGGCCCCTGGTAGTGGGACCAGGATCTGTCCCTGGCACATGAGCTGGCTTTTTGGAACTGATTCCCTATGGTGGGATGCCTCGCTCAGCCTTGATACAGGTGGGGGCAGCTTAGTCCTGCCTCAACTTGATATGCCATGCTATGTTGACTCCCATGGGAGGCCTGCCCCTTCTTGAGGAGTGGATGGGGGTGGGTAGAAAAGAGACGGGCAGAGGGAACAGGAGGAGAGGAAGGAGGAGAAACTGTGGTTGGTATGTAAAATAAATTTTAAAGAAACTTATAAAAAATTAAGCCGGGAAGTGGTGGTGCATGCCTTTACTCCCAACACTCAGAGGCAGAGGCAGGCAGATCTCTGTGAGTTTGAGGCCAGCCTGGGCTACAGTGAGTTCCAGGAAAGGCTCCAAAGCTACACAGAGAAACCCTGTCTCAAAATAAATAAATAAATAAATTAATTAATAAAGTTAAATAAGTGTTCCATTGGCAAAAAAAAGAGAACGAAAATGGAAGTTAAAAAAGACAACACTATAGCAATATTTCACCTAATAGTACAATGTCACCACTGAATAATTCAATAGTTAACTCTGTAAGTCCTTCTGAGTTGATATAAAATGATCAGTTGGTCACTGGTGACAAGGAAAAAAAAAGAAAAGCATACTTTACCTGGCAAAACATTATCTTGACTTTTTTTTGTTAAAACAAAACTTTTCCAGGCTATTCAAGAGTCACAACGTTACCTGGAATATTCACTTCCTGTAAAGCCAGGCCCGATATTATAACTAACATTTAGAGTTCCCTTCCAGCTTTTGTCTGGTGGAGCAGCTCCTCCCAAGTTTCTGTCAAGAGTACATGAAACAACAAAAAGATTGATCTTGAGAAAATCATGAGATTGAGTGTGATACTGTAAATGTTGGAACTATTTACAAAAAGGCCTAGCCTCATGGAGCTTTCATTCTGGAAAGAGTCATAGCCTAGACAAATAAGTAACATGCCACATGTTAGTTATAATGATGAAGGGAAAAAATAAAATCCGGAGGACAGATAGATGGGTGGCAACAGCCTCCTCACACGTGATGTAGTGGGAGAACCGGGGAATTGAGGCTATCTGAAAGAGGGAACATTCCTGACTGTGTTAAGAAGCACCAAATTTTTACAGAAACTCCTGACTCCATAGGAGGCACCTATAAAAGGTAATTAAGTTACTCTGGTACAGACGTGTAGGAAATGAAGTTGGGAAATAGGCGACGAAGTACAGAAAACATTACCAGCAAATATTAACCCAATGTTCACTGTACTGCAGACCCTGCTCCCAGCTGGGATTCCAGAAGAAACAGCACTGTCCTCATTTTACAGGTGAGGACACTAAATCAGGAAGTAACTGATGAAGATCACGCATCTAGTGGCTAGTGTGACTGTGTGTTTACACCAATGAAGTCTAAGTATTGGAATCTTGTCAAATCAGGGCTTGAATTTAAGTGGGTTTTTTGGGGGTTTTTTTTTTTTTTGGTTTTTTGAGACAGGATTTCTCTGTGTAGCTTTGCGCCTTTCCTGGAACTGGTTTTGAAGACCAGGCTGGCCTTGAACTCGCAGAGATCCGCCTGCCTCTGCCTCGCCTGCCTCTGCCTCACAAGTGCTGGGATTAAAGGCGTGCACCACCACAGCCCGGCTCAGTGCTTGAATTTAATCTTTGGACAGAATTTCGTATTTGGGAATTTCATTTGAGCAGAGAAATGTTTTATTATTATTTCTTAGTAGTTAATCTGATTGTTCTCATAAAAATAGTGTTTCTACTTCAGGGCTTATTTTGATATATGTTATTTTTAACATAACTGACTAATAGAGCAAAAATTGGACATTGTAGGGTAAGATATACTCATATCCAACCAAATGACTATACCGTAACAGTATCTCTGCATCATTGTATCCAATTGGATGTACCGGTATATTCGGAATCCCTACTCCTTCTTCAACATGAAGTCTGAAGGTGTACTCTGCAAAAATCAAGTATATAAGTGAAAACCATTGAACAATACGAGCAAGGACAATGGCATGCAGGAGTTTCTTGTAATATTAATACAGATTTGTTATATTTTGCAATTAAAATAAAATTAAAGGTTACCAAAAAGTCAAACTGTTTTATTTAAACTGGACTATTTGAGTCAGTAGTAAATAAAAAAAATAAAATAAAATGTCATTTACATTTTAAGGCAAAAATCAAATCATAGAAATAGATTTTTAAACTAAACATTTGAAATAATTTTCTTAAACTTTTTAATATTTTATTTGCTCAAAAGATATTATAAACCACTATTATAGAAACTCCAGTAAACTGTATGCTTGGAAAATATGTCTATATATTCTAAAGTCACATATAATAGGGAAAAAACAGAAAACTTTTGAGATCTTGAGGAATAATTACATTTATCCAAATAATAAGACAAAGTTTTCTTCAAAGGATGCTTGGGAAGTGCTGTCAGACTGATAAACTCTTGGGGCCTGGCTATCTGGCAAGAGAGATTAACATGGAACCCTTCATGCTCATATCTGGACCAACTTAAAAATGACAAGACATATGAAACAATAATCCAAAATTTTTTTTCTTATTACTCATTTTTATAATTGCTTGTTGAAAAAAAGCATAACAGTATAATTATACAAAAAAGTCAGCAACTACACTAACTTGATTGGGCAGCTATTCTTAACAGTTGGGCATACTTCAAAACAGCAGAGTTTACTTTGTTCTCAGGTATGTGGGGAACATGTATTCAATAGATTTATATTATGGTATTGTGGGCCATAAAACATGTTCCAATGAATGCAAAAATCATTCAAAGTCTATTGTTTGACAATAGTGAAATTAATTATAATGGAATTAGAAATCAATATTGAAGAAAATATTTCCAAAATTCTTGAGTAGCTAAAAACCAAACAATGTGATTCTCTGCTAACACACACACAAAAAAAAACAGGTAGGCTTTCTGCAGACCTTCCCTTCTCTCTATTCCGCAGTTTGAATCTCCGAGTCTCATCCCCAGCTCTATAGCAGAACACTCTTGGCAGCCCCTCCTTCCATCTCCCATGGATCCCACAGATCTGCCCCCTTTTAACCTTCCTCCTTTTATTTGTTGCTTTGTCCAGACCCCTACCCCAGTGGGCACTCCCTGCTAACCCAAGGGCACCTGTGCTGCTGCTCCTGAGATCCACCCTAGTCCCAGTACCATCGCCAGCTCCTTAGCAGGAAACCTGCTGTGGTCTCCCTTTTCTCTCTGACTTCACCCTAATGGAACACAACGACCATTCCCAACCCTCCTTCCCCCATCTAATCCCAGTATCCCAGTCTCCAACACCAGCAGGCATTCCCTGGGAACACAGCAGCCTAGCAGAACAAGGGAACAACCCACAACTCCAGCAGACAGGCCTACATTAACCCACAGGCCACACCTGCAGGCTCCCTGCAGGCCTCCTCTTCTCTCTGTTCCACCAGTTCCATCTCCAGCTCCACAGCAGAACAAACTTGGCGGAGTCCCACCCCCACCCGCTTTCATCTCCAGAGGATTCCACTGATCTTTCCTCTTCCAACATTCTTCCCCAACTTGTTGCTTTGTCCTAGATCCCAACCCAGCAGGCAGCCCCTGCTAACCCAGGGGCCTCTCCTCCCAGGACAAGTAGGCTGGAGGCAGACTCACACCTCTCCTGCTGCTCCTGAGTTCTAACCCCCCCAGTTTTATCCTAAACTCTGTAGCAGGACATTTACTGTGGTCTCAATTTCCTGTCTGACTCCATCCCCAAGGGATCACAAAGACCTTCTTTCCAACCTTCCTTCCCCTTCCTCATCCCAGTATCCCAGCCTACAACACCAGCAAGCATTCCCTGAGAACGCATAAGCTGGACAGGACAGGCAACACTCAGTCAAAACACTCTCTGAAAAATCCAGAAAGGAAACAGAAATCAAGGAATAAAACACCTATCCAATAAAGACAAATCCAGAAATCAGCACCTAGACCTATAATCATCCCAAACTCAGATGCCAAGATGCCAGCATAAAAACATAATCAGCCGGGCGGTGGTGGCGCACATCTTTAATCCCAGCACTTGGGAGGCAGAGCCAGGCGGATCTCTGTGAGTTCGAGGCCAGCCTGGGCTACCAAGTGAGTTCCAGGAAAGGTGCAAAGCTACACAGAGAAACTCTGTCTCGAAAAACAAAAAACAAACAAACAAACAAAAAACCATAATAACAGCAAGGGCAATATGTCTCCAGTAGAGCGCAGCTATCCTACTATAGTAAGCCCTGAATATTCCAACACAGCTGAAGCACAAGAAAAAGACCTTAAAATCAACTATATGAAGATGATAGAGTTCCTTAAAATAAAAATTAATTAATCCATGAAAACAATGTGAGGAAATGAATAAATCACTTAAAGAAACCCCAGAAAACACAAACATTTGAAGGAAACAAATAAAAGTGATCAAGACCAGAAAATGGAAATAGAATCAATAAAGAAAACACAAGCTGAGGGAATTCTGGAAAAGAAAAATTTAGGAATTCAAACAGTAACTACAGAGGAAAGCTTCATCAACAGAATAGAAGAGACGGAAGAGAGAATCTCAGGCAATCAGGATACTACAGAAGGAACAGCTACATCAGTCAAAGACAATGTTCAGTGTAAAAATCCCGACACCAAACATTCAGGATATCTGGGACACCATGAAAAGTCCAAACCTAAGAATATTAGGAATAGAAGACGGAGAAGATTCCCAACTCAAAGGCCCAGAAAATATAGTCAACAAAATCATACAAGAAAAGAAAAGAAAGTCCCCCCACTACATGAGAATCAAAACACTGAACGTACAGTAGTACAAAGAAAGAATATTAAAAGCCGCAGGGAAAGGGCCAAGTAACATAAAAAAGCATATTGGAATTACACCTGAGTTCTCAATGGCAAGTCTAGAAGCCAGAAGGGCCTGGTCAGATACCTTGCAGACTCTAAGAGACCACTGGTGCCAGCAATGACTACTATACCCAGCAAAACTTTCAGTCACTATAGATGGAGAAAACAAGATATTCCATGATCCAGTCAAATTGAAACAATATCTATCTATAAATCTGCTGTGGATGATTGATTGATACAGTGCTGACTGGTCAGTAGCCAGGCAGGAAGTATAGGCAGGACAAGGAGAGAGAATTCTGGGAAGTAGAAGGCTGAGGCAGAGAGACACTGCCAGCTGCCGTGATGAGAAGCAACATGTTAAGATACAGGTAAGTCACGAGCCACGTGGCAACTTAGATTAATAGAAATGGGTTAATTTAAGATATAAGAACAGTTAACAAGAAGCCTGTCACGGCCATACAGTTTATAAGTAATATAAGTCTCTGTGTGTTTACTTGGTTGGGTCTGAGCGGCTGCGGGACTGGCGGGTGAGACAGATTTGTCCTGACCGTGGGCCAGGCAGGAAAACTCTAGCTACATAAATCCAGAACTACAGAAGGTGCTAGATAGAAAAACCCAAACCACCAGTGTTAACTACACCCGTGAAAACATAGGAAATAATCTTATACCAGCAGAAACAAAAGAAGGAAAGTGCACACACACCACCACCACCATCACCACCATAAACAACAACAAAATAATAGGAATCAACAATCATTGATCATTGGTTTCTCTCAATGACAATGGTCTCTGTGAGACCAAAATGAGCCATCTTAGAAATAAGACCAAAATGCTTTCACCCTAAAATTAAGGCCTAAGATTTCTCCCTTTGGGAATAGGCCATTAGTTACTGAAACCAGTCAGTTCGAATTCCAGAAACCAGGAAGTGTAAAAGTACAGAGTCACAAGATAGTCATGAGGTAATGCCTGCCGGACTATGGAATGTCCTCTCCCTGGTTTCCAGGGTAACTGACCACAGAAATGTCCCCACCTGAGGGCAGCCAATGAAAAATGGTGGCGGGCAACCACTCCCTTAGAAGTAATTTCTAGAAGTCCCTAGAAGCAAGCCAATCAGAATTGTACCCGTACTAGCACCCCTAAATGATGTAACCTTGTGATTTTTCCCTTTAAAACCTGAGCTTGCAAACAGGTGGGCACTTCCTCCAGCCTTCACTGCATTGGATATATTGGATGAAGTCCCTGCCTAGCCTTGTATTGCTTTTGGATATCCAGAATTAAACCTTGCTTTTGCATTCCGGCATGCTCGTCTTTGATGGTCTCTCTGGGGGTCGCAATCTGGGCACAACAGTCTCAGTTCTCAAATAAAAAGATAAGGACTAACAGACTGGGTGTAAATCAGGATCCATCCTTCTGCTGCATCCAAGTAACACGCCTCAACAACGAGGATAAACATTACTTCAAGGTAATGGGTTGGAAAAAGATTTTTCTTTTCTTTTTTTTTTGGTTTTTCAAGACAGGGTTTCTCTGTGTAACAGAGTCCTGACTGTCCTGGAACTTGCTTTGTACACCAGGTTGGCCTCAAACTCACAGAGATCCTCCTGCCTCTGCCTCCCGAGTGCTGGGATTAAAGGCATGCGCCACCACCGCCCGGCTGGAAAAAGATTTTCTAAGCAAATAGACTTAAGAAGAAAAATGGTGTATCCATTTTAATTTACAACAAAATATACTTTTGTAGCACAAATTCTAATTGGTCTTAATAATAAAAACCCAGAGTCAGATATAGGGGTAAATGCTGAAAGATCAGAGAAGTAAAGGAGTCAGCCACTAGAGAGACTTCTTACCTCTACCAAATCCTCAGACCAAAAGGGGCCCAGCTCCTGTCTCCTCCCATCTTATATTACTATCTCCACCTCCCTAGTGCTGGGATTAAAGGGATGAGCCTCCACCACCTGGCTCTGTTTTCATGTATAATATTAGAGGGACCAGCCTTAATATTATACATCCCAGGGGCTCAGGAGAGAGAACTACTAACGTCGAGGACTATTTTCAGGAAATAAAATCTCAGCACACTGAGCTCTATAGTCTACTTGCTTTAATTCCTCTGGCATAACATCCACATATACACAGCTTCAGTTCTGTTCTTGTGCCTAGCTCCTTTCTTGCCTGCTTTCTCTCTGTTTATCTACTGTTCCCTCTTAAGTTCTATCTTAATTCTCTCGTCTTAATTCTGCCTCATCTAGGTCCTTTTCACCTTGTTCTTACCCAGCTAGGACTTTCCCATCTGACTCTTCCTCATTTTCCATCTCGTTCCTCTAGTCCTCTCTTCTAGCCCTTCAATCTAGTTCTTTCCCATCTCAGTTTGTTCCTCTCAAGTTCTTACCCATATAGTTCTTCCATTCTCTTTTCTTTTCTCTGTCCCTTGTCCCTGGAAGTCCCAGTATATAAAGGGAGGGTCCGAGCTAAATTGTGTAAAGCTATTACTTAACGTCTACCTCTCCTAGGTGGTGTCTCCTTGTGGAATTTACCTTAAGTCAGGAGACTTGCATTGTGGGCTGTTATCATTGTTAGTCCTCGGAAGTTGGGGCCCACCTGGGCAGTGTCTCCTTGTGGAATTTAAGTCAGGAGACTTGCACGTGGGCTGTTATCATTGTTATCCTAGGAAGTTGGGCGCCCCCCTGGGTGGTGTTTCCTGTAGTCCTTGAAAGTGGCCAAGGGAGATAATCTGATTCCAGAGAAAGCCTTTCCTGAGGCTGATCTCCAAATACCTGGAATGTGTATGTCCAGAGAGTGATCAGTCCACACTGTTAGCCCTTCTTAGGGAAAAGTCAATTGGGAAAACTATGAAGGCACACATGATTTTCATAACAGAATACAGCTGATATATAACAAGCCAAGTAACATCAAAAACTCCTTGGGATTTGGCTTCCTCTGGAGGAATTCCCTGATCCCTCCAGGTAGTGACTTTGTCATAACCAGCTGAGTTCTTATATATTCCTTTGGCCCACAGCACTGTTTCTCTATTAGACAGGATCAGAACTCCTGATCTTCCTGCTCCCTCCTTCCAAGTGCTAGGATTAAAGGGGTATGCCACCACTGCATGGCCTCCATGGTTAACTACTGGCTAGCTCTGCACTCTGATCTCCAGGCAAGCTTTGTTAGAGCACAAACAAAATATCACCACAGACTTCAAACCAAATTTAATCAAAAGAGACAGAGAAGGACACGACATACTCATTTTCTTAGTTAGGGTTTCTATTGCTGTGAAGAGACACCATGACCACAACTCTTATAAAGGAAAACACTTAATTGGAGCTGTCTTACAGTTTGTGGCAATTTGAAAGAAAATAGCCCCCAAAGGGAGTGACACTATTAGGAGGTGTGGCCTTGTTGGAGAAAATGTGGCAGTGTGTGTGTGTGTGTGTGTGTGTGTGTGTGTGTGTGTGTGTTGGGGGGAGCGCTTTGAGGTTCCTTTTGCTCAAACTTCCCTTAGTATGATATTCAGTGGACTTCCTGCTGCTTGCTTGTCAAGATACAGCCAGCACCACATCTGCCTGCAGGTCATGATGCTTCCTGACACGATGATAGTGGACTGAACCTCTGAAACTATAAGCAAGCCACCCCAATTAAGTGTTTTCTTTATAAGAGTTGCCATGGTCAAGGTGTCTCTTCACAGCAATAAAAACCTTAAGACACCGTTTCAGCGGTTTAGTCCATTATCATCATGGAGAGAAATGTGGTAGTATGCAAACTGACATGGTGTTGTAAAAGGAACTGAGAGTTCTTCATCTTGATCAGCAGGCAGCAGAAGGAGTCTGTGTACCACACTCTGTGTAGCTCCAGTATATGAGACCTCAAAGCCTGCCCCTACTGAGACAGAACACACTTCCTCCAATAAGGCCACACCTACCCCAGCATGGCCAAACCTCCTAATAGTGCCACTCACTCCCTATGGGCCAAGCATTCAAACACATGAGTTATGGGGCTATTCCTATTCAAACTACCACATTCCTTTCCTTCACCCCACAAAGCAATTCAACTAAAATGTTTCCTAAAAGACAAAACTGCCCACACTCTCCATATCTACTCTTTGTAGTACTTGAAGTTTTTGCTAGAGAATAAGACAACTGAAAAAAATCAAGGGGACACAAATTGGAAAGGAGGAACTCAAAGAATCATTATTTGAAGATGATCTGATAGTACACATCAGTGACCCTAAAAATTCTCCCAGGGAATGCCTACAGATCATAAAAACCTTCAACAAAGTAGCTAGATACAAGATTATCTAAAAAACAAAACAAAACAAAAAACCAGTATCCATCCCATGTACAAATGACAAACAAAATGGGAAAGAAATCACAGAAACAACACCTTTCACAATAGCCTCAAATAATAAAAATATCTTGGGGGTAACTCTAACCAAGCAAGTGAAAGACTTGCATGATAAACTTGGAGTCTTTGAAGAAAGATATTGAAGATATCAGAAGATGGAAAGATCTCCCATGCCCATGGGTCAGTAGGATTGATATAGTAAAAATGGCCATCCTACCAAAAGCAATCTACAGACTCAGTGCAATCCCCATCAAAATTCCAAGACAATTCTTTACAGACCTTGAAAGGACAATCCTCAACTTCATATGAAAAAATAAAAAAGTACTTATTTCCAAGTAGTCAGGCTACAAAATGACATAAAGTGCTTGTTTGTATACACTGAGAACAGCAAGGAGTGTTTTACAAAAGTGATCAACTAACAGATTTGCCCATTACCTTTAGCTGGATAGCCTGGAGTGAGTGGGTCACCTGCCCCATTCAGATTTAAGACATTTCCTCTCTGTGCTGCAGCTCCAGGAAGGTTCCATCCTTTGGGATACGGCTGTACCTCAGGGGCAAAGTAGTCAGCTGGATCAGAGTACAGGATGATTCCTATGGCTCCAGCTATCATGGCATTTTTAACCTGTAAGAGCAATATGCAAATGACTCGTTTACTCCTACAAAAGTAGTAATAACTGCTTTTGATCCTGTTGTTATATGCTTGTTATCTTTGCATTCAAAACTAATTTTCTTCATGGTAAACTTAACACATGGTCACTTATCTTACAAAATCCTTACTAAATTATCTCTTTTAAGAACTGTTCTTGGCTGCGTGGCGGCGGCGGCGGCGGCGGCGGCGGCAGCGCACGCCTTTAATCCCAGCACTTGGGAGGCAGAGGCAGGCAGATCTCTGTGAGTTCGAGGCCAGCCTGGGCTACAAAGCAAGTTCCAGGAAAGGCACAAAACTACACACAGAAACCCTGTCTCAGAAAAAAAAACCAAAAAACAAAACTGTTCCTGTCATTCCCAAACTTGCAAAATTAAAGTCTCCCCTCTTTATACTTATCTTATATATTTCTATCATAGGACAGTTTATAATATATTAAAATATCTTTCTAATGTGTGTCTCCCCTACTAAAATGAGAGTGTTGTTGAGAATGTGACTGAATGCTATACTTTTAACCAACTACCCACAAAAGTCTTGCATATCACTGAGAAAGTATTTTACAAATACTTACTTACATAAGCAAACAGGTTTTCAGCTTTATGTAAAACAGTCACAGTGTGTTTTTCAAAAGTAACTTTGTAAGCATCTAACCATCTGGATTTGCTAAGAACAGAAAACTTTATTCTGTGAGATAACTGAATTCTTAATCATCAAAAGTGTTACAGCAAAAGGTAGGTAACTCTCACTCTTGGCTCTCTCATATGTATTATAATATTAAGAAAGCACTCAGCTTTGTTAATGTCTCAACTTTCTGGAAAAGAAATTTGATCATTTCATCAAATTATGAAAGAACATATAATACATCTATCTATCTGTCTATCTATCTATCTATCTATCTATCTATCTATCTATCTACCTATATAGTATCTACCCTTAATTTTTAGGAATCTATATCACAAAAATTGGATGCAAATATTTGAAGTATATGTGAAATGTTAACAGTGGAATTCTTTAAAGTAGTAACATATTGAAGCCCAACTGAGGTAAGCATCTATCAACAGAAGAATGATTAAATAAACTATCAATTCTGAAAAATATTATGTTCCCATTTAAATTAATGAGGCATTTAATAAACAGTTACACAGAAATTACTAGTATCCGTTTGCTACTGAGATGCTCTCCAGTGCAGACTAGGATCCTATGAAGAACTCTTTGAGGTTGGTATTATTGACAATCCTATTCCACTCATGAAGACACTGGCACAGAAAGAGTAGTTGACATCGAAAAGATCTAGAGATTCAGGCCCAGATTATGCCTGACCCAGGTGTGGAGCCAGAGTCCTAGCCCCTTAACTGCTACTATACTGTACAGCTCTTAGTGTGTTACCATGGATACGTGCACGAGTAGCTGAGTGGGAACAACAGTGTTACAGGACGCACAGTGTATCATGGCATCTTTAAAATCTAACCATAATAATTGCATAAAATGTACATATATTCATAATTAAAACTCAAAGAGTTAAATCAGGAAGGGGTGGCTAAAACTGAATATGTCTAGAAAAATTAAGTTGGGTAATAGAGAGGAAATGTTCCTTTTAATTGATACAGATTTCTTCTTATTGACTTTTAAAAAGCAAATACTACTTTTGTAACAAAAATAATTTCCTTCTTAGAAATATAAAGTTACATAAAAATAAAGTTTTCTGTGTAACCATGGAGAACAACCAAAAAAAAATTAAAATTAAGAGCAATTTTAGAGTGAATATAACCATCCATTAATATCTGTGGGATCCAACCTCTCCCCTTCCCTCTAGAAAGAAGAATACCCTACTTTATTTCCTCGAAAGATCTTCCCATATCTTGCAATAACAATCTTCCCAGTGCAGGTGATGTTCATCTCTCTTTCTAGTTTGAAGAAGTCTTCAGTGCGAGCATAGTTGACATATACAAGCTCTCCCTACAGGGAAATGGGAAAGATACATATGCTACTGCCTTAAAGATAAAATTAAAATAATTTGTTCTTCAAAACTCTATTGGCAATTTTCTTTCCTTATTTGGAATTAATTAACATTTGGAACTCATTACAACATCATTTTAACACTTCAAAAACTTCTTTAAGGAGCTAAGATGTATTTTCAATAGTTGTTCTCCAGAAGAAAATATCAGCAACAAACAATCAATGCCATTTCAATAATCCAACTGTGTTTTAATTTTTAGCTTATTTTTTATAATCTTTTTTCTTTTATTGAAAATATTTGGGCTGGAGAGATGGCTCAGAGGTTAAGAACTCTGGTGTTCTTCCAGAGGTCCTGAGTTCAATTCCCAGCACCCAATATGGTGGTTCACAACCATCTGTAATGAGATCTGGCTCCCTCTTCTGACCTGCAGAGATACATGCAAACAGAACACTGTATACATAATAAATAAATAAATCTTTAAAAAAAGAAAATATTCTTAGGACAATATATTCGGATAATGGTTTCTCCTCTCCCTACTCCTTCCTGTTCTTCCTCATTTCCTCCCCCATCAGGATCCACAGCCTTTCCGTCTCTCATTAGAAAACAAACAGGCATCTAAGGAATGATAATAAAGTAAAATAAGATAAAAACAAAACCAAACAAATCAGAATAGGATAAAACAACCAAAAAAGAACAAGAGTAAAAGAAAAGGTGTAAGGAATGCATATAAATGCAGACACATGTATTCACAAACAAAGTAATTCAATAAGCACACAAAACTAGAAGCCATAATATATAAGGAACGAATCAGTAAGATTAAAACAACCTGACTTAACGTTATGAGACAAAGAACCTCCAAAGATGCCATTGGGTTCATTTTGTGTTGGCCATCTACTGCTAGGCATGGGGGCTTACCCTTAAGGGTGGTTTGTTTCCCTAGTGAGACTTCTGTGGAGAAAACTAACTTTTCATTTGCAAGTGGCTATCAATTGTAGATAGCCTCTGAAATCCCAAATGTGTTTAATTTCCAACCACAACATTATTTTAAGAATATCTGTAGTATGAACTACAGGAACAGATGGATAAAAATAATTTAAAATTCACATTGTAAGCAGTGGGAAAAGCTAACAAGAGCACCTGTTAAAAGCACCCTCAGAAGTCTGCTGTTTGGTAGAGTGCTATCTGCTTCAGTGGGACTCCTTTTAGTGCATTTGTTTCATTTTTCTCTCCCTTATGATCTTTTCTATTACTAAAAAATAATTTTAATTTTTGAAGGTGTTCATAGTACTGAACATTAAACAATGAATACACAAGTATTTAGTCTGCATGTGAATTCCCCTTGGTTGCATTTCTCTACACAGGCTTTCATATAACAAAGAAAGGCGTAAAGGTGTGCATATTTAAACATGTATTTTTTTTTTTTTACCTCTGGCATGCCATGGGCTGAAAACGCATTATATGGTGGTACGATGTTTGTAACATTCTCATATCCATCTGGTGGTGGTTCAAAGTATGATGTTTTAAAAATCTAGCAAGAATTCAAACATGTCAAGTCACAGAGAATAATCCCAGGTCACTATTAAGGCATGGTCCATCTTGCCCCCAAGTTTCACTTAGGTAAAGTTTTATAATTAAATAGATGAATCCTGCTGACAACAATAAGTTTTATATCATCTCCAAGATAATAGTCCTAAGCGATTAAATGTTCTCTTATTAAGTGTAGAAGCAGAGCTGCAAAGGTGGCATTCATGGGCGAGGGTGTAGCTCGGTGACAGAATACTTGTATATCATGTTGAATTCCATCTCCAACACTGCTTAAAAGTGAACAAAGAAATTGCTACCAATGGTGGCACTTTGTGATTCCCTTGTTTGTCTTTTCTTCTTCTCTTACAAAGCCCTGTTCTTTCACCATCATTTAAATGATTACCATATTTTATCCCTATACCACTTCTTGACTAATTTTCTATTCCTTCCAGTGTAATTTCACTATTAAAACTGTGCCAACAACTAATATGCTTCTGGGACTCAGCGCTTCACATTCCTGTATTTAAGAGCCAGGTGACTATTTAGCTTTGATGTTCAAACTCAACATATTAAACTTTGCTTTTACCTTCTACCATCCCTAAGCCTGCTTATGGTCTGCATCTCCCACCTGTGAACTCCGTCACTAGGTAAGCCAGCTGCACCAGGCAGTTGGGAGTGGACAGTCACCCTGATTATTTATGCACTTCTTCCTTGCTCAAGTCAGTCATGAACCATGTTGCTAACACACTCCCAAACTGCTTCTCAAATTCAGCCTTCCTCTTTACTTCTGCTGGTAGCCTAATTCAGGGCTTCACCCTTGACTTGAACTATTGTTACAGTTGTAACTTTGACTCCCTGCCTAGTCTCTATGTGATATGCAAGTGCCCTAGGTAACATGCTTTTCGGTCCTATCTTTGTTTTACCTAAGCTTTTCAGGAAGTTTCATTACTGAAGCTTGACATTTAACTCCTGAAGATATAATATAATCCTATGGCCTGTCTCCAGAGCATATCTACTAGTTTATCCCTTTTTGTAGCTCACTTTGCTTTCACACTATTGGAATACACAAAATCTTTAGACTCTACCAATAATACTGAGCCATGATACACATTCATGTATGTCCAGTGTTTTCCTCTGACTAGAACTCTCTTACCTTGCTGTAAGTTTTCATGTGGTTAAACTCTTATTCTCTTTTCGGACTCATATATCAATTCCACCAGGAAGACTTTCTATCTCCTTATTTAGGCTAAATGATCTGTTCCTTTGTAGATCAAGAACCTTAGTTCTCTCTTCCCAGCACTTACCCTACTGATTTTAAATAATGTATCCCTTTGTCTGCCTCACCTTACTAAACAAAAGAACTATGTCCTAATCTTCATTCTGGCCTGAGGAATTAGTACCATGCTAAACACAAACAGACACCGAAGAGTTTGCAGTCTATCCACTTTTCTGAATAATGTAAATGGTACTGCACTATTAACAAATTTCTATTGTTACTTGACTCTACATTCCAATCAATGAAGAGGCAAGAAGCAAGTAATGAACTGGGTTGTGTGCACCTGTAATCTCAGAACTCAGGAAGCAGAGGCAAGAGATTCACCACAGATTTGAGGACAGTCTGATTCATCCAGTAGATTCCGGGGCAGCAAGAGCCAAAAAGTGAGATCCTGTCTCAAAGTCAAAGTACAAACCAGAGATTTCAAAATACAAAAACTCCCAAGAATTCTACATCACCTCAACTCCATGTTCATCCACAATTGATACATAGTTTGCATTCGTCTCATTTGGGTAAGATAAAAGAACATCATAATGAACCAAGTTGGCTGAATCTAATCCAAATTTCTTCCACTGTGTTTGGATTTTCTTGGCAAGCAGTAAATTTTGTTCTGTTCCTGCCAGATGGGGAAATTTTGTAAAGGAACTGAAAAGAGAGTAACAAAATTGAGTATTAAGAGAGTATATCCAAATGATGCTACATGGTTCACCTTTCAGGAAGTCATGTATCAATTTTCTATCAGATGCAGAAAAATCTCAGTTGGATATACCAATTTTCAGACATGACTCTTTAAAATAATTAAGCAAAACTGCAATTTCCATGTTATGCTCCCTCGGTGAATAGCATAATCCCTGGTAAACACAATAGCACAGGACTAAATGTGAGAAGACACCTATAAGAATGTCATAGCTCTATAACAAGGATGCAACACCCTGATGTTTATGAGTGAACTGAGGTAATTTTGAGGGAGAAGTCTTAATATTTGCTCAGGAACAGCCCAGTACTCTGCATTTGGCTTAGATGTGTCTATCAACTATAACATGTATGTAGCAATGTATTTATTTCATTGAAATTAAGGTCCATGAACTTATGTATTTTCTAGTGCCAAGGTCTTGTCGGTGACATGAAAAACACAACTCTGTTAAACTACTTTGGGTGATATTTTCTTAGTTCTGAGTGTAAAAGAGCTATAGCATTTTAATAACCCCACAAAGAGTTAATAGTGAGATTTATTTTACTTTAGACAAATATTATGTTAAAGGTTTCTTCTCTTTTCCACTTATATCAGTAGAGAAATAATATTACAAAAAAAAACCCCTAAAACTAAAAAACAAAAACCTATGGACATGAAGATGAAATTTTCATTGAAAACCTGGTACCAGCACTTTTACATTTCATCTTTATCCTCACAACCACTCTTCCTTTCTCCTATTTTTCAAATAAGATAACTGACAAAGTAGTTCATATTGTTATAGCTAATAAATGCCTGGGCTAGACCTTGAAATTATAACTTTCTGATTTTGAGAAATAGTATATTTTAGTAGTTGATCCGACCTTACTGCATAATTGCTCATGATACTTGGACAGTCCCATATAATCTAGACTATAATGTTCATAACCCAACATGCATTTGACCCACCCTTCCATCTTTCAGCCTCGTTCACTGTTACTGTGCTCACAAGCTTCTGCTCAACGGCACCCTTTCCACTGTCATTTTAATTGTTTGTAGACTTTGCACAAGTTCTTCTTTCCAGAATAAATATTTCTCCATCCACTTGAGTCTTCCCTCTCCTACCTGCAAACTATGACTGATCCATGAAGACTCAAGTATCAAGCTCTGTGAAGCACTCTCTCTCTCTGTCCTTAAGTGAAAACTGCAAGCTACAGATGTTTAATATGTCAAATATTTCCTTTACAAAGTACAAGTGAATTCAGAAAAGTTATTTTACAGCTAGAGAAAAATAATTCAAGCCTAGGTATATTTAATTTCTACTTTACATACTTGTGTTAGTTATGGTTTTTTGTTTTGTTTTGATTATTGTTTTCAACTTGACAGCCAAGAGTCATCTAGAATGGGGAATCTCATTTGAGGAATTGCCTCCTTCAGACTGGCCTTGCAGACAAGTATGTGATGAATTTTCTTGATTAATGGTTTATTGGGGAGGGCCCAGCCACCATGGGCAGTGCCATACCTGGGCAGGTGGTTCTGGAATCAATAAAACAGCAAACTGAGCAAGCCAGTAAAGTGCCTTCACAGTTTATGCTTTGGTTCTTATCACCAGGTTCCTCTCTTGAGTTTTTGTCCTGACTTTCCTCAGTGATGGAGTATGTCCTGAGAGTTGTGAGATGAAATAAACCCTTTCCCCTCAAGTTACTTTTGGTCATGGTGTTTATCACAGCAATAGAAACCCAGCTATGACAATAGTTCATTGTTGTCTTACTTTCTACAGTGGACATATACTATTTTTTTTTAAGATTTACTTATTATGTATACAGTATGCCTGTATGCCAGAAGAGGGCACCAGATCTCATTATTGATGGTTGTGAGCCACCATGTGGTTGCTGGGAATTGAACTCAGGACCTCTGGAAGAGCAGACAATGCTCTTAACCTCTGAGCCATCTCTCCAGCCCGGCAGATACTATTTTTGTGCACGCTTTTAATCCCAGCACTTGGGAGGCAGAGCCAGGCGGATCTCTGTGAGTTCGAGGCCAGCCTGGGCTACCAAGTGAGTTCCAGGAAGGGCGCAAAGCTACACAGAGAAACCCTGTCTCAAAAAACAAAAACAAAAACCAAAAAAAAAAATTTCTTTAAATGGAGATGAAAGATTAATCATGAACTTGTGCTTCTCATATTCTAGAGGGCTCAATGAAATGAAACACAGGAGTGAAAAAAGAAAACCAGACATTTGAGTTTCCCTTTGTGATCCAAATTGAACAGTAATTTGGTAATGTTCAATCAAAGAACAAGTAAAAACACAGTTCCCTCTTGCATTTTTCATTCACTAGAGGAAAGCTTCTTTAGTTACACTTCCTTCACCTTTCATGAAGCATGACCGCATCGCACATCCCTTCTTCAACTAATGACCAGAGGATTCGAATTCTCAGGATCCCAGTAGAGCATGTGGTTTGTTGACTCTAATATATCTGTAAAATCTCTGAAATCACAAGGTTCTGAAGGTGTGTAGTTTATGTAAATTATCATTCAACAAAGCTGATTTGTTAATGCCACTCTTTTTGAGGGATTCTGAGAACAAAAATGTGTTACAGTAACTGCCTTCAAAAAGAAGTTGAAAAGTTTACATTGTCTTTACTGTTTTCATTTTGTTCACTGTTTGAGAAAAAAAATTATATTTGCAAAATGAGGGGGGAAAAATGTAAGGCAGCCATAATCAGAAACACTGATCTTCTTTCTAAGTCACCAGGCTGCCAGTGTCCTAACTCTTCTTAACAGGATGCAGTAAAGAAAGGGGGTGGAAGGGTCGGGTAAGATTTTTCTAGTTAATGCATAAGGAACAAAAAATCGCATTCAGTTGCAGTCCAAGGTTACACGACAATAAAATGTCTCTAAAAAGACCAACCAGATACTTTCCTGTGGGATGAAGTTATAGGTGAGAAAAGACTCCTCTGTAACAGGCCATGGATTTCATCTTGAGTGGTTTAGAGACATTTTAAAAATCGGCGAACTAATGAGAAATTTATAATTTCACATATAAGTAAAGGCTGGCCGAGTTTTAATACATTTGTTCATGCAACAAACACTGTTTCTAAGATAAAAATGTAAAACAAACTTACTGAAGAAATGATCTAATGTTTTCAGCTTTCATTTCAGATATGAGTTTCCACTGCATATTTTGATGATAACCAGCTGATGTAGTTGTTTCTTTGAGAGGCTTAATAAACCAACCTGGGGGTGAAGTGGAATTACAGATACATACAAACAACACATAGAGATAACAAACACACATAAAGACACACAGACACAAGCACACTGATTGCTTCTGACTATTAGACCCCAGTAAAGTAAACATAAACAAATAAATAAATACATAATAAAAAAATAATGATATCTAACCAACAGATCACTGTGCACTTTTGGGGAAAAACATGCTAATTGCAGAAAACTTTAAAAATTCTTATACACACATAACTCTCAGTTGGTTAACACAGGTTTACTTTAAGAACTGTTATCTACTTCTCTTGTGCTATGGCCTTCAGGCTCTCTTCTGAAATCTAGTTCATAAACAGCCCCTGACACTCAAGAAGCACTGAAAAAAAATCCATGTAAAAAAATGGTTTCAATTCATAATTTCTTAGTCATCTTTTTTCCATGCACATAAACAGTAACAGCCAGTGTTCTCTTCCCAGCAGCCCACAGCAGTAGTCTATACGCAATAGAAACTTAATAAAATTGAATTCCGATTTAAATGCATTCTACTCGCTCTCTACATTTGCTGTGTTCTTTTGGGAACTCCACAGAACCCAGGCCAGCCCACTCTGGGCTTCTCCTCCCTCCAGTGAGATCTCCTCACCCAACTTTCGTACTTACCCAGAGTGAAGCCGGCGAGGAAGGACGCCAGTGCTGCGGCAACGCAAATCCCCAGACCTCTGAGATGCCTAGGTTTCGCCATGCCGTCCTGGGCCCGGGAGCTCGGGGGACTGCAACCGCAGGCCTGAGGGCTGCAGATGGAAAGCCAGGGTGAGCAGAGGACTTTGCCAAGATCCGGAGACTAAATGAAACTCTGCAAGGCCATGGAAGCCCTGCAGGGAGCAGCCTGCTCAAATCTGCCTGCAGTGGAAGGCGGGGCAGCGCAAGAAGCTGTTACAAAGAGCTCCGATTGTTTACTGAAGAGACCAACCAGAGCCTTTGGTCAACCACATCCCAAGAAGGGCAATTTCACTGCAAATCTCATTGAAGGGTTCCTTACCTTGATTTCAGATTCTCCCAGTTGCTACCTGATCACACTAAGGCATAGCATGTCCTGGGCTGCTTCTGTAACAAGCTGGAGCCTCAACCCTGGAACACCAAATCCTAGAGACTGAGACAGAATTCTTCCCTCTCCACCCCAACACGCATATCTGAACAGGACTCCGCATTTCTGTGCTTCTGTAGCAGTTTTTAAAACACACTTCATTGTAGCTACAAATGAACAAAATTCACCATTGCAAAGGCCTTACACTATTACTGGCAGTAAGTTCTAAACGTCACTTCTGTCCTTGTCCTGTTAAACCTAAAAAGCATTTCCCTTTAAAAGTGTTTAGAAAGTTGGCAAAATAGCAGGTATTGCAAATAGAATTCCTGCCTGCATCTCACCCAAAGGGAAGGTCTAACAAGTGGTAGCTGACTTTTCATCCCTAGCCAGAAACACATTTGCAGCCGATCAAATTCCCCAGTGGACGATGAAGGCAATAACACCTTACGATATGCCCAGCTGTTCTCTACATCCTGGGCATTCTTAATGACTTTGACTTTGGGTGAGACACCTTACTTCCAATAAGGTGCTGAAAGTTCCTAGTGTGTTTCTCTTGGGTGTCATAATTGATTGCTGTATCAAGTGGCTTTTCTATTCTAACTTTGGCAAAAGCCCTAAAAACTGCCTTAAAAAATATTTATTGATTGATTGATTGTTTTTTGAGACAGGGTTTCTCCGTGTAGTTTCAGAGCCTTTCCTGAAACTCACTCTGCAGCCCAGTCTGGCCTCGAACTCACAGAGATATTTTAATACAATAAGTTTGTTTGTTTGTTGTTTGTTTTTTAAAGAATTCTCCCAGTCTGGCCTTGAACTTGCTATGCAGGCAAAGGCAATCTTGAACTCCTGAGGAGTGTGCCCCCATGCACCGTTTCTATGGTTATGGGAATGGAACTCAGATCCTTGTTCATGCTAGATGTTCCTTCTACCAACTGTGCCACATCCCCTGCCATGACAACTTATTTCTAAATGTTTGTAAACTTTTAAAGCCCCATCAGCTCCTTCAATAGTGGCTCTTTAGACTGTCCTAACCCAATGTCTCTGTCAGTCTCAATTTTAGAAATAAATACCTTTTCAAATACATTTTCATATCAAAATGAATTCCCCTACATATGGATGAATACATGGAAAATTAGAATGAAATTATTTCAAAGGCACAGCAGACTGTGAGGTAGACACAATCCCCAAATATAGCTTAAGAAAGCAAGCTGTTATGTAAATAAAGAATGTCAGAATTTTGTTGGTTTTTTACTTTTTTGAGACAGGGTTTCTCTGTCCTGGAACTTGCTCTATAAACCAAGCTGGCCTCGAACCCATAGATCTGCCTGCCTCTGCCTCCTGAATGCTGGGATTAAAGGCATGCTCTATCATACCAGGCTAAATATATGGTTTTAAGTAACTGTCCAGTATCTAACAGCTGGGACAAGAATTACCCCCAATCACAAACAGTATGAAATGTTACTTGTATTCCACATAAGTATTTTGGGAACTGTTTATATAATTTGCTAGTTTCCAGGCTTTGGGCTGGTATCTAAAAGTACACAAAAATTCAGTTAGGTTTATGAGAGAAAAGGTGGCAACTAATGATTAAAGTAACTAAATTATTTTCAAATTTCAATTTTCCCCACCCTATCTCAATTTTGACAGCCAATAGAAGTTTGACAAGTGGAAGTTGATGCATCATTTATCTCTTTGTCAATTTGATTAATCTTCCAAAATTAAAATTAGCATCTTGATTCAGTCAACATTTAATAAGCAACTATTACATGACACACATTGCACAAACTCCTGAGGATGTGATACTTGCCATTACAAGACCTATGATGGACTGATAAGGTAATCATTGGATAAATTATTTCATATAACAAGTTCTAAGAAAAAGCAGTATTACCTCCAATATGATCGCCGCCGATACCCTATTAGGCGGCATCTGCAGTCTGAGTCCTGAAAATCCATTGTAAAAAGTGTGATTGGCTAGCTCCAGAGTCTTCGGCCTTTGATTACTATGGAATCTGCAAGCATTCGGAATTTCTGCTCCATTAAGTGTATCACAGAAGGCTGCTGTTAAGTAATGCTTTCTAATAATTAGCATCTTGGCAGATATTTGCAGTTTGCAAAGAACATGTAAAAGACCAATACTATTGATATTTGCTAACTTTTTCTAAAAAATTTTCTTTAAAGCTAAATATGAAATGAAAAACATTTTCTATTGGAAACCAGTCTCTCCATAAAACTATTTGATCTACTCATTTGGTGAGCCTCCAAAATAGACTGCTTTCCCATTCATCAAGTCGAATGCTTTTATATAAATATTTTTTTCTTCCTCTTCTCACATTTTAGAAGCATCCTTACAACTCCAAAATCAAGTCACTTCAACTGGTTTATGTCTAATCTTTTGAAAAATGATTAAATAGAGCTAGGTGTTGTGGCACACACTTCTAATCCCAAAACTAAAGAGGCTTAGGAGATTTACCTCAAAAACTTGGAAGACATCTTGTACTAAGTAATGAACTCCAAGCTAGCCTGAAATACATAGGCCCTGTTTTTAAAACAAAAACAAACAAGCCAGTGTGAAATGTGTACCAATAAAACAATATATATAGCATATTTATCTTAATAATATTTTAATAATTAAGTGTTAGAAAGGGTTTAGTGACTAGATATTTGTCACATCCACATTCTCAACAGTGGCTATATCAGAAATTCCACCTTTAAGATTTAGCCTTATTCTAAATGCCCTCTTTATAAACACAAGCATTAAACCATTAAAGATATCACAAGGTAACACCACTACAGAAACGGTCATAGGCTACATGATATGGTCATTGAGACAGCAATGCTTACTTTCCAAAAAGCAAGTGTTGAGTACCTTGAGTACTGTGATTCACGAGAAGAGAGGCATTCCAGTTGAGCATTTCTAAGATTCTGGGCACAATTTTCATTACAAATAGAAATTGACATGCTATAGTGTTAGCATACTGATCAATATAGAGAAACCTGTGGGACAGATGATAGACGAAATAAAGGTAGTGAGAAAAGACTAGCAAAGAGGAGAAGAAATTTAGAGAAAAAGCAGAAACCATGACTGGATGGTTTTCTTCTGATGTCACAATTACTCTACTCAACAATAAATGTAGAAATTAGGGAACAGCCACCTATTTCAAGTGGAGGTGAAGGTCTCTGCCTCAGCTCCTCTCAAGCCGACATTCCAGTTAGAATACTGGTAAGTTACAAACACTGGCCTTTAACCCCGATTTTCCCACTTAGCATTGTTCACCTCTTATCATTAACATACACATTCCATCTGTTACTCATGACACTTTGCCAGCATTAATCATCCTAGTGTCTTTTCTTTCTGTGTTCTCTACTTTCCTTCGGTAACCTTGGTGTCTCAGTGCTCCTACATCCTCTCTAAAAGCTTCTTTTTCTGGTATTTATTCTCATTTGATGATACCATTTTCTAGAAGCTAGCTAACAAGCCATTTTATCTTCCTACCATCCTTCATCAGAGTGTAGCACGAATCTTAAAAGGTCTTGCCAATTCCTCAGCTGATCCTGTTTTCTCAGACTGGAAGCCTCTGAGTCCTCATCCAGAATGAATCTCAGTTGAACTGTTGCTCAAAAGTCTAAAAGCTTAACCAGCTCTAGTTCCTGGTTTTCATGCCTCATATACCTTTCTGCTTTCTGACACCACTTCCTGGAATTAAAGGTGTGAGTCACCATGCCTGGCTGTTTCCAGTGTGGCTTTGAACCCACAGAGATCCAGACAGATCTCTGCCTTCAGAATGCGAGGATTAAAGGCGTGTGTGCCACCATTTTCTGGCCTCTATATCTAGTAACTGTTCTGTTCTCTGACCCCAGATAAGTTTATTAGGGTATTTTGGGGAACACAATATCACCACATCAGAGGTCAGAAGTGAAAAAGGCTTTTGGTCTACTGCCTTGCTCTACTCTGCAAAATCTTTTGAAGTCTCCTTCATACATTTGCTTCATGTCTGGATCCTTCCTGCAAGCTGAGCACCTACTACCATGTTCCCTGGTAGTAATGACTGTCCTTTAAATTTTATGTCCAACCCATCTTTGACCTCAGTTTTTCATATTATTTCCTCAGTTTCTTTACATCTCACACCCAAACCTTCAGAAGACTATAATGATTCTGCAATCCAAACACAACTGCTTTCCACCTTCACCACACAGACACACACACACACACACTACTTAAGGTAGTGTTCTTCCTAAAGCAACAGTCAGATCACTCCAAAGCCTCCCCTTTAAATTTAAAAACAAAATTCAGACTTGTGATAGTGATCACCAAAGTCCATGTGATCTAGTTTTAAATTCCACCTCCCTTCACGGGAAACCTTCATCAAGGAGAAAAATGTAAAACCAACACATGTAGACTAGGCAACCCCATATCAACAGATCATTAGCATCACAAAGAAACTACTGAAGGCCCAGTGGTGTCATGATTTCCTGATGATGGTGTCAGTCTGCATGTCTTCTAGTTAAGGAGACAGTGTGACATGGTAAATGACCTAGAGAGTCCCCAGCTTTCTTTAACAGTATTTCCCAGGGATCCCCCAACAAAAGACAAAATAGGAAGACAGTAACTAATAAGTTTATAATGGAGACAATTGTTGGAAAAGTTAAATAATTCTGTGCTCTTTTTCCATTGAGTTAAAAAGTCTTTATTAAATAGTTACTCTTGGTGACCAACTAGATTGGCTGAGAACAGCCCACTTCATTTAATAAGAGTATAAACCTTGTCCTCACACAATAATCACACCCCATTTTCTTTTTTTTTTAAATAAAGATTTATATATTTATTATGTATACAGTGTTCTGCCTGCATGTCTGCCTGCAGGCCAAAAGAGGGCACCAGATCTCATTAAGGATGGTTGTGAGCCACCAGGAGGCTGCTGGGAACTGAACTTAGAACTTCTGAAGTGCTCAGTGCTCTAAACAATTGAGACACTGAGCCATCTCTCCAGCCCCACTCCCCATTTTCTTAAACTGCATTGTCAATAATAGGATTCAGTGTTAATTCTGTGCTTAAGTCATAAACTACCAGAGAAAGACTTGCTAGTCCTTTTCAGTATGTAATATCTCCTATGAAGAATTCTTTGTTTGTTTGTTTGTTTTTTGAAACAGGATTTCTCTGTGTAGTTTTGGTGCCTGTTCTGGATCTTGCTCTATAGGCCAGGTTGGACTTGAACTCACAGACATCCTGGCTCAGCCTCCCAAGTGCTGATTAAAGGTGTGAGTCACCACCACTCGGCTTTTAATTATTTATATATTTATTTATCTATCTTTCCATTTATTTATTTGAAAAAGTCTTTTTTCTCGGAAACAGACAGGTTTGTATAACAGCAAATATGTAAAGTTACTTTTTTGATGATTAGATGATCAATTTATAACAGACTCTGAGTTTGACCTTGAAATGTAGGTGACAGGTTAAGGGAAGAAATAGTAAGATTATCATGGTGTAATCCATCTAACTGGGGAGCAGCGGATTCAATCAATGTTTTCTGACCCTTACAAAGAACAAATCTGTTCCAAGATATTATTCTAAGCTCCAAAATATATAATCTATCATCAACAAAATTAAATACATAGTTTTTTAAAAAATAATAGTATATACTAATTATGGAAGAGTGAATTTTTTCGTGATATTTGAAATCATGGATTAGTCAGGGTTCTCTAAAGGGACAGAACTGATAAAATGACTGTACAATTAACAGGAAACTTATTAGAGTGTATACTGAAGATGTGGTTTGAGTAGCCCAACAATGGCTGTCTCACAAACAGAAGGCTGAGAATCCAGTAGTTGTTCAGTTCATGAGGCTGGATGTCTCTTCAGTCCAAATATGGCCTTGAAGTCTTGAAGGATTCCTGGAAAGCTGCTTGTCTTCAGTCTATATGGGAATCCTGATGAAGCTGGATTTAATATTGGCCACAGCAACAAAATAGACAAAATTCCCAGCATGAGTGAGGGCAAGCCAGCAAAAAGAAGTTTCTTCCATGTCCTTTGTGTGGGCTCCACCAGAAGGTATGGCTCAGACTTAGAGTGAATCTTCCTCCTTCAAATCAGCTGAGTGAGAAAATTTCTTACTCAGCCTGGTATGGGGTTGCATGCCTTTGATCCCAGCACATGGGAGCCAGAGGCAGGTAGATGTCTGTGAACTGGAGGGTCAACTTGATCTACATAGTAAGTTTCAGGACAGCCAGAGCTACATAATAGAGAGACCCTGTTTCAGAGAGAGAGAGAGAGAGGGAAGGAGGGAATTCCTTACTGGAGTGCCCAGAAGCTTGGAATTTAGATGAACCAAGATTGGCTGCCACAATAAGTTTCTTTGCATTTATTAACATGTGGAAGCATTCATGATGGAAGTGTTCATGAAGAGCCCTGCTTCATCCATACCAGAACAGCAAAAGACCCATGAGGGCTAAAACACCCCTCAGGGTATATCCAGTGGGCTAAGGAAGGAGATTGTATAAATTAATTAAATCAGACTAACATATAAACACTCTACCTTAGGGTGGGGCTTTCAGATCTGTATATAAAGGCTTCAGAACTGCAAGATGTGCTCAGTTCAGAGTCACAACTGCTGTCCAGGGAGTCCAGGAGACACAGCACCCCTGAAGCAGAGAGCGGACTATCTGACAAGCATTGTTGAGACCAGAGCATGGGAGGTGAGTTGAAATCCTGACTTTATATTTCTTTTTCAGATTTTAAGTTTTCTCAAATAGATGTATTGGACAGAGTTAATAAAGAGGACACCAGCTGGTGGTGGTGGTGAATGCCTTTAATCCCAGCACTCAGGGGGCAGAGGCAGGTGAATCTCTGTGAGTTGGAGGCCAGCCTGGTCTACAGAGTGAGTTCCAGGACAGCCACAACTCTTTCACAGAGAAACCCTATCTCAGAAAATAAATAGATAGATAGATAGATAGATAGATAGATAGATAGATAGATAGATAGATAGAAAGATACAAACATACATAGACAGATAGAAAGATAGATAGATAGATAGATAGATAGATAGATAGATAGATAGATAGATAGATGAGTAAATAGAGCACCGTTATTTTCTGTTTCCTGTTAAACTACAGAATTTTGATCTATCATTTTAAAATTTAAAATGAATGTAATTTTTTTCTGTCTCCTTTATGATTCTTGTGATACTAAATTTTGAATGTATCGATATATGTAGTTCTATTTTTAGTATGCGACCTGAACTTAGTGCACATTATAGAATTCATAAAATGCAATGTGTATAAAACCTTCCACAGTATAAGAAGCTACAGACTTGTGTCTCATGTTTTTAAAAGCTTTTTAAAAATAATATGTTATTAGTGCATTATGAAACATTCAGATAGTAACATTATACATTTGCTGAGGTGCTAGTGCTGGAGACTCAGCTCATTAATAACTTGCCTAGCACACGTTTTGGTCTATCCCTGGCACTAAAAAAATATTCAAAACAAACAGATGAAACCACTCAGTTTTACTGGTCCCTACTTGGGAGCTTCAGGCAGGAGGATCCTGAGTGAGAAGGCAGACTGTGGTTAATAATGTTGATTTTGACACAATTTAAAAAGTTCAAGGTAAGCTTTCTATTTAGATCCAGCTGATCTTATCAATTTTCTTTGCAGAGAGTTTTTAAATGGTGGATGGTTTTCATCTTTATTTCTACTTTATTATATTTTAAAACAACTCTCAGTGTTATTCTCAAGTATTCAGAAGTTTACTCTCAAGATTTCTCCTTTGAGAGGATTGGCCTCCCCCAAGGATGAGCCCTCTTATTGGCTGCTCAACTCAGAGTGTTTAGCCCTGAAACTATATATACACAAACAACAACTAAAGGCTCAGCAGATTACATGCAATTTGGCTTAGGTAAGGTTCAGAGAACATTTTTGAAAAAATTAGGAGAATATTCAGAGTGATCTGTTGAACCACATTCCAGAGAATTTACACTAAAAAGGACAATATTGGTGAGAGACTAGCAACCGTCAGAGCTGTTGCCATGTATTCGAGTTCTAGGTTCCAGATACTTGTGTGGTAGAAAGAGTAGTCAAATAAAACTGCAAATGTGGTAATGAAATGCTTGTTGGAAACCTATGCAAGGTGATGCAGCATAGAGCTCTTACTCCCGGACACAGAGTCCTGGAGACTACATAAATCCGTCATTTATTACAGAGTCACATTCAAACCATGAAAATGCCACAGTTGGATGTCTAGGGAGTTCAGTGTCTTGTCTCCTGTTTTCAGCTCATTTGCATGTAAGTGATGAACTGCTTGGCTCTATCCAGAGAGCAGTCGGATTCCTTGTGAAAGTCCTTTTGTTCTTAGTCATTTAGTCTTATTGTTTTCGCTTTTTATTCCATCCTCACTGGGCCCTCTTGTCGCCTTCTTCTTCTTCTTCTTCTTCTTCTTCTTCTTCTTCTTCTTCTTCTTCTTCTTCTTCTTCTTCTTCTTTCTCCTCCTCCTCCTCCTCCTCCTCCTCCTCCTCCTCCTCCTCCTTCTTCTTCTTCTTCTTCTTCTTCTTCTGTCATCTAAGCTTCCCCAGCCTGTTGTTTATTTCATTCACATTTATTTATTTATTTGTTTGTTTTATGTTTGTTTGATTGAGTATCACTGTATGACCCTTATTGCCCTAGAATTTGCTCTGTACCACAGACTGCCCCTGAATTTACACAGATTTGTTCCCTGGTGCTGAGAATAAAGGTGTACCCCCCATGCCCAGCTTCATTACCACATTTTTCAGGCAAGCTCTGCTAATATTTGGAAAAGGAGGCCAAAGATGTTATAACTACGTTATAAGACAAAAAAACTTTTGTTTGAAAGAAGAAATAATTGCCTTACAGTGTTAATAGTAAATTAATGGTATAAGTAACATGTTACAAGTGATACCTGATTTTTTCTTTACATCCAATAATGAAGTCTAACATTCATTTTATTTCTCTTCAGAAATACAGATTCATTCTAACTGTGGAATTCAGAAACTATCTACAAAGTTGTACGTGTTTGTCTAAGCAGTTCGAGCTACAGTCAAGGTGTTTGTACAACTGAGATATTATTAGTGGGCACAGAACCTAAGCTAGTGATGGCATCACTTGATAAAGATTATCCATGGTCCCAAGGAGACATTCTGAAGTTACTGGAATGCATCAAGAAAAATATCCCCTCAGATGACTCCAGATCATTCAAAAAAACCCAGGAAGACCTAGACTGGGGCAAAGTGGCTTTTAAACATTTTTCAGGAAAAATGTGCAAACAAAAGTGGAAGCAACTTTCTCATACTTTGAGGAAGGTCCGCACACTGTCAGAATTAGTGCTAGAAGCCAGTGAACATCTGAAACAACAGCCCAAAAGGAAGAAACATCCTGACTTCCCCAAAAGACCCCTGACTGCCTATCTGCGCTTCTACAAGGAGCAGCGGGCTAAGTACTCTCAGCGCTATCCTAAATACAACAACTCGCAGCTGGCCAAACTCCTGGCTGAGAAATACAATCAGCTGCCAGGGGAGATCAAGGAGAAATATATTCAGGACTTCCGGAAGGAGAAACGGGACTTTGAGGAAAAAGTGACTAAATTCAAGAGAAGCCATCCTGATGTAGAGCACTGTAAGAAATCTGTGGTGCGCAGGAGCCAGGAAACCAAAGTCCCTAAGAAATCACAAAGAGGTATGGAAAACGTGAAGTCTCCTCCAAAGACAGATCTTCCCAAAACATTACCCTCGGTGATGAAATTTCAGGGAGAACCCAAGAAACCCCCTATGAATGGATACCACAAATTTCACGAAGATATGTGGTCAAGTCTGGAGCTGAGCCATCTACCCTGCAGGGAGCGCTGGGTTGAGATTAGCAGAAGATGGCACAAAGTCCCAAAGAGCCAGAAAGAGCACTATGACAGCCAGGCCGAGGAGCTACAGAAACAATACCGGGTGGACATGGACCTCTGGCTCAAGGGATTGTCATCTGAGGAGTACACCGCCTACAGAGAGGCAAAGGCCACCTACGGTAAGCGAAAGAACTTTGCCATGTCTGGAGGCAGAAGCCCCAAGTGTGGACAGACAGATCAGCAGTCTGCTTCAGCTGAGGAGCAGCAAAAAAGGCCTGGGGAAATGCAAGGGCTGCTGGCTCCTGGAACAGATTCCTCAGAGACTGTTCAGGGCGCTGATGGTGGCTCCCAGGTATCCAGGCAGAATATGATGGAAGATGGAGAAGAGGAAGACTCTAGCAGCTCCTCGGATGACTCTAGCAGCTCCTTGGACGACTCGAGCAGCTCCTCAGAGGACTCCAGCAGCTCCTCGGAGGACTCTAGCAGTACAGATGAACATGAAGAAGAAGATGGCCCTACCGTGGAGGCGCAAGTCTCTGATCCCAGCACTCGGGAGGTAGAGGAAGGTGGATCTCTCAAAAAACAGAAAGATGAAGATGATGGACATCTCTCTTAGCGGAGTCCTCAGATTTAGACTCCATTTTCGTCACTTTCATATCCTAAATCATTGTTTAAGACCCAGGGTATCCCTGACAGAGAGGGAACTGTCTTCTCTGTGCTTTTGTACTCCCTCGCTTTTTTTTCTCCTACATCCTTCCTTGGCTTACTAAATGCAAAGGAGTACAGTTTGGGGAGAGGGAGTTTGCCATAGCACTGCCTTCATCAGGTGAATAGGCTTAGGAAGACACTGCTGTAAAAGCTACTATCATTTTATTCCAACAAACTATAGAACCAGTTTTACAAAGTTGGGCACTTGTGTATACAGTTCTCTTAGTCCTTGTGATTCAGGATAAGTAGAAACACAGATAGATACAGATAAATACTCTATTCTCTGAACTTATCTGATGTCTTTAATACAACATCGGCACCACACTACCGTCATTATTTTGCTTACTGGCATTTTAGATATATTTAATGTTACTTTATCGTTTTGCTTCTGAATAATCTAAGCTGTTTTCATGAATATTACCATTATAGAAATTGTTTAAGACCTTAGAGACTTTATATTTGTACCTAAATTTTATTTCTTTTAGCTTACACATAAATTATAAAGCTTGTACATATTAATAGAGTACTAGATATTTTTATAAATTGTACAATGTGTAATGTTTAAATCGGTTAAATATATGTAGCTCTTCAAATATTTGTCATTTATTTAAGGTGAAATTTCCCAAAATAATTTCTTTTGGAAATGTATAGCACATTATCATTCTTATCTTAGTGAATCACTGTTTATGTGTTCTTGCATGAAAGATTGTTTTGATGCATATTTTGCAACCCATAATTTTGTACTTTTCTGATTTGCCCAAGCTTCTAAAGATGTTAGATCAGATGCAACAATATTAACAGATAATAGTGATAAATTTGTGTCATTTTAAAACACTTAAGCTAAAACTTGCAGGATTTGCTATCATGAAACTGTTGATATATAAGTTTGAATTAAATTATAGCATATTGCCAGAAGTGGATATTTACTTATACAAATAAACAATTTTAATGAATGATGTTTATTAATTTTGTCCTATCTTTAATGATGTATTTTTTCTATAGCATAATCCTCAGAGTTCTTTAAAGATACACAGAAAGTACTATTATTGCTTCTACTTTGGGGCCACAAAAAAGCAATAGCCTACTTAGTGGCCATCTTCTGCATGACTATGTAGTATCTCCCTGTCTCTTCTGGTTAGTTTTGTCTGACATCTATTATGTCAGATATTAGCATAGCTACATCTGCTTGGCCTTGGGTGCATTTGCTTGGAATACCTGTTTCTATCCTTTGACCCTGAGAAGACTTCTGTCCTTGATGATAAGGTGTGTTTCTTGAATAAGCAGAAAGACCTCAGTTTTTCATATTATTCCTCAGTTTCTTTCACATCTCACACCCAAACCTTCAGAAGACTATAATGATTCTGCAATCCAAACACAACTGCTTTCCACCTTCACCACACACACACACACACACACACACACACACACACACACACACTACCTAAGGTAGTGTTCTTCCTAAAGCAACAGTCAGGTCACTCCAAAGCCTCCCCTTTAAATTTAAAAACAAAGTTCAGACTTGGGATAGTGGTCACCAAAGTCCATGTGATCTAGTATTAAATTCCACCTCCCTTCACGGGAAACCTTTATCAAGGAGAAAATTGTAAAACCAACACACGTAGACTAAGCAACCCCATATCAACAGATCACTAGCATCACAAAGAAGCTACTGAAGGCCCAGTGGTGTCATAATTTCCTGATGATGGTGTCAGTCTGCATGTCTTCTAGTGAAGGAGACAGTGTGACATGGTAAATGTCCTAGAGAGTTCCCAGTTTTCTTTAACAGTATTTCCCAGGGATCCCCCAACAAAAGACAAAATAGGAAGAGAGTAGCTAATAATTTTATAATGGAGACGATTGTTGGAAAAGTTAAATAATTCTGTGCTCTTATCCCATTGAGTTAAAAAGTCTTTATTAAATAGTTACTCTTGGTGACCAACTAGATTGGCTGAGAACAGCCCACTTCATTTAATAAGAGTAGAAACCTTGTCCTCACAGACACAATAATCACACCCCATTTTCTTTTTTTTTTTTTAAATAAAGATTTATATATTTACTATGTATACAGTGTTCTGCCTGCATGTCTGCCTGCAGACCAGAAGAGGGCACCAGATCTCATTACGGATAGTTGTGAGCTACCACATGGCTGCTGGGAACTGACTCAGAACCTCTGGAAGTGCTCAGTGCTCTAAACAATTGAGACACTGAGCCATCTCTACAGCCCCACTCCCCATTTTCATAAACTGCATTGTCAATAATAGGATTCAGTGTTAATTCTGTGCTTAAGTCATAAACTACCTGAAAAAGACTTGCTAGTCCTTTTCAGTATGTACTATCTCCTGTGAAGAATTCTTTTTTGTTTGTTTGTTTTTTGAGACAGGATTTCTCTGTGTAGTTTTGGTGTCTGTTCTGGATCTTGCTCTGTAGGCCAGGCTGGCGTCGAACTCACAGAAATCCTGGCTCTGCCTCCCAAGTGCAGAGATTAAAGGTTTGAGTCACCACCACCCAGCTTTTAATTACTTTAATTACTTATTTATTTATCTAATTATCTTTCTATTTATTTATTTGAAAAATTCTTTTTTCTCAGAACCAGACAGGCTTGACTAACAGCAAATAGGTAAAGTTACTTTTCTGATGATTAGATAATCAATTTATAACAGACTCTGAGTTTGACCTTGAAATGTAGGTGACAGGTTAAGGGAAGGAAGAGGAAGAGGATCATGGTGGAATCCAACAAACTGGGCAGCACCTGATTCAATCGATGCTTTCTGACCCTTACAAAGAACAAATCTGTTCCAAGATATTATTCTAAGCTCCAAAATATATAATCTATCATCAACAAAATTAAATACATATTTTTTTAAAAAAAAATAGTATATACTAATTATGGAAGAGTGAATTTTCTCGTGATATTTGAAATCATGGATTAGTCAGGGTTTTCTAAAGGGACAGAACTGATAAAATGACTGTACAATTAACAGGAAACTTATTAGAATGTATACTGAAGATGTGGTTTGAGTAGCCCAACAATGGCTGTCTCACAAACAGAAGGCTGAGAATCCAGTAGTTGTTCAGTCCATGAGGCTGGATGTCTCTTCAGTCCAAATATGGCCTTGAAGTTTTGAAGGATTCCTGGAAAGCTGCTTGTCTTCAGTCTATATGGGAATCCTGATGAAGCTGGATTTAATATTGGCCACAGCAACAAAATAGACAAAATTCCCAGCATGAGTGAGAGCAAGCCAGCAAAAAGAAGAAGTTTCTTCCATGTCCTTTTGTGTGGGCTCCACCAGACGGTATGGCTCAGTCTTAGAGTGAATCTTCCTCCTTCAAATCAGCTGAGTGAGAAAATTTCTTTCTCAGCCGGGTATGGGGGTGCACGCCTTTGATTCCAGCACATGGGAGCCAGAGGCAGGTAGATCTCTGTGAACTGGAGGGCCAACTTGATCTACATAGTAAGTTTCAGGACAGCCAGAGCTACATAATAGAGAGACACTGTTTCAGAGAGAGAGAGAGGGAGGGAGGGAATTCCTTACTGGAGTGCCCAGAAGCTTAGACTTTAGATGAACCAAGATTGGCCACAACAGTAACATTTATTAACATGTGGAAGTGTTCATGATGGAAGTGTTCATGAAGAGCCCTGCTTCATCCATACCAGAACAGCAAAAGAGCCATGAGGGCTAAAACACCCATCAGGATGTATCCAGTGGGCTAAGAAAGGAGATTGTATAAATTCATTAAATCAGACTAACACATAAACACTCCACCTTAGAGTTAGGCTTTCAGATCTGTATATAAAGGCTTCAGAACTGCAAGATGTGCTCAGTTCAGAGTCACAACTGCTGTCCAGGGAGTCTAGGAGTCACAGCACCCCTGAAGCAGAGAGCGAACTTTCTGGGAAGCATTGTTGAGACCAGAACATCTGGAGATGAGTTGAAATCCTGACTTTATATTTCTTTCTCAGATTTTAAGTTTTCTCAAATAGATGTATTGGACAGAGTTAATAAAGAGGACACCAGCTGGTGGTGGCGGTGAATGCCTTTAATCCCAGCACTCAGGAGGCAGAGGCAGGTGGATCTCTTTGAGTTGGAGACCAGCCTGGTCTACAGAGTGAGTTCCAGGACAGCCACAACTCTTTCAGAGAGAAACCTGTCTCAGAAAATAATTAAATAGATAGATAGATAGATAGATAGATAGATAGATAGATAGACAGACAGATAGATAGATAGATGAGTAAATAGAGCACCGTTATTTTCCATTTCCTGTTGAACTACAGAATTTTGATCTATCATTTCAAAATTTAAAATGAATGTGATTTTTTCTGTCTCCTTTATGTTTCTTGTGATCCTAAATTTTGAATGTATGGATATATGTAGTTTTATTTTTAGTATTAGATCTGAACTTAGTGCACATTATAGAATTCATAAAATGCAATGTGTATAAAACCTTCCACAGTATAAGAAGCTACAGTCTGGTGTCTCATGTTTTAAAAGCTTTTTAAAAATAATATGTTATTAGTGCATTATGACACATTCAGTTAGTAACATTATACATTTGCTGCTAGTGCTGGAGACTCAGCTCATTAATAACTTGCCTAGCACATGTTTTGTTTTATCCCTGGCACTAACAAAATATTCAAAACAAATAATTGAACCACTCAGTTTTACTGGTCCCTACTTGGGAGCTTCAGGCAGGAGGATCCTGAGAGAAAAGGCAGACTGTGGTTAATAATGTTGATTTTGACACAATTTAAAAAGTTCAAGGTAAGCTTTCTATTTAGATCCAGCTGATCTTATCAATTTTCTTTGCAGAGAGTTTTTAAATCATAGATGGTTTTTATCTTTATTTCTACTTTATTATATTTTAAAACAACTCTCAGTGTTATTCTCAAGTATTCAGAAGTTTACTCTCAAGATTTCTCCTTTGAGAGGATTGGCCTCCCCCAAGGATGAGCCCTCTTATTGGCTGCTCAACTCAGAGTGTTTAGCCCTGAAACTATATGTACACAAACAACAACTAAAGGCTCAGCAGATTACATGCAATTTGGCTTAGGTAAGGTTCAGAGCACATTTTTGAAAAAATTAGGAGAATATTCAGAGTGATCTGTTGAACCACATTCCAGAGAAATTACACTAGAAAGGACAATATTGGTGAGAGACTAGCAACCGTCAGAGCTGTTGCCATGTATTCGAGTTCTAGGTTCCAGATACTTGTGTGGTAGAAAGAGTAGTCAAATGAAACTGCAAATGTGGTAATGAAATGCTTGTTGGAAACCTATGCAAGGTGATGCAGCATAGAGCTCTTACTCCCGGACACAGAGTCCTGGAGACTACATAAATCCGTCATTTATTACAGAGTCACATTCAAACCATGAAAATGCCACAGTTGGATGTCTAGGGAGTCAGTGTCTTGTCTCCTGTTTTCAACTCATTTGCTTGTAAGTGATGAACAGCTTGGCTCTATCCAGAGAGCAGTCAGATTCCTTGTGAAAGTCCTTTTCTTCTTAGTAATTCAGTCCTTTTGTTTTTGCTTTTTATTCCATCCCCACTGGGTCCTCTTGTCACCTTCTTCTTCTTCTTCTTCTTCTTCTTCTTCTTCTTCTTCTTCTTCTTCTTCTTCTTCTTCTTCTTCTCCTTCTTCTTCTTCTTCTTCTTCTTCTTCTTTTTCTGTCATCTAAGCTTCTCCAGCCTGGTGTTTATTTCATTCACATTTATTTATTTATTTGTTTGTTTGTTTGTTTGATTGATTGAGTATCCCTGTATAACCCTTATTGTCCTAGAATTTGCTCTGTACCACAGACTGCCCCTGAATTTACACAGATTTGTTCCCTGGTGCTGAGAATAAAGGTGTATCCCACCATGCCGAGATTCATTACCACATTTTTCAGGCAAGCTCTGCTAATATTTGGTAAAGGAGGCGGAAGATGCTGTAACTATGTTCTATATAAGGCAAACAACTTTTATTTCAAAAGGAGAAATTATCATCTTACATTGTTAATAGTAAATTAATGGTATAATTAACATGTTACAAGTGATACGTGTTTTTTTTGTAAATCCCAATAATGAAGTCTAAATTTCATTTTATTTCTCCTCAGAAATACAGATTCACACTAACTGTGGAATTCAGAAACTATCTACAAAGTTGTAGGTGTTTGTCTAAGCAGTTCTAAGGTGGTAGAAAGCAGAAAGGTACATAAAGCTTGAGAATCAGAAACTAGAAGCATTTGGCGGGTTAAGCATTTGAGTGGTTAAGCATTCAGGCTTTTGAGCGGCAGTTCAGCTGAGAGACATTGGGAGGAGGACACAGAAGCTTTCAGTCTGAGAAAATAGGAGCAGCTGAGAAGTTGGCCAGGTGAGGTTAGCTGTGGATGGTTCTGTCTCTCTGATCTTCCAGTAATCACCCCAATAACTGGCCCCGGGTTTGATCTTATTAATAAGAACTGTTAATATTCATGCTACATCTGTTTATCAGATAACATCTGATAAACTGTTAAGGTGTTTGCACAACTGAGATATTATTAGTGGGCACAAAACCTAAACTAGTGATGGCATCACTTGATAAAAGGATCCATGGTCCCAAGGAGACATTCTGAAGTTACTGGAATGCATCAAGAAAAATATCCCCTCAGATGACTCCAGATCATTCAAAAAAACCCAGGAAGACCTAGACTGGGGCAAAGTGGCTTTTAAACATTTTTCAGGAAAAATGTGCAAACAAAAGTGGAAGCAACTTTCTCATACTTTGAGGAAGGTCCGCACACTGTCAGAATTAGTGCTAGAAGCCAGTGAACATCTGAAACAACAGCCCAAAAGGAAGAAACATCCTGATTTCCCCAAAAGACCCCTGACTGCCTATCTGCGCTTCTACAAGGAGCAGCGGGCTAAGTACTCTCAGCGCTATCCTAAATACAACAACTCGCAGCTGGCCAAACTCCTGGCTGAGAAATACAATCAGCTGCCAGGGGAGATCAAGGAGAAATATATTCAGGACTTCCGGAAGGAGAAACGGGACTTTGAGGAAAAAGTGACTAAATTCAAGAGAAGCCATCCTGATAAGAAATCTGTGGTGCACAGGAGTCAGAAAACCAAAGTCCCTAAGAATTCACAAAGAGGTATGGAAAACGTGAAGTCGCCTCCAAAGACAGATCTTCCCAAAACATTACCCTCGGTGATGAAATTTCAGGGAGAACCCAAGAAACCCCCTATGAATGGATACCACAAATTTCACGAAGATATGTGGTCAAGTCTGGAGCTGAGCCATCTACCCTGCAGGGAGCGCTGGGTTGAGATTAGCAGAAGATGGCACAAAGTCCCAAAGAGCCAGAAAGAGCACTATGACAGCCAGGCCGAGGAGCTACAGAAACAATACCGGGTGGACATGGACCTCTGGCTCAAGGGATTGTCATCTGAGGAGTACACCGCCTACAGAGAGGCAAAGGCCACCTACGGTAAGCGAAAGAACTTTGCCATGTCTGGAAACAGAAGCCCCAAGTGTGGACGGATAGATCAGCAGTCTGCTTCAGCTGAGGAGCAGCAAAAAAGACCTGGGGAAATGCAAGGGCTGCTGGCTCCTGGAACAGATTCCTCAGAGACTGTTCAGGGCGCTGATGGTGGCTCCCAGGTATCCAGGCAGAATATGATGGAAGATGGAGAAGAGGAAGACTCTAGCAGCTCCTCGGATGACTCTAGCAGCTCCTTGGACGACTCGAGCAGCTCCTCAGAGGACTCCAGCAGCTCCTCGGAGGACTCTAGCAGTACAGATGAACATGAAGATGAAGATGGCCCTACGGTGGAGGCGCAAGTCTCTGATCCCAGCACTCGGGAGGTAGAGGAAGGTGGATCTCTCAAAAAACAGAAAGATGAAGATGATGGACATCTCTCTTAGCGGAGTCCTCAGATTTAGACTCCATTTTCGTCACTTTCATATCCTAAATCATTGTTTAAGACCCAGGGCATCCCTGACAGAGAGGGAACTGTCTTCTCTGTGCTTTTGTACTCCCTCGCTTTTTTTTCTCCTACATCCTTCCTTGGCTTACTAAATGCAAAGGAGTACGGTTTGGGGAGAGGGAGTTTGCCCTAGCACTGCCTTCATCAGGTGCATAGGTTTAGGAAGACACTGCTGTAAAAGCTACTATCATTTTATTCCAACAAACTATAGAACCAGTTTTACAAAGTTGGGCACTTGTGTATACAGTTCTCTTAGTCCTTGTGATTCAGGATAAGTAGAAACACAGATAGATACAGATAAATACTCTATTCTCTGAACTTATCTGATGTCTTTAATACATACATCAGCACCACACTACCGTCATTATTTTGCTTACTGGCATTTTAGATATATTTAATGTTACTTTATCGTTTTGCTTCTGAATAATCTCAGCTGTTTTCGTGAATATTACCATTATAGAAATTGTTTAAGACCTTAGAGACTTTATATTTGTACCTAAATTTTATTTCTTTTAGCTTACACATAAATTATAAAGCTTGTACATATTAATAGAGTACTAGATATTTTTATAAATTTTACAATGTGTAATGTTTAAATCGGTTAAATATATGTAGCTCTTCAAATATTTGTCATTTATTTAAGGTGAAATTTCCCAAAATAATTTCTTTTGGAAATGTATAGCACATTATCATTCTTATCTTAGTGAATCACTGTTTATGTGTTCTTGCATGAAAGATTGTTTTGATGCATATTTTGCAACCCATAATTTTGTACTTTTCTGATTTGCCCAAGCTTCTAAAGATGTTGGATCAGATGCAACAATATTAACAGATAATAGTGATAAATTTGTGTCATTTTAAAACACTTAAACTAAAACTTGCAGGATTTGCTATCATGAAACTGTTGATATATAAGTTTGAATTAAATTATAGTATATTGCCAGAAGTGGATATTTACTTATACAAATAAACAATTTTAATGAATGATGTTTATTAATTTTGTCCTATCTTTAATGATGCAATGATGGAATTTTTCTATAGCATAATCCTCAGAGTTCTCTAGAGATACACAGAAAGTACTATTATTGCTTCTACTTTGGGGCCACAAAAAAGCAATAGCCTACTTAGTGGCCATCTTCTGCATGACTATGTAGTATCTCCCTGTCTCTTCTGGTTAGTTTTGTCTGACATCTATTATGTCAGATATTAGCATAGCTACATCTGCTTGGCCTTGGGTGCATTTGCTTGGAATACCTGTTTCTATCCTTTGACCCTGAGAAGACTTCTGTCCTTGATGATAAGGTGTGTTTCTTGAATAAGCAGAAAGACCTCAGTTTTTCATATTATTCCTCAGTTTTTTTCACATCTCACACCCAAACCTTCAGAAGACTATAAGGATTCTGCAATCCAAACACAACTGCTTTCCACCTTCACCACACACACACACACACACACACACACACACACACACACTACCTAAGGTAGTGTTCTTCCTAAAGCAACTGTCAGATCACTCCAAAACTGCCCCTTTAAATTTAAAAACAAAGTTTAGACTTGGGATAGTGGTCACCAAAGTCCATGTGATCTAGTTTTAAATTCCACCTCCCTTCATGGAAAAGCTTCATCAAAAAGAAAATTGTAAAACCAACACATGTAGACTAGGCAACCCCATATCAACAGATCACTAGCATCACAAAGAAGCTACTGAAGACCCAGTGGTGTCATAATTTCCTGATGATGGTGTCAGTCTGCATGTCTTCTAGTGACAGAGACAGTGTGACATGGTAAATGTCCTAGAGAGTTCCCAGATTTCTTTAACAGTATTTCCCAGGGATCCCCCAACAAAAGACAAAATAGGAAGAGAGTAGCTAATAATTTTATAATGGAGACGATTGTTGGAAAAGTTAAATAATTCTGTGCTCTTATTCCATTGAGTTAAAAAGTCTTTATTAAATAGTTACTCTTGGTGACCAACTAGATTGGCTGAGAACAGCCCACTTCATTTAATAAGAATATAAACCTTGTCCTCACAGACACAATAATCACACCCCATTTTCTTTTTTCTTTTTTTTTTTAAATAAAGATTTATATTTATTATGTATACAGTGTTCTGCTTGCATGTCTGCCTGTAGGCCTGAAGAGGGCACCAGATCTCATTACGGATAGTTATGAGCTACCAGGTGGCTGCTGGGAACTGAATTCAGAACCTCTGAAAGTGCTCAGTGCTCTAAAACATTGAGACACTGAGCCATCTCTATAGCCCCACTCCCCATTTTATTAAATGCATTGTCAATAATAGGACTCAGTGTTAATTCTGTGCTTAAGTCATAAACTACCTGAAAAAGACTTGCTAGTCCTTTTCAGTATGTACTATCTCCTGTGAAGAATTCTTTTTTGTTTGTTTGTTTTTTGAGACAGGATTTCTCTGTGTAGTTTTGGTGTCTGTTCTGGATCTTGCTCTGTAGGCCAGGCTGGCCTTGAACTCACAGAAATCCTGGCTCTGTCTCCCAAGTGCTGAGATTAAAGGTTTGAGTCACCACCACCCAGCTTTTAATTACCTACTTATTTATTTATTTATCTAATTATCTTTCTTTTTATTTATTTGAAAAATTCTTTTTTCTCAGAACCAGACAGGCTTGACTAACAGCAAATACCTAAAGTTACTTTTCTGATGATTAGATAATCAATTTATAACAGACTCTGAGTTTGACCTTGAAATGTAGGTGACAGGTTAAGGGAAGAAATAGTAAGAGGATCATGGTGGAATCCAAAAAACTGGGCAGCCCCTGATTCAATCGATGCTTTCTGACCCTTACAAAGAACAAATCTGTTCCAAGATATTATCATCAACAAAATTAAATACATAGTTTTTTTAAAAATTAGTATATACTAACTATGGAAGAGTAAATTTCCTCATGATATTTGAAATCATGGATTAGTCAGGGTTCTCTAAAGGGACAGAACTGATAAAATGACTGTACAATTAAGAGAAAACTTATTAGAGTGTATACTGAAGATGTGATTTGAGTAGCCCAACAATGGCTGTCTCTCAAACAGAAGGCTGAGAATCCAGTAGTTGTTCAGCCCATGAGGCTGGATGTCTCTTCAGTCCAAATATGGCCTTGAAGTCTTGAAGGATTCCTGGAAAGCTGCTTGTCTTCAGTCTATATGGGAATCCTGATAAAGTTGGATTTAATATTGGCCACAGCAACAAAATAGACAAAATTCTCAGCATGAGTGAGAGCAAGCCAGCAAAAAGAAGAAGTTTCTTCCATGTCCTTTTGTGTGGGCTCCACCAGACGGTATGGCTCAGTCTTAGAGTGAATCTTCCTCCTTCAAGTCAGCTGAGTGAGATAATTTCTTACTCAGCCGGGTATGGAGGTGCATGTCTTTGATCCCAGCACATGGGAGCCAGAGGCAGGTAGATCTCTGTGAACTGGAGGGCCAACTTGATCTACATAGTAAGTAGTAGGACAGCCAGAGTTACATAATAGAGAAACACTGTTTCAGAGAGAGAGAGACAGGGAGGGGGGGAATTCCTTACTGGAGTGCCCAGAAGCTTAGACTTTAGATGAACCAAGATTGGCCACCACAGTAAATTTCTTTGCATTTATTAATATGTGGGAGCATTCATGATGGAAGTGTTCATGAAGAGCCCTGCTTCACCCATACCAGAACTGCAAAAGAGCCATGAGGGCTAAAACACCCCTCAGGGTATATCCAGTGGGCTAAGGAAGGAGATTGTATAAGTTAATTGAATCAGACTAACATGTAAACACTCCACCTTAGGGTGGGGCTTTCAGATCTGTATATAAAGGCTTCAGAACTGCAAGATGTGCTCCGTTCAGAGTCACAACTGCTGTCCAGGGAGTCCAGGAGACACAGCACCCTTGAAGCAGAGAGCAGATTTTCTGGCAAGCATTGTTGAGACCAGAGCATCTGGAGGTGAGTTGAAATCCTGACTTTATATTTCTTTCTCAGATTTCAAGTTTTCTCAAATAGATGTATTGGACAGAGTTAATAAAGAGGACACCAGCTGGTGGTGGCGGTGAATGCCTTTAATCCCAGCACTCAGGAGGCAGAGGCAGGTGGATCTCTGTGAGATGGAGGCCAGCCTGGTCTACAGAGTGAGTTCCAGGATAGCCACGACTCTTTCACAGAGAAACCCTGTCTGGGAAATAGATAGATAGATAGATAAATAGATAGATAGATAGATAGATAGATAGATAGATAGATAGATATAGATGAGTAAATAGAGTCCGTTATTTTCCATTTCCTGTTGAACTACAGAATTTAATCTATCTCTTTAAAATTTAAAATGAATGTGATTTTTCTGTCTCCTTTATGTTTCTTGTGATCGTAAATTTTGAATGTATGGATATATGTAGTTCTATTTTTAGTATGGGATCTGAACTTAGTACACATTATAGAATTCATAAAATGCAATGTGTATAAAACCTTCCACAGTATAAGAAGCTACAGTCTGGTGTCTCATGTTTTTAAAAGCTTTTTAAAAATAATATGTTATTAGTGCATTATGACACATTCAATTAGTAACATTATACATTTGCTGCTAGTGCTGGAGACTCAGCTCATTAATAACTTGCCTAGCACACGATTTGTTCTATCCCTGCCACTACAAACATAATCAAAACAAATAATTGAAATCACTCAGTTTTACTGGTCCCTACTTGGGAGCTTCAGGCAGGAGGATCCTGAGTGAGAAGGCAGACTGTGGTTAATAATGTTGATTTTGACACAATTTAAAAAGTTCAAGGTAAGCTTTCTATTTAGATCCAGCTGATCTTATCAATTTTCTTTGCAGAGAGTTTTTAAATGATGGATGGTTTTTATCTTTATTTCTACTTTATTATATTTTAAAACAACTCTCAGTGTTATTCTCAAGTATTCAGAAGTTTACTCTCAAGATTTCTCCTTTGAGAGGATTGGCCTCCCCCAAGGATGAGCCCTCTTATTGGCTGCTCAACTCAGAGTGTTTAGCCCTGAAACTATATGTACACAAACAACAACTAAAGGCTCAGCAGATTACATGCAATTTGGCTTAGGTAAGGTTCAGAGCACATTTTTGAAAAAATTAGGAGAATATTCAGAGTGATCTGTTGAACCACATTCCAGAGAAATTACACTAGAAAGGACAATATTGGTGAGAGACTAGCAACCGTCAGAGCTGTTGCCATGTATTCGAGTTCTAGGTTCCAGATACTTGTGTGGTAGAAAGAGTAGTCAAATAAAACTGCAAATGTGGTAATGAAATGCTTGTTGGAAACCTATGCAAGGTGATGCAGCATAGAGCTCTTACTCCCGGACACAGAGTCCTGGAGACTACATAAATCCGTCATTTATTACAGAGTCACATTCAAACCATGAAAATGCCACAGTTGGATGTCTAGGGAGTTCAGTGTCTTGTCTCCTGTTTTCAGCTCATTTGCTTGTAAGTGATGAACAGCTTGGCTCTATCCAGAGAGCAGTCAGATTTAGGGCACTGCAGTGTGAAAGTCCTTTTCTTCTTAGTCATTTAGTCTTATTGTTTTGCCTTTTTATTCCATCGTCACTGGGCCCTTTTGTCGCCTTCTTCTTCTTCTTCTTCTTCTTCTTCTTCTTCTTCTTCTTCTTCTTCTTCTTCTTCTTCTTCTTCTCCCTCCTCCTCCTCCTCCTCCTCCTCCTCCTCCTCCTCCTCCTCCTCCTCCTCCTTCTTGTTCTTTTTCTTCTTGTTCTTGTTCTTGTTCTTGTTCTTGTTCTTGTTCTTGTTCTTGTTCTTGTTCTTGTTCTTCTTCTTCTTCTTCTTCTTCTTCTTCTTCTTCTTCTTCTTCTTCTTCTTCTTCTTCTTCTTCTTCTTCTTCTGTCATCTAAGCTTTCCCAGCCTGGTGCATATTTCATTCATATTTATTTATTTATTTATTTATTTATTTATTTATTTATTTATTTTTGTTTATTGGAGTATCACTATATAACACTTATTGTCCTAGAATTTGCTCTGTACCCCAGACTGCCCCTGAATTTACACAGATTTATTTCCTGGTGCTGAGAAAAAAGGTATACCCCACCATGCCCAGATTCATTACCACATTTTTCAGGCAAGCTCTGCTAATATTTGGAAAAGGAGGCTGAAGAAGATGTAACTATGTTATATATAAGGCAAACAACTTTTATTTCACAAGGAGAAAATATCGCCTTACAATGTTAATAATTAATGGTATAAGTAACATGTTACAAGTGATACCTGATTTTTTTTTTTTTTGGTAAATTCCAATAATGAAGTCTAACATTCATTTTATTTCTCTTCAGAAATACAGATTCATTCTAACTGTGGAATTCAGAAACTATCTACAAAGTTGTACGTGTTTGTCTAAGCAGTTCGAGCTACAGTCAAGGTGTTTGTACAACTGAGATATTATTAGTAGGCACAGAGCCTAAGCTAGTGATGTCATCACTTGATAAAGATTATCCATGGTCCCAAGGAGACATTCTGAAGTTACTGGAATGCATCAAGAAAAATATCCCCTCAGATGACTCCAGATCATTCAAAAAAACCCAGGAAGACCTAGACTGGGGCAAAGTGGCTTTTAAACATTTTTCAGGAAAAATGTGCAAACAAAAGTGGAAGCAACTTTCTCATACTTTGAGGAAGGTCCGCACACTGTCAGAATTAGTGCTAGAAGCCAGTGAACATCTGAAACAACAGCCCAAAAGGAAGAAACATCCTGACTTCCCCAAAAGACCCCTGACTGCCTATCTGCGCTTCTACAAGGAGCAGCGGGCTAAGTACTCTCAGCGCTATCCTAAATACAACAACTCGCAGCTGGCCAAACTCCTGGCTGAGAAATACAATCAGCTGCCAGGGGAGATCAAGGAGAAATATATTCAGGACTTCCGGAAGGAGAAACGGGACTTTGAGGAAAAAGTGACTAAATTCAAGAGAAGCCATCCTGATGTAGAGCATTGTAAGAAATCTGTGGTGCGCAGGAGCCAGGAAACCAAAGTCCCTAAGAAATCACAAAGAGGTATGGAAAACGTGAAGTTGCCTCCAAAGACAGATCTTCCCAAAACATTACCCTCGGTGATGAAATTTCAGGGAGAACCCAAGAAACCCCCTATGAATGGATACCACAAATTTCACGAAGATATGTGGTCAAGTCTGGAGCTGAGCCATCTACCCTGCAGGGAGCGCTGGGTTGAGATTAGCAGAAGATGGCACAAAGTCCCAAAGAGCCAGAAAGAGCACTATGACAGCCAGGCCGAGGAGCTACAGAAACAATACCGGGTGGACATGGACCTCTGGCTCAAGGGATTGTCATCTGAGGAGTACACCGCCTACAGAGAGGCAAAGGCCACCTACGGTAAGCGAAAGAACTTTGCCATGTCTGGAGGCAGAAGCCCCAAGTGTGGACAGACAGATCAGCAGTCTGCTTCAGCTGAGGAGCAGCAAAAAAGGCCTGGGGAAATGCAAGGGCTGCTGGCTCCTGGAACAGATTCCTCAGAGACTGTTCAGGGCGCTGATGGTGGCTCCCAGGTATCCAGGCAGAATATGATGGAAGATGGAGAAGAGGAAGACTCTAGCAGCTCCTCGGACGACTCTAGCAGCTCCTCGGACGACTGGAACAGCTCCTCAGAGGACTCCAGCAGCTCCTCGGAGGACTCTAGCAGTACAGATGAAGATGAAGATGAAGATGGCCCTACGGTGGAGGCGCAAGCCTCTGATCCCAGCACTGACGAAGTAGAGGCAGGCAGATCTCTCAAAAAAAAAAGAAAGAATGATGAAGATGATGGACATCTCTCTTAGCGAAATCCTCAGATTTAGACTCCATTTTAGTCACTTTCATATCCTAAATCATTGTTTAAGACCCAGGGTATCCCTGACAGAGAGGGAACTGTCTTCTCTGTGCTTTTGTACTCCCTCGCTTTTTTTTCTCCTACATCCTTCCTTGGCTTACTAAATGCAAAGGAGTACAGTTTGGGGAGAGGGAGTTTGCCATAGCACTGCCTTCATCAGGTGCATAGGCTTAGGAAGACACTGCTGTAAAAGCTACTATCATTTTATTCCAACAAACTATAGAACCAGTTTTACAAAGTTAGGCACTTGTGTGTACAAATGGTCAGTTACATCTAAGACAGTTCTCTTAGTCCTTGTGATTCAGGATAAGTAGAAACCGATAGATACAGATAAATACTCTATTCTCTGAACTTATCTGATGTCTTTAATACATACATCAGCACCACACTACCGTCATTATTTTGCTTACTGGCATTTTAGATATATTTAATGTTACTTTATCATTTTTCTTCTGAATAATCTAATTGTTTTCATGAATATTACCATTATAGGAATTGTTTAAGACCTTAGAGATTTTATATTTGTACCTAAATATTAATTTTATTTCTTTTAGCTTACACATAAATTATAAATCTTTTACATATTAATAGAGAACTAGGATATTTTTATAAATACTTACAATGTGTAATGTTTAAATCGGTTAAATATATGTATCTCTTCAAATATTTGTCATTTATTTAAGGTGAAATTTCCCATAATAATTTCTTTTGGAAATGTATAGCACATTATTATTCTTATCTTAGTGAATCACTGCTTATGTGTTCTTGCATGAAAGATTGTTTTGATGCATATTTTGCAACCCATAATTTTGTACTTTTCTGATTTGCCCAAGCTCCTAAAGATGTTGGATCAGATGCAACAATATTAACAGAAAATAGTGATAAATTTGTGTCATTTTAAAACACTTAAGCTAAAACTTGCAGGATTTGCTATCATGAAACTGTTGATATATAAGTTTGAATTAAATTATAGCATATTGCCAGAAGTGGATATTTACTTATACAAATAAACAATTTTAATGAATGATGTTTATTAATTTTGTCCTATCTTTAATGATGCAATGATGGAATTTTTCTATAGCATAATCCTCAGAGTTCTCTAGAGATACACAGAAAGTACTATTATTGCTTCTACTTTGGGGCCACAAAAAACAATGGCCTACTTAGTGGTCATCTTCTGCATGACTATGTAGTATCTCCCTGTCTCTTCTGGTTAGTTTTGTTTGAGGTCTATTTTGTCAGATATTAGCATAGCTACATCTGCTTGGCCTTGGGTGCATTTGCTTGGAATACCTGTTTCTATCCTTTGACCCTGAGATGACCTCTGTCCTTGATGATAAGGCATGTTTCTTGAATAAGCAGAAAGATGGATCTTGTTTTCTGATCAAATCTGTTAGTCTGTGTCTTTTTATTAGGAAATTGAGACTATGATTATTGAGAGTTATTAGTGAATAGTGTTTATTGATTCCTGTTATTTTATTGTTATGGTATGGAGCTGCTTCTCCCTTTTGATTTACTTGTCTTGGATTATTTATTTCTTGTGTTTTCTTCCATGTGGTTAACTCTTTAGACTAGTATTTTTTGTTAAGTTGGATTTATAGGTAAATATTACTTAAATTTTTTTTTACCATGGTATGTTTTTCTTTTTTTTAATGTAATTGATAGTTTTGCTGGGTACAGTAGTCTGTGCTGTGATCTGTTATAGTTTTTAACACATTCATACAGTTCCTTCTGGCTTTCAGAGTCTCCATTGAAAAGTCAGGTGTTATTCTAAAAAGTCTGCTGTATATGTAAATTGTCGTTTTCTTTCCCTTGCGCTTTTAATATCCACTGGTTTTTCTGTGTTGTTCTTATTATTGTGTGTTATAGTGAATTTATTTTCTAGTCCTGTTTACTTAGTGTTCTGTATGTTTCCTCTATCCTGATAGTTGTCTCCTTCTTTAGATTTGGAAAATTATCTTCTATGATTTTTGTTTTAAATATTTTCTGCACTTTTGACCTTGGTTTTTAATTCCACTGTTCCTATTATCTATAGATTTTGTTTTTTCATAGTGTTCTATATGTCCTGTAGTTTTCAGCCTAGATTTTTATTATATTTAACATTTTCTTTCACTGAGGTGTCCATTTCTTCTACTTTGTCTTCAGCATATGAGATGCTCTCTCTTCCATACCTTCTCCTCTGTTGTTGTGGTTTTCCTCCAAGGATTTTGCTTTACTTCTTAATATTTTTCATTTCCACTTTTATTTCAGATTAGATTTTCTTTAATGTTTTATTTCTTTGTAAAATTCTACTTTTGTTTCATGAATAATTTTCATTCAACTATTTGTGTTTTCATAGATGCCTTATATTTGGCCTCTTTATTTCAGACGATAGATTTTTCTCAACTTATAAAAACAGTGGTACTGATATAAGCCAAAGTCATGTCTTATATCTTGGAGAATATATGTGCATGCATGTGTGTGTGTGTGTGTGTGTGTGTGTGTGTGTGTGTGTGTGTGTGTGTAAGAGAGTCATTAGTGAGAAATAGTTGTCCAAATAACATTTTATACAGTTAAGTATAATAGCTGATGACTGATCTTACCTCCTTAGTCTGATATAAAAGGGGCAAGGTGATTCCAAGAGGACTCAGTAGGACCATGAAGTTCCATGGGTGTCCCTCTTTTGGCTGTACCATATGGTAGCATTAGCCAAGATGGTGGTGATGTTACATGCCATTTGTCTTTTTTATGATCTCATTAGCAAAAATATCAGTCAAGTCATATGGTTACTTCCATCTTGATGAAGTTCTCAGCCAAGATGCCAGCAAACCATGTGGTTGTTGTCTGCTCAAAATGAACTTAGCCCATGATAAAGTGAGCCCATCCCCCATTGCCCTATTGAAACACAAGTCCCTCATTTCTCAGCTCAGTGGATTATTACACCCTTTTCTTTAAAAGGACACTTTAGTTAGGTAGGTAGGTTAGTATGGATATGGGCAATAGTACCTATGGCCTAGGCAGCCCTAGCTTAAGGAAGTTGATAGAAAAGCTGAGACACTTTGCTCAGCCTTGGTGTAGGGAGGAGGAGACTGGACCTGCCTCAGCTGAATCTACCAGGCTGGGCTGATTCCCTAGGGGAGACCTTGCCCTGGAGGAGGTGAGAATGGGGGTGGATGGGGGGAAAGGTTGGGGGTTGGGAGGAGGGAGGACAGGGGAATCTGTGGCTGATATGTAAAATTAAATTAATTATAAAATAAAAATATTTAAAATTAAAAAAAAAAAAAAAGAAAAGCTAGAATCATACCAGGAGGTTCCTTTCAGAGTTGAAGAATAGGTAAGGAGAAAGAGACATAAAGACCCTTTGGGGAGTAACTTCCTAAGGAATGTTAGCAGCCCAGTTCCAGGATCAGGCCATCTGAGGCTTGAAAGGTCATCAACCCTTCATTAAATACCTGCTATTACTGCCCCCAGGCCCCTTTTCCCCTGAGATAAAATTTCTTTCCCACTTCAATACTCTTGTTCTACACAGTGTCTGCTTTTGTTTCTCCCTGATCTAACAATGTATTTGATAAAGACCTATTGGTTAAATTTCCCTTTCACAATGAGGATAATAATAATAATAATAATAATAATAATAATAATAATAATAATAATAAAAAACAGAAGAAAGCCTTCAAAATCTTGACTTATTAAACATATCTTTTGTATGATTATGTATTTACAGACTGTCTGCTACATGTGATTATGCTTTTTTAAATATCATGTACTTAGTAACAAATTGACTTACAAGTAAGTGCTCATGTAAACTAAAGTTAACTTGGTCCAACTTCATTTTGTTCATAGTAAAATTAAAATTTTAAGAAACAAAATAATGATAGAAGACAAAATGAGTATTTTATCAATTTGGCCACATAGGTAAAACCAAGAGACAATTAACATGAGTTTATTGTTGTTGTTGTTTTTAAATAGTTATTTATCTTTATTTATGTTTTGCCTACATGTATGCGTGCACACCAGGTGTGTCTGATGCCCATGGAGCCAGAAGAAAGAGTCAAATCCCCTGGAACAGGATTTAAGGATGATCACAATCCTCCATATGGGTGCTAGGAACCGAACCCAGGTCATCTGCAAGAACAGCCAGTGCTCTTAACCACTGGGCAATATCTTCAGCCCTAACATGTAGTTTTAAACCTAAAATTTTAAATCTGATTTAAAGGACAAGACATATAATCATACAATTCTGGCTGAGATATTATCCATTTGATCCTTATCTCAAGTCTGGTTCTACAGTATGGTCCCTGTTGCTTGAAGGAATAAATTAACTTGCTTGCAGTGGTGTTGATGACTGCAGACTCACAGTTGAGAATGAGAGACATAGAAGGCTTCTGTGACAACCTCTCCCCCAACCCCATCCCCCACCACCCCCTAAAGTCTAGACAGGAAGCCATTGAAGAGAACTCTTAAAAATTGTGATAAAGGCCGGGTGGTGGTGGTGGTGGTGGTGGTGGTGGTGGTGGTGGTGGTGGTGGTGGTGGTGGTGGTGGTGCACGCCTTTAATCCCAGCACACCGGAGGCGGAGCCAGACGGATCTCTGTGAGTTCGAGGCCAGCCTGGTCTACAGAGCGAGATCCAGGATAGGCACCAAAACTACACAGAGAAACCCTGTCTCAAAAAAAAAACCCAAATAAAAAAAAAAATTGTGGTAAAGATGCTGAAGTGTAGTTCTTCACAGTTGATGGCTTCTGGTGGGGGTGGGGAAGGACTCAATTTTCTTTAAGGGGCTGGTCACTGGGAGTTTGACCATGCTCCAGTGAGTATATGGGCAACACAAATTGGATTTGGTAATTTTTTTCTTCTTATACCTTCTTTTGTTTTGGGGGAGGTCACAAGGTTGGGGGTGGACCTGAGGGGCCTTGGAGG